ATCAATTCGCAAAATTCTGCAGCCCATCTCACAGCCCAAGCTACTAGCTGTCTGACGAGTTGCTACACCACGATGGCGAGTGTTGGGTTCTGATCTGTCGGACTTGAAATGTAATAGTTGTTTGAGGTACTGATTCAATTGATCCTGGCTTTTTCTCGGAGCGCTCTCCGCTTCAGTCCCACCTTCTGTGCTTTCTGAAATAGCTGCTGGTGTTAAATTCGAGCTTTCTGGCAGTGTGCGATACCGTTCATCGATAATCATTATCCACTTCTTGACGCTAGCACTAATCGTGGTCATCATGCTCGGATATGTGATCGCTTTCGTGAACGAGACGAGTGCGTGTAAACCGCCATGTATGTGCCGAGGCAATCATATCATTTGAGGTTAGGAGGAGAACGCTGGGGTCGGCTCGCATGGCCACATCCCACATGGCATACAGCCGCTTTGCCCTAGTCCATCCTAGGGGCAGTTGCATTGCTTAGGGCAGAATGTGACGCAACCAATCAGACTGTGCGATTCGTGGTGACTAGATTGACACCTGAGATGTAGCTCTCGAGTACATCTCGAGAGATACGTCGCGAACCAATATTCCTCGAAGACTCGTGGCTGTGTTCCAAGGTCCAGCGCGCCGCGGAGTGACGGACGGCAGCCGATAGCTAGTTGTTCGTTCAGGTATATCGCAGGCCGGATAGACCAGGTCCGTATGGCACGTACCATCAGAGACGCTGCGTGATCGTCATCCAATCANNGTGGCTTGCCATAGTGTTGATCCGAGCTAAGTCCAGTGCGCCATCAGTCACCTTCAGTCGCCGCTTCGCAGTTTCAGAACACGGACAAGTGGGCAGTGGACGTGTCGTATTGCTTTTGGAGAGCGCTCGACCGGGTCACCATCATGCGAGTCAACATGTCNNAGCCATGGCGGCGCAGGATCAGNNGGGGACGCGAGATATGCAGGTCGCCGAATGCCAGCGTACTGTCAATGTCGCATCGTTCAGGCATGCAGTTGCTCGCATGCAGAACGAAGAGCAGAAGTGCTCGCTCGTTGAAGCGTAGTGGTATGGGCTGGGCCTTGACCGGGCGGCTGGGTCCCTGGGATTGTCTCTGCAGGTCATCATCATCATCAACAATCGCTGCAATGATCGGGTTCCCGCGCTACTGTATGCCCTTACNCCAGATAGGATGGGCAGCCGCGAGACTAGGGAGATGCTCCGTCCAGTCAGCAAACGAGCGGCATCACACCCCTTCTGGGGCTGCCCTGACAGACGTNNTTTTTCATTCTCACAAGAACCGCCGATGCTAGCTCCGAACCACTCCCGCTCGACTGGCACAATTCTAATTCAATTAAAGACATCTGTGCCTGCTGTCAAGTCGACCGTNTTTTCGGATTGTGTCTCTGACCTCTTTGCATTCNNGATTTGCAAGTCTCGCCGAAGCCAAGCACGTCCGATCGTCACCGGCTCTCGCGTCTCCCTTGAGCAGAAGCGTCGTTGCGCTGCNTTCCCCTCTTGCTAAAAAGCGGCCCCTCCGGTGCTGCTATCCAGTGTGCATTTTTATTAAAGCTGCGGTTGCTCACCACACTACTTTCACTCTTGTCACCTTCTTCCCCACCGAGAGTCAATCTTCACCCTCCTAAATCTTAACCCCTCAAAACTCTCGAAGTCTGTTTAACGCACTCCCGCCGCACGCCATTCGCCGGTCTAAACTCTGATCGTCTTGTCGGTGCCCAATTATTGGCTCACCCATCAATCCACGACTTTCGATCACTGTTTCCATCCTGATCTGTCCTCGGCCCGAACGTACCTTGCCAGCGTGATCACAGCTCCAGCGCTGTCCAAGCTGTGCTTCGAAGCCAATCTTGCACCAGATTGCCCTGCTTGCTTGCTCGCCGACCTCTCTCTAGTTAGAGTCTCATCTGCAATTCCAAAACAAGGTCCTGAACACTTGTTGACTCGACACAGCTCTGTACACTCCGTTCGCCAGCGTCATCCGATCCCGCGGACGTAGCCACCACGCCTGAGCAGAACCACTGATTGACGAACTGACCCCTCCTCCCGACGTCGAGCCACACAGCAGTCGCTTGGTCGACCACCTACATCTCAAATCTCAACATCGAGCCATACCACTTGGTCGAAAAACGGGTGAGTCAACTCTGTCTCAATCCTAAGCAAGTCCCTCACTCGATGACTGACGCGTATCAGAATATTGAAAGGTCACAGTCGGTTGCGATTGCAGTACCAGCTCGACTTGGACAACCGTGGTTAACTCTACTTGCCGGTAAGTGTAAAGTCTATTCCAACGCGTTGCGATTCTACGAGTCTAGCGCATACTCCCCAAAGCAATCCGTGCTCCCAGCCTGTCTTTTCCCAATATGCTATCACCGTTCCCTTCCCCTCATTCATCATAAGCCTTTCGCACCATCATTACCTTATTCCCCTGTTCCTACTTTGCTCCCTCAAACTATATCACCTGCCCTGTGTACCTACCGTTCACAGCTCTGTCAGGCCATCGAAACATCCGTTTACCCCACTGCATTCTTGCGCAAATCCTCTCTGCCATCCAGTCACTCATTCTTCGATTTGTTTCCATCTCGCGAAACACTCGCTGACCCTTGGAAGAAGACAAGAAGCAACAAGACCTCGAATCCAATACTCGATTTGCTTTTACTCTCAGCTCTATCTGCTCCAACCTTGTCAACGATAGTTGACCTTTATATCGACCTCAATCCTCAAGGTTACTGCCTTCATTGAACAGTATGAGTGGCAGCGGCTCTGGTTCTGGCCCGCTCCAGCCTACGTGGCATGGTTTCATCCAGAACAGCATGGATGGACTCGTCCTCTTCGAAGCTTGCTTGAGTGGAAAGCTGCATCATGTCCCTCGTCGTCCTCACGACCGTGAGCGAGCAAGCTTGATCAAAAGCGGAAGCGTTTTCATCTACGAAGAGAATGCGTCGGGCATCAAGCGCTGGACAGATGGTGTTGCCTGGAGCCCCAGTCGCATTCTAGGAAACTTCTTGATCTATCGCGAGCTCGAGAAGCCTTTCCCTCCTGGCGAGAAGAAGCGAGCAATGAAACGCAAACGATCCTCGCAAGAACCTGAAGGTCGCCGCGAATCCGAGGAAAACGAAGTCGCTGAATACAATAGACTGCCTCCAACACCCCCATCGCCTGCAAATCCCTCAGAATCCAAGTCCACCGCACCGGGCGCAACTGACAGCGAGAAAGAGATGGAGCGCCAGCTCATCGGCTCCCTTGTCGATAGCTATGGCTTCAGACCAAATGGTCTTGTCAAGAAGACTATGAGTATTTCATTGAACGGCGTCTCACACCACCTGGTTAGCTACTACACCGTGGAAGATGTCAAGCAACGAAAGCTTGGACGGCCTTTAAACGACTCGCGTCTTAACGGCATAGCCATCCGCCCTGAGCTTTACTTGAAGCAAAACTTCCGCGCACCTGTTGAGGAGCAGGACCAGTTTGCCGTCGACCACAGTGGTCACGCCTATCCCCAACTAGGCGGCTACTCACATATGGTAGCACCTTCTGGCTACATGATGCGCCAAAGCTACGTGGCACCGGGCTACCCCCCCATGTATGGCGCCGCACCAGTATCCACTGGAGCAGGTGTATACTCTAGNCTTGCCAGCTACAGCGCCGGCACCTTCTTGGCCACAGTCGTACAGCGCAGCTCCTTCGCAGCAGAGCTACAATGGTTACTACAGCCGCACAGATGCACCAACCCCCAGGCATCCACAAACTCATACACTCCTATGCCGCCAATGCAGTCCCAGTACCAGTCGCCAATGAGAACACCTGCTCAGAGCTATGGCCCACCAAGCAGCATGACTACATCATCTACTCCCGTGGCAACACAATCACAATACCAACCAACGCAAACTGCCACAGCAACGCAATACCAGCCAACAAGCTACGGGGTCCAAACAAACTCCCACCAAAGTGCTTCACCTCAACAGCAGAGCATGAGATCACCTCCAGTGGGACCACCGCCCCAGTCGATGAACGCTTATCCCCCGCGCTCCAATCTTCCAAGCAATCTCCCTAGCATGTCAAGCTACAGACAATACACGAGCCAGAGCGCTGGACCGCAAAGTGAAATGCCTAGCATTGGAATGGCTTCTGGATACGGCAGCAGCCATTCCCAGCCTTCTAGTGCAAGCTATGGTGCCCCCAGCTACGGACCTCCAGGCAGCCTCAGCGCGCCTCAAAATTACCGACACAGCAGTGACGCAGCGCCTCCGGTTCAGAGCACGCAATACTACAACGATGGAAAGCCTGCCGTGAGCAACTATTCTTGAGCGAATAGTTGCCCTTCTCTTCAAACTGTTCATGTTTACGATCATTTTTCTTCAGAGTCTTGCTGCGTTTGAGCGAGTCTTTTTGCTTTTCATCGCTTTCTCCACAACGGGTAACCAAAGGCGAGGACCGGTCTCGAGTAGCTAAGATCGTGTTGGGCATCAGTGATGATATTAGCATTGTACCTAGTGTAGAATTTCAAAACGAAGACAAACAACCATCAAATCAACATCTGTGCATCAATGTTAAGTCTATGGCAATTCATCTACATGCTGCAGTCTGTGTTCTTCGCCGCCTATATTGCATACTCGTGGTAGATGTGCGGCGCGCACCAGCTGAGACCTTGGGTGGTAGGTGAGATGTGGGCAGATTCCGTTTGGAGAGCTTTCCTCAATTGCAACGCTCAACCTGTGAGCACTGTCCAGTCGATGCAACCTTGACAATACACAATATACGACCAGCACTTGCATTTGAAATTTCTGTAGTATTGTGTGCGTCGGCAGATGTTTCTCTACACATCCTGAACATCTCTCGCATGATGGCCAGCCCTAAAATGGGGTCTGGGATGTGCTCTCGAACCCCTCGGACCTCTGGATCTGCAGCTTGTTCAAAATGACGATCATCGCGGAGCGTTGGCGTTCTCATGTGATTGTCTCTCTTCCATTATTGGCGAACGGACCTTTTTGCAAGCGCGCCAAACGAACGACATGTCGCATCCAACAGCAGCGATCAATAAGACATTGTTCACGAGCCATGGAAGGTGGTCAATGGCACATCTCAACATCTCGGGCAGGATGTCAGCTGTCAGCTCCGCCGCCATGACCGGCCGATCACTCCCCTTACTGTGCCGTGGCCGCACCTACGCCGCGGTCGCTAGACCATCTGTATCGACATCAGCCTGCTCCGCGCGTCTTGCGTTCCGCCAGCCCATCAAGTACCATTTCGGTATGCAGTACCACATCACCGTGAGCTCCTCAACCNNAGGTAAACTCCGACCTATGATCGTGTCCAAAGCTTTGGAGACCATATAATCTAATATTTGCAATCATAGCGCATACTCCACCCTGAAATCAAGCCTACGCCGCTATTCCTCAACTTCGAGGGAAGGCAGTCTTGGGAAGTCTGTAAGTCTTACCAGTAGTTGTATTGAGCGTCTATACTGTAATTTTCGCGAGACTGGTTTGTGTCGAAATGGCACGTGTAATACTTCTTTATCCCTCGCCTGCTTTGGAACTCCAGTTGTAGAGGAATTTTTAAGANNATCGACATTGACTGACAGGCGGCTAAAGGGGAAGGAGATCTCGCAGGCACCAAGAACGGCGACATCTCTCGCGCAGGATATCAACGGTGTAGACCAGGAATCAAGCATCGTTGGCGACAAGGTTCGCTCCTTGACACCACGTGAGCAGATTTACAACATCCCGAATATTCTCACCGCATCCCGCTTGATCGCTGCGCCTTTTGTTGGATATCTGGTGTTGCACGAGCAGCACAAATGGGCTCTCGCTCTTTTCGCATATGCAGGCATCACTGACTTGGTCGACGGATGGATTGCCCGCAAGTACAAGCTGCAGACTGTTGTCGGTAGTGTCATCGATCCTATGGCCGACAAGTTCTTGATGACCATTCTGACTGTCACTTTGTCTATGAATGGTCTCTTACCANNGGTAAGTGACCTTGGATGATGCATAGGATGGTCTCATCTGACGTGTGTCGCAGTATATCTGGCAACCCTGATTCTGGGACGTGATGTGTCACTTGCAGTGGCTGCTCTCTATTGGAGATATGCATCTCTGCCAGCGCCAAAGACCTTTAAGCGCTACTGGGACTTCTCACTACCGTCTGCTGAGGTGCACCCTACAACTATGAGCAAGTACAACACTTTTCTACAACTGCTGCTGATTGGTGCCACCTTGGCATATCCTGTCATCACAGCCGACAACCACCATCTAGGCATGATGCACGACATTGGTCTTGAGAAACTCGACCTCGCTCAGTTCATGACCTACTTTCAGATTCTGGTGGCTGGAACCACAGCATGGAGTGGACTCAGTTATGCCTTCCTCAAGGATGCTGTCAAAATACTGGGTAAGGATGAGCAGCTGAAGCTTAAGCAGGGAAGAAGAGGTAGAGCGATCATCGGCGTCACTTTTGGCAGTGTCGTCGTCGCGGCTGCGTACTTGGCCTTGACCAAGGATCTGCCAAAGAAGAAGGAGGAGGGAACGATTGCTTAGTCGCTTTGAATTGTCGAATGAGGAGCTCCTGAACATAACTAGCATTCACAAACTGCATCATCTGTCCTAGTATTTCATCCGCCATATTTCGGGTCAGATCAATTTTGGCAGGAAGATGACGCTTGGCATGCGACATGGGAAGACGCGACTTCCTACCCTAATATGTGTTCTTGCCTTTGATTCTTGCTTCAGCTCGTACTCGCTCTTTCTCGGTTTGTTTGCTTGCTGTCCTTGGAACTCTCGGCTTGTGCTTTCTTCCCGTCCCATCTTCAATCCGTTGCATCTACCGTCAATCATCCATTTTCCATCATCTATCGTACATCATCCACCGTCCATCGTTCGTAATCTGGAGTTGTTGCTCCTTCATCATTGACGAACGCTTGCCCACCGTCTCATCGTTGTTATCCACCAAACATGCACTAGTTCTCAATAGTCTATCGACAACTCACCTGCTCAAACCCCCACCATCGTCTCACCTCTCACCAAACGTATCACGATGCTATCAGCGACGGCCAATCACGCGACACCCTTGCTCGAAAATCCCCAAAGGGACCGAGACCTGAGGAGACTACACGTCTAGGCATCCCTCTGCTGATGCCATGGCGCTGTTGCATGTTTGCTCCTCTACGTTGTCTACTCGGGGTGGTGTAGAAGCGGGTTATCCGATCAAGTTAGCGGACTTACATTTTGTGTCTGGATTCGCATTGTGTATTGCCATACGATACCTTTCGAAGAACTTGTACCACGCCGACAATCTCGGACGGCTCGCAGGATTCTTAAGCTTCATGAATAGAAGATGGCTAGAAGTCCTTACAGCATCACAGGAGACACAAGAGCCTGCTGTTGGTTCTTATACATCGACCGATGATGCGATGTCGATATATTCGAATACCACGTCAGGGTCACCCCTAGTCAACCGACCATATCCGCTCACAGGAGCGCTGGTCTCAACGAGTGCAATACGAGAGATACCATAACACGCGGGCATGGTGTAACATGAAGAACAAGATGCCTACCACCGGGCCAAGCTACGCAGCTCCCCGTATACGTTCATGCACGATAATCTGAGAATACGCATAACAAAAGAAATAATCAGGCCTCCTTATGCGTATTGCGCAACTTAGCAGCATGCAACGGCTTTCTGCGGACAACATTGCAGACACGAGCTTCAGCACGATCACTCTTCATTTCTTTGACCGCCACCCCTCCTGTTAATTTGATGTACGCATGGCGGTGAGCTGAAGAGCAGGACAAAACAACGCATGCATATTGCCAGCAAGCCAATATAAAAATAACCAGTCCGGGAATTATCCTCATCTGCGGGAATACGGTGACAGTTCTCCGTGTCGGAGCTGCCCCAATGAGGTTCAGCCTCTCGTTTATGCAAGAGGCTTGTGGTATACATATGGCATACATGTGGTGGCTTGTCACAGCGCGCATGCTCGCATCCAAACCCATAAGCGAAAATTCCAAAAGCACCGTGTTGACCAAAAAAAAATCTGCCCCGGCAGAATGAAATGGAGATTTTCAAACACGAGGTGAACGAGATGATCTAGACAGACCGTTTGGGGGTGCAGACCAGAACAGGAGTATCGTCCTTTGCCGTTGTCGCAGGATGATATCCAGATATGTCGGCCATCACAGGCTGATATAGTCGATTCAAGATTTAGCCGTCACAAAAGGTGCGACAAATGAGTCGCAATTTGGCCGAAATGAGTACTAGTTATCGATTCTCGATAATGCAGGAGGAACGAGTGAATGATAACAGATCAGTCAAATGGCCCAACAGAAGGCAGTGGTACTTGACCAGGTCGAATCTGTTAGGCACTATAGAGATCCGACAACAAAGAGTGAAGGACCAACGACGAAAAAGGTCTAGAAAAAACATGACCAAAAGCTCTAAAGCAAAAGGAAAATGACAAAAAGCATTTACATATCAAGAGACACAATCCATTCTAGATATTGAAGATGCCCCCTAGTAAAGAACCAGATGCTTCCAACTCGTTCACATGAACTACTCCATCGCCAAAAAATGTAAATACTAGAGTCTAGACTTGCAAGACAAAGACATGTTGATATCCAAACAAAAAAAGACAACTTTCCACAACAACACCTGAAAACTGCATAAGAAAACCCACCAAGATCCCCATCTGCTAAACTATAGGACACGATTTGAGAAGAAAAAAAAACAGTCATGCAAAGAAGCATAAAAAGTGGATCAAAGAAGAGCGAACAAACGAACAAAAGACCTCACCCAGGACAAGAAAAAGAAGAGAAGAAACGTAGAGAGGGACTACGGTGCAAAGAAAAGCCAAACTAAGAAACCTTCAAAGCATCTCACGAAGGAGAGCAGAAGCCGAACACGGAGTGGACCGACTGGGAGAAGAAGAAGAAGAAGGAAAGGAAAGGTATGAGCATGAGGAAAGGTACGATCAAGGACACACGAAGGAAAGGACGACCCAACCTGACGAGGAAGGAGCGATCGAATCGATCAAAATCCCATCCGAGTACGAGTGAAGAAGGAGCAGTTAAAGCAGTCACAAAGTCGAAAGAAAAAGTTGCAGCTTGGGAACAGTGATCGCTTCTTGGATATACACAGGGTTATAAGAAAAGGAAAACGGAGAAAAAGGAAAATACCAGCAGTCCCCATGCTATCCTCGTCTCATTTCGTCGTCGCTGTCCCTGGAGAGTTGTTTGCTAAATTCAAAGAACTTTTTATGCGATGTCATGGTCTTCTTGCTCCATGCTGGCATCAGCAGATTGCTCGGCGGCAGCAGTGGCAGCGGCCTCGGCGGCTTGTGCCTCTGCCTTTATTCTTTCGGCTTCTCTAGCGACATCGGCAGCTTCAATGGCGGCCTCGCTGACAATGGCCTCCTCGACAGCCATCTTGCGTCTCCAGACACGAGCCCAGCGAGCACCCCACTGCTGCAGCAAAGTCTGCTCAGCACTGTCGCCGTCGAAACGTTCGATCATGTCGTCTTGAGCTGCGTTGGCAACAGTCAAGACGGCCTCGATGATGGCGTTGAAGAGATCACGCATAGTCTGACGTTCGCGGACCAGTGTCTCGTCCAGCAAGCTCTTTTGCTCTTCGGAGAGATCGGCCTCGGCACGAGCACGTACGATCTGGCGCATGCGATTGCTGACCTTGAACATGGTAGCTGAAATCATCTCGTAGATGTGAGTCTGTGCGAGCGCGCGGCCGTGCTGCATGTGATCGTGCAGTGCCCACTCGATCACGCTCATGGGTGTGATGATGGTGTAGTTGAGCAGTTTGTCGATGATGTTGACGGCAGTGCCCGGATGGTCGGCCCAGTACTCAATGACTGATGTGATGATTTGACGACGCGCAAGCTCAGACTGAGGACCGATTGCAAGAAGACGTTCCTTGCATCGCTCAATACAAGACAGGACGTGAGAGAGCGACTTGCTACCGACTGAGCAGATGCTGGTCATGTATGCGTCGGTACTAGGCACAAGAACGTCTTCAACACCGTGTTCGGCGGCCAAGGTCTGGATCTCGTTGATAACAAGTTCGATCTCTTCTTCAGGAGCCTTTCTGCGAATCAGTGCATGCATAGCATTTCCTTGTTGAGAGTAGGGAGTTTGCTCGTTGAGGTACTTGAAGTCAGGAGTATCCTTCATCTTGCCCTCGGAGATGAGGGGAGCGTATGCCTCGGGAAGAGTCTCTCTGATACGCTTAGCGAAAGAGAGGCGGATCTCCTTGTCTAGCGAGCCGACGATGAAGGCCTTTCTGGGCTCCAGATCGGAACGCTCAAGCTCGTCAATCCATTCAGTCCACTTCCAGCGGAACTCGAAATTGCTCAGATGGTGGGCAAACCAGTCCATGTAGCGGTACTGAAGCTCGAGGTCCATGACATCGAGGCTGCGGAAGAGGAAACGGATGGCTCTACCCAGACTGGGGGCGACAGCAGCAGGGGCGATTTTGCATGCCTCGGTGATGACCGAGTGGTAGTAGACGAGTTTGTGTTCCGAGGTAGGAAGGCGCAGGATTTGAGAAAAGACAGCATCAACTACCAGATCTTCGGGCTTCCAGGTGGAGCGTCCTTCGGGAATGTCCTTGAGCTTGTCGAAAGCGGTGGCACGCTTGACGAATGTGTTGGGGGCCCAGTAACAGTCAACATCGATGAGGAACTTGGCAGCAGCGTTGCGGTTGAAGTCGAGGATGTTGATAGTATCCGCGACGGCGTCTCGAAGCAGTGATGCGGCAATGTTGGAGGTAGNGGGAACAGACTCTACGTCTTGGTCGGCAAAGAGCGAGAAGCAGACTTCGGGGAAGAGAGCGTTGGGACCAGGGTTGACAGGTGAAGGCACCGAGAGCTGGGGGAACGAGTGCTTGGTGGGCATAGCCTGCTCGCCATTCTCTCCCTCAGCTGGTGCTGGAGCGGTGACACGGTCGAGGCGGGGGATGCATGCGAGCTTCCAACCCGAGGCGGCTTCACCCTGGAGCTGGCTCTGCAATGCGCTGAGCACACTGAGGCACGCCATGGGTTTCTGTTCGCCCTCGGCGGTTGGGTATGNGTCGACCAGCGCCTCGAGGGCGTGCGGTGTGGAGGCAACGATATCCGTCTTTTCCAGCAGCTCCGCAGCGCGCTGTTCCAGACCAGTTTCGGGAGCAGCCAGGACGTAGGGGATGGTTAGGAGGATGATCTTGACCAGCTCGAGACCGACAGCGTCGTCGGACGATGCAGTCTGGAGGTCGACAGCGCGGTCGAAGAGCTCGTTAAGGATGCCAAAGACACCATCATCGCTGAACAGAGGCTGAAGGTAGGCCAGGAATCGTAGCAACAGCTTGACACTGCGCCATTCGCCAGCATCGAGGTGACGCTGCAATAGAATGGTGGTGCGACCCAGCACCTCGGCGGCAGCGTCGCTCTTGTCCTTGTTGGCGCACAAGACCGAGGCAGCGACAAAGGGGATCTTGAAAGGTTGCTCGAGCACCAGAGACAAGACCAGGTCGCAGTACGTCTCCTTGACGTAGTTGTCGTGGTAGTTTTCGGTGACGAGCTTTGCGATTTCTGTAACCTCGTCTTCGGGGTTCTTCATTGGACTCTCGGCCACACTGAGCAGTTGACGGCGGAGGCGCGTGCCAGGAGGAGCATCTTCGTATCTTCTGCGCTGCGGTCTGCGGTCGTAACCACCTTCGTCGTCATCTGTAAACAAACCATGTCAGCTCGATTGTCGACGAAGGTGTTTTCAGACGTCGGGTACCTCTGTTGTAGCGTCTCTTGCGGTTGTTGTAACCGCCGCCGCCACGTCTGTCATCAGCCATCTTGTCTGGGTCGTGCAGTCGGACGCGTTGATGGACTTGGTCGCTAGCAATGGGTTTGTTGCTGTGCTTGAACTTCCCTCTTCCGCGCGGGCCTCTTGCTTGGAGTATCCGGCGCGGAGCTGTCGGCGTCTTGGCAGGAGCCGAAATGCTCAATTGGGAAAGCACCTGTGCCGCAGCGTCGTCCTCGTCGTACATCGGGGCTTCTTGCATCTCGACATCTTTCATGTCAACATCCGCCTGTGTTTCTACTACTGTCAGTTCCTCGTAGTCGACCTTTTTGCGGGCCATCAACAGTTCTTTCTCTGTCTGTCTAGCCATGACTGCCTATCTTGGAAGACGATACTCAAAAGTGTCCTAGCTTGTCTTCTCAAAAGTCCACGAGACAAGCAATAGATCGTGCAGACAGACGATGGAAGACAAGGTATTGAAAGTAGCCAAGTAAGGAGGAAAGAAGTGAGAGGGAGACGGCAAGGCTTGATTGATGTTGGGGAACTGTATATATAGTCTACGAAGGACTGTATGGAAGCGAGGCAGTGATGTGGGAGAGAACTGATCAAGTATCAGTAGGAGGACAGAGTCTTGAGAGTCCTCAGTGAGAGTGAGCTCTTAGAAGTCAAGAAGGCATTGATGTCTTGTATGGAGCAAGAGGCATATGAAGCCGACTGGCTCAAGTGACAGCAAACAGAAAATAACGACTGCCTTATCTTCCCATAGTCGTGAAGGTTGTGATTGACGAAAGGTGAAGTTTCAGGTTCCTTGAGTATAGGGTATAAGAAGGACAGAAACAAAGATTGAAAGAACAAAATCAATTCTGGTCTAAAGTCAGATAGCCAACTGCAAAACAATTCACTTTTCGCCCACGTCTGCTTGACTATGCAACTCTCGTAAGAGCAGAAGCTCTAGGCAAAAACAGAAACCAGACCAAGCATGATGAAAAGGAATAAAAGAAACACGAAGATAAAAGAAATTTCCCTGCGTTACTTAATCCTCATCAAAGTGCTCCCGTTTCAGTCCGCTGTGTCAAAGACGGAAAAGGTCACCGTTCGTTTCGCTCGCATACCATCAGATACCCTCCACCTCCATAATGCCTTCTTTTTTCTCCAACCTGTTGACTCTTCCGAGCCGTCGCTCGCGATTCCCGAGCCAGGGCGCAAAAGCAACCAACAGAAAAAGTCGAGAGAAGCATCGATTGATCTGACTGTTCATCTCTGCATTCAGAGACGGATGCAACGAGTGTCAAATCTGTAAAAGAGAAACCCCAACTCAAAGATCTCTACCGCACCACACTTTGGAAAAAGAGAAAAGGAAGAAACAAAACTTGCTCGGGCCGCCCATTCGGCGTATAGAATAAAAGAAGAGAGAAAAAAAGGACAAGTAAGAGAGACATCCACAGCGATGCCGCAGCGGAAGCGGCGGTGACATTGGCAGCAAAGCAATTACTCCGGGAAACCAGCTTTATTCGACGTCTTGTTATCTGATCAAGCCAAGGCTTGTTCACTGACCCTTGTCGTATGCGTGAAATGATTTTGAAAAGACTCCAGGGTGGGACGCCGGTAAAGCAGACCGCTGATGGGTCGATCGAGGTTCTTGAAAACTTGAAAAGAGTATGCATCGCTAATTCATGACCTGTGTATAGTTTTTTTGCCGATAGTTTTTTGTTCTTTTTGTTCTTCTTAATCCAGTCGTGCCATCATAGCATCCTTGGTCAGAGGCGTCAAGTTGTCGATGTCGAGGCCCTTTGCTGCCAATTGAGGACGAACGTGTGGGGGAACAAGTTGGTGGTTCATGTGGGGTGCAATCGAGAGTTNCTGTGGTCTGTCAGCATGCTTCATTACGTAGCCGAGGGGATCGTCTTCCTTACCGTGATGGTTGAAGTTGAACAGCTCAGGCATATCCTTAGTCGCACCTCCAGGGTGGCGAGAGTCAGGGAAGCGAGTGTTGGGATCTCTCAGCTCATCGAAGAAAGGGTGGACCATGGCTTCAATGGCGGACAAGCGTTGTGTCGGTGTGTACTCGAGAAGCTTGGAAATGAGATCAATGGCACTAGGGTCGGCCTTACGGAAGACCTNTTTGAATGTGTAAGCAAGAACCAAGAATGAAACCAGCAAAGTGAAGCTTACCTTGTTGAAGGGGTGGGGCTTGATCTGGGGGAACTTGTGCTCCATGTAGTTGGGGTTCATGGTGCGGATTTGATCACGAGTGGGAGTTCCCAAAACCTTGATGATCTCGACCAGCTGGTCAATACCCGACTCTCCAGGGAACAAGGGCTGACCAAGCATGAGCTCAGCCATGACACAGCCAGTGGACCAGACATNCTAAAAGGCAAGCGGTCAGCCTGAAGTCACCACATGGCGCTGCGCAGTGTACGTACCAATCTTTGTCGTGTAGTTGGTTGCGCCGAATATGAGCTCAGGGGCTCTGTAGTAGCGGGAGCAAATGTACGAGACGTTGGGCTCGTTTTCAATGAGTATCTTGGCACTTCCGAAATCGCAGAGCTTGAGGATACCGCTGTTGGGGTCGAGAAGCAGATTTTGAGGCTTGATGTCTCTGTGACAGATGCCCTGGCTGTGAATGTAGGCGAGGGAGCGGAACAGCTGGTATATGTACAGCTTGACCTCGAGAATAGGCATGGTTGTCTTCATCTTATTAAAGTAGCGGGATGCGCGGTAGACGGTTTCGGGAACGAATTCGAGCACGAGATTGAGGTAGACCTCGTCCTTCTAACCAGCTTGCGTTAGTGACCGAGTTGGGGGATCAAAGAGCCTNNTGAGACCTACGCGATCGCCATTGGAATAGTAGAAGGCCTTCAGCTCGACAATGTTTGGGTGTCGCACTATCCTCATGATCTGGAGCTCTCTGTTCTGCGCGGAGTCAGTCGAGGAGGTAGAAGAACAGAGATCGGGGTTGGCGACCTTGAAGCGCTTGTCCTGAAGCACACGCTTGATGGCAGCGTCTTCGCCGCTGGGAGACAGCTTGGTCTGGAAGACGACACCGAAGGAACCGTTGCCGACGATTTTGCACTGGGTGTACTGCATCTCTTTTGTCTCTCCGGTCAAGCCATCCTGGACCTTTTCGCGAATGACCTCTGTAGGGCGNNTTAGCACGTGCAAAGCACAAGGACGGGCCAATGGAGGGAAGGGAGGAGACGGCGAGCTTCATGGCGGATGCGCAGATGGCAGAAGGGGAGGAAATGAACAGCGCGGGGGAGGTGATGGTATCCTTACCGCCCATGCGTAAGCTAGAGAACGCCGAAGGCCTGTTCTGCGACATGATTGCGAATTGGTTCGAGGTGCAAGGCGAATTGAAGCGAGATCACCGAGGGGTCGGGGGCTGGTAGATGTCGAGAGAGTGATGTAGCGGTGGTGGTTGACGAGGACGGAGGATGCGTTGATGCGGGCCTGTGCTCGGAGCTTGTGTTGACGGGTGTTATGCAGCGATGCGCGACTGAGGGGAATTGAGATCTGAGACGGAGCCGGAAGTGAAGTATGCCGCGCCAGGTGCAGAGTACAGGGGGTGCTGCTGTGAAGAAGGGGTGCGGTCAGTGTCTCGTCGAGGATGAGGTGCGAGAGAGCAGGAGCAGTGGGCAGGACAGGCAATGTGTGAGGGTCGAGAGTGTCACCTGCGCCGCGCTTGAAACGAGGACCACCAGCGCCCACGTGATTGCCTAGCTGATGACTGTCTTACCTGAGATGCTCGTTGTTTCTTGTTATTCTCAATCGTCTTTGGCTGGGCAGACAAGGACTCGACAATGCTCTGAGGGATGCTCTTTCTGCACAACAAGTTCGAGTTGTGGTTGAAGACCTCAGCAGCTCTTTCCCCAAAACGTTGGTTTTGCCCATCCGCTGCGCACCGCATCCCTCACCCCGCTTTACTCCTCGCCCAATTGTCACTCATCTCATCATGGAGCTAATCCTGACCATGTACGCATGACCTCCAGTCCGCTTCGATGAGGCTGCCATCATCATCTTGCTTTCCACAATCCCTATTTGCCCGTTTGACACTTCAATTGGCAAGCTTTCATGCTCTATACAGCTTCAATATCCTCACCAATCCATATCTTTGTTTACCTACCCAAAACGAGCCCATTACCACAGTCACTGCTCTGCGTCTGGCCCTCAACGGCTCCCGCCCAGGAGTTCAATCTCTGCAGTCCATGTGACTTGCTCGGTCGCTAGCGTCGGGGCCCAGGCGCTTTGCACTTTCGCTGATTCGTCAGGGATCCCAATACGCAAGTGGCTGACATGTCTGCCGGGATCCGCACTTGACCATCTCTCTTCTCTCACAAGTCTTGCCCAGCCTGCAAATGCATCATGGTTCTTTAGAATTGAAGAGAGAACCAATTGCAATCTTCTGCCTTCTCCCCGCAGCTGTGCAAATAATGAGTGCGGCAGCGCCTTGTCCATGTTACCGCATTGCGTCAAGTTGCCGTCAAGCAAGCCAGCGTCAGCCATCATGATGCCCTTGTCTATTCGCAAGTGCTCGATCTCAACAGTCTCAGCCGAACATCACTTCACTTGCTGACCATTTAAGACGATTTGTCTGCATTGCGGACCGACGCTCAAACTCACATGAGATTTGGTGGTGAAACGGACAATAATTTCTCCCGGGTTTTCGTTGAAGCACGTCGCTGAATCAGAGTTCGCACTACATCGCAACCGCATGTTCGTTGACTTGTTGTTTGTTGCTTGTCCCAGACTTTCTCTCATTTCGCCTCGTCCCGCCGCCAATAACTACCAAGTCAGCTGTTCCCACGCCCATCTTGCTTGTGTTGAAGACTCAACGCTGAAACAACCAAGCCCAGATCTGCAGTCAAACATTGTCGTACTTTCGGATTGGCGCACGTCCGAGAGCAGAAACGAACCTGATACCCGTTCTCACCTTGAACCGTTGTCATACTCGTGGTGAACCACAACTGATGTGCGCAATCCCAGATGAATGGAACACCATCGCTCTCCTTCGGCTCGACTAGTCTGTTGCTGTCCCTCGCTGTCCTGCAGCATACTTTGACAACAGCCGAAGAGCCACCAAGCAATTGTCTCGACACGACAATGCCAACCAGATCGCACATCCTGGCATCAGAGTGCGCTCATGCTTCGGCTGTGTATCTGCTTCTGAATTCGTTGACCTCGTGGCTGCACTCGTGTGCACAGCTGCAAGAAGTCGATGCAAGCCCTGGTGGCCGCATCAGTCGACCTGCAGGAACATGATTGATGATCTCGCAAACCAACCAATCCGCTGCCTGTCACGATCTTGTAACTCAACTTATGCCTCTGCGCTGGCCTGACTTCGGTAGTTTGTCACAAACATCGACCCCGCGCCCTGTCGCCATTTACCGCTGCTCCAGAGTAATACCTATGCTTGTACGCCTTGCGCTCGCTCAGCTATACCGAGAGCCACTAATTTTCTCTGTGCATGCAGATAAGCGAGCAAAGAAAGTACATACACAAGGCACGACCATTCACGGCACATCTTTAAGGGTCACGGCTTTTGCATCCTTCAACGAGCTTAATATCGGTGTCTCTGCCAATCCCCCACGCTTGTTCCTCATGACTAGATTCATTTGGCACCTGCAGACGGCTGGGAACACTCCTAACATGATATCGACCTCACCCTGCATTGACGACACATCACGAGGTATCGGTTTTGAGACTCACATATCCCTCTTCCGTGCCGTCATCGCTGGTAAGATGAACACAAAGTTGCTGTATGCATGCGGACTGTTTGGCCACATTCACATGTTTGCTCATAGTCATCGTCTGCCTGTCTTGTTCCTTGTTCACGACCATCACCATCCGGTCAGCTCGTGTCGCGTGTCACTGACCTCAAGCACGTGCTCTCTACATTGGTGGTGAGTGTCCGACTTGGTTTATATCGTACATATAAGGTGATTCTTCAGGTCTCACAGCAGTCCGGACACTGCATCCTAATACCGAGTAAGACATGTGACTTGAGTCTCGTCAACGGCCTTTTTCTTGGCTTCCAACTACATGCCCTGATCTCAAGGGTATCGTCACCTCTGGACAGCAGGAAGCACTACATAGCCATATCTAGGAGATAGCGAGCAGGCCACCTCCTGCTTCTCGACCTATTTACCACGATACAATCATCCCCCAACAACCTAGCCATCGCAATGAGAAGAGTTATCATGGAGTCTCTCGAAAGCAATTTCTCTTCCGCCGCTCCTCGGAACCCAGCATATCAAAATCAAAACAATCCCAATTCCCAAACTCACATCTCCACCTCCCCCTTGACCCAAACACCAGAATATCCACTCTGCTCTTGATCAGCCATCGAAAGTGATCATCACATATCCCAAGTCCCGACGTCGATTTTGGCACTTCGGACGATCGGCACCCGAAAAATGCAACGAAAACATTTCGGGGCAATTTCGAACAAAACGTGGGTCCTTTTTGTAAAAGGGCAGCAAAACATGATTCATGGGAAACGTCGTTCGCTCCACTTGGTGGAATATCGAGATTAGATATTGTTACTGACGTCGGGAGATCGTGTTTACGAGGTGTCATTGATGGTAAATGGACGAGGGTCAGCAATGGTCAGGGTTACCATTAACTGCTGCAATTTTGCTCATTTTTCATTCATTTTTCTCCAATTTTCTTTTCCACTTTCTGTCCTTACTGCTGAGCAACACCCTGAGCGAGATGCTACATACGAGGGGAGGGGAACATACAACATCAAGATTCGGGATTGAAACAAAAGGAGATGGATAGATTCAAACACATTGTTGCTTACCTTCATTGCCTTGTCCTGGACGCAATACGAAGGACGCTTCCTTTCCTCGAGCTCGTAGCCTCGCCAACCAAGCCTCGCTTGTGCAGCACTCTCTCAACTGACATCTTGTCAAAGCATATGGCACATGTAAAGAACAAGATCTATCCCTTGTCCTTGCAATTCCTTTCGAAAAAAATCTTTTCCATCTGAAAAGATGTACCAATGACAACATGACAACCATCCTAGTGCCACCTCTTCATCCATCTGCAAATGATTTGCATCAAGACATCGTATCCGAAACAATATACAAAGACACCATGCACAAGCAGAAGTCTCGATAGTTGCTGGAACCACAGCCATGTTCATAGTTAAAACCTCGATCGATGCTAATAGTACAAGTAATGATCCAAAGTATCGTACAAGTGATGTTACAACAACAAAACCAGAACAAAACCCCGCTAATGCCAATGCCAATGCCAATGCAGAAATGCAGATTGCTGCGCTATGCCTGCCCAATCAACAAAAACTTTTCTATCCCAAAAAAACAAAAAATGCTGCTCTCATACCGCCAAGGAGGACACACCAGACCGTCCAAGAGAGAATCAAGAAAACCCCCTTACGAAGCCATCTTCTTCCTAATCGACCCCGAGATATGTCTCAAGATCTTCGGACTCTTGTGCTGCTGCGTCGCTTGCTCAATACCCGTTACAGCACTACCCCTCCTACTCAACTCTTCACTCTTCAATTCTTTGCCTTCCTGTAGGGCTTCAAACCTCTCGGGTGCAATGGAGAAATCCATGTCTGCGTGTTCGCGCGCGCGAGCTTCGGCAGTCATGGGCCGTACACTGTTTCTGCCCAAAGTGCTCGATCCCTCGCTAATGGAATGCTTAAAGTATTCCGGGCGGGATGAGGGCGGTGGTGTGGAGACTACACGGTGACCGGTTGTGTGAGGCCGAGAAGCACCAGAGGTAGAGGAGCGAGAACTGCGAGAAGAAGAGAATGGCGAGGACATTTTGCCGATGAATTGTGACAAGCGGCCGTGGCTGGTTTTGCGGCGGAGTGAGCCATGACTAGGGTCGGCGGATCCGGGGCGCGACAAGGAGCCAGGTGATTCTGCTCGCGTAGGGCGGTAGGATTCGATGTTGCGGTAGAGGTGCTGGTTGCCTTGGAATTGGTCGATGGAGGTCACTGAGCGTAAAGGTTTGTGGCGTATGGAGGCCGGGCTGTTGGCTGCGTTGTGCAAGCGGTCAATCTGCTCGGACATCTCCTCGAAGCGTTCAGGCCCGATACTGAGGTCGGAGTCCAGCATGTCTTTTTCGCCTAGTAGCTCGGCGATCTTCTTGTCGTATTCTTCGCTCAGGGCTTGGAACTGCTGGTTGTGATGGTGTTGGACTTGCGATTTCCTGTTCGCGAGTCGCTCTGAATGCTCCAAGATCAGTCGTTTGTCTTGAATCTGGAACTCGTCGACGTGTCCGTCAAAGGGTGTAGAAGCCGAAGTCTTGATGCCAGTATTGTAGAGAGGTTGAGAGTAACTTGCCCTCAGTTTGTTACGAGCAGCTTCGAGCTCAGTGTCATGCTGAGATTCGAGTTGCTCTTCGCGTCTTTCCCTCTCGTCAACCATGGTATCAAACCTCTGCTTGTACATGTGGCTAAGTTGATCTCTGGCTTGCTCCAAGTTGCCAACGTGCTCCTTGATCCTCTGGGTGAAAACAGCCTCATTGGCAGAAATAACCTTGCCCATATCAGAGAAATCGGACTCTGAACGGCCAAAGTAGTCTTCCGCACCTGATCTCTGGCTCAAACTTCCGACCGAAGCTGACCTGCCATAAGAAATCGTCTTGTTCAGGGGCGTCGTGGGTCTGAGTAGTTGACTTTGCTTGCTGAGCGATGCGTTCTCTGCTAGCGTCTCTTGGAGCTGTGCTTGGAGGTCCCTGAGCTTCGAGTCTGAATCAGTACCATTGTCGACCAGGCTTTGCTTAGTTTGTTCTAACTCAATGGTAAGGTTTTCCAACCGGGATGTCAAGACATCAAACTCCTTGGAGCTGTCGTCTTTTTCGGAAGTTAGCTGTGCAATGGTGAGAGCGGCTTCTTGTCGTTCGTTTTCCACAGTGGCCAGTATGGTTTCCAATTTCTTCTCCTCAATCAGTCTTGAATTCAATGTCGTAGCTCTTTCCTCTTCTGTCGCAATCTGCCGTTGTTTTTCACTCTCCATCTCCTTTCTCAATGCGTCCAACTCGTCCATCAAACCCTGCCTCTCCCCAGCAAGTTTCAGCATATCCGACTCTGTCTGCTCGAGCTTTTGGTTGGTGACCGCAAGCTCAGCTCTCATCCCTCCGACTGCGGATTCATGCTCCTCCTTAGCCTGAGCTAGTTGTCGGCCCCGTTCTTGCGTCTCTTTGATACTACTCTCTTGAGCCCTTGCTTCTACTTCGGTCAGTTTTTGCTTTTCTTGCTGGAGCTCTTCTTGAAGGGTTTGTTGCACACGCACGGCCGATGATTGATTCTCTTTCTTTTCTTCTTTGAGCTTCGAGAGTTGTTGCTCATGTGATTGGACAGCTTGGAGTCGTTGGTCGTCGGCTTGTTGGCGGACAGAGGCGATCTCTTCTTCGTGGCTCTGCTTCAATTGCTCAAGCTTCGTCTCTGCTTCTCCCTGGCTGGTCGTTAGCAGTTGTTGAACCTTCGCCAGTTCTTCCGAATGGTTCGAAGCCATTACTGTGAGTCTGGTCACAGTCTCGTCGGCTTGAATTCCCAGAGCTTTTTGGTGGCTAGCTTCCAACTGCTCAAGATGGGACTGTAGGTCGGCTCGAGCCTTCTCGGCAGTTTGTTGTACTTCCGAAAGCTTTTGCTCATGACGCTTGTTGACCTCAACGAGCTTAAGGTCTGTGTCAGCAGCATGGTTGCTGAGCTCCTTCTTATGTTGTTCGTGGAGGTTGTCAAGCTGGGACTGCAACTTTGCTTCAGCCTCCCCTGCAATCCGCTGAGCATCGGCGACAGCTTGCTCATGACTGCTCCTCAGTTCTGCAGTCTTATTGTCGTGTCCAGCGGTGTGGTCGTCGAGATCCTTTTTGTGCTGTTCGCGGAGGGCTTCCAGCTGTGTCTCCATCTCGCCAGTCTTAGTTTGCTCCACTTCTTGACGGACAGTGGTCAGTTGGGTTTCGTGAGTACGCTTGAGCTCAGAGAGCTTCTCATCAGATTCAGTGGTGCGGCTGCTCAGTTCTTTCTCGTGATCTTGACGAAGGGCATCCAATTGTGTCTGCAACTCGGTAGTTTTGGCTTGCTCGACTTCCTCACGAACTGCGGATAATTGCGCCTCGTGAGAGCGCTTGAGCTCGGCCAGCTTCTCTTCTGATCCGCGTGCATGAGACTCAAGTTGGCCCTGGTGGTCCTGACTAAGCTTCTCAATCTGAGCTTGCAAGCCATTGTGTTTCGCTTTCGCGTCGCTGGCTTCCTGACGAAGAGTCTGAATTTCCCTCTGAATTTGCTGAGTCTCCGTGGACTTGTTCTCGACCTCCTCACGAAGCGAGGACACCTCAGTCTGGTTATCCAGGTGGAGTTTGCTAAGCTGCTCGTTGAGTTCCTCCACTTGCTTTTCGGCGATTTGACGAGCTTCGGCGGAGCGCTTTTCGTGAAGATCGAGCTTCTCACGATGGTTGTTTTGCAACTCTTCGAGCTCCTGTTGGTGCTTTTGAGAAACTTCGGAAGAAGTGTTCTCGGAAGCCTTCTTGGTTTTGTCCAGCTGCTCACGATGCTTGGCTTCCAGCTCTTCGACTTCTTGCTTGTGCTGTTGCAGAGTCTCTGCAAATCTACTCTCAGAAGCATTCTGAGCCTCATCAAGCTGCGCACTGTGTTTGGCATTCAGCTTCTCAATCTCCTGCTGGTGCTTGTGCATAGTCTCTACGGAGGCAGTATTAGAAATTCTCTTGACTTCTTCAAGTTCTTCACGAAGCTTGGCGTCTGTGTCCTTCAAAGTACAACGATGAGTCTCTTCAAGCTGGACGAGGCGGTCCTCATGACGCTTGTTGAGCTCGTCGCGAAGAAGACCAATATTCTTAACATGGTTGGTCTTGACATCCTTGAGGGCTGAGGCATGTGTGTCTTCAAGCTGATGGACGTGCTCCTTGTGGTCCTTAGCGACTTGCCCAAGAACAGTGTCGAGCGTTTTTGAGTGCTCTTCTTCAGCCGCCTTAGCGCGCCTCTCATGTTTTGCCTCGACCTGGCGGACTTGTTTTGCGTGCGCCTCGTTGTTCTGGGCCAAGGACTCTTCGGAAATTCTGGATTTGTCTGACGCTGCATCGAGTGCTGACTGGTGCTCCTGCTGCAGACGCTCAAGCTGCTGCTTCAATTCGGCTTGAGCCTTTTCAGCCACTTGTTGAGAAGCACGAAGCTTGTCTTCATGTTCGGCTTTCAAGGCTTCCAATTGATTTTGCAGTTCATTTTGAGTTGCTGTAGCTTGCTTATTGTTATCTTCGAGCTTTGTTTGATGCTCTGTCTTCAAAGTGTCCAATCGCTGCTTGAGTGTGCTCTGTGCACTGTTGGCATCCTTCACTGACTTTTCAAGCTCCTTGATCTTCTGCGCTGATTTTTCTCTTGCAGCGTTTTCGGAATCTTGGCGTTGTTGCTTTTCTGAAACAAGTTGTTCCTCGTGAGTCTTCGTCAAGGTCTGTAGTTCGTGTTCGTGCTTGGACTTGGTGGATTCGAGCTCTGTGTTGACTGATTGGTATTCTTTCTTAGCTTCTTGGACTTGCACTGTCAGGTCGGTCTGCACCTCGACAACGCGTTTCTCAAGTTCGCTCGCACGATGCTCTGCAGCCTCAAGAGCCTTTTGGCTCTCCTGTTGGAGTCGACGGCTTTCATGTACTTCAGCTTCGAGCTGGCTTTGAGCCTCGGCGTTCTTCTCCTCGTAACGATTCTTGACGGCCATGAGCATAGACTTGTGACTCTGCGCTGCGTCTTGGAGTCGCTTCTCCAACGTAGCATAGGCAGACTCGTGGGCTTGCTTGGCAGACTCAAGATCATCGAGATACTTCTTCTCTCGCTCGTCCTGTACAGCGCGAGCTTCCTGAACTTGACGCTGAGCATCTTCCTTGACTTGCTTCAGCTCGGTCTCGTGGGATGACATGACTGATTTCATCTCATCGAGGTGACGCTCAAGCTCAGAGATAGCAGAATCACGAGCTTGCTTGGTATCAGCCAGCTCAGCATTCGACTGTTCCGTAGCGGCCTTCAGTGCAGCCTCAAGTTCATGGCGTAACTTGTTCACTGCTTCCTGATGATCACCCTCCGCTTGCACACGGGTAGCTTCATTGGACTTTTCGACCTCAGCAAGTTTCTTGGTCGTCTTCTGCAATGCTTCCGAAGCGTCTGCCAATTCCTTGCCCTTGACCTCACGCAGATCTTTCAAACTTTTGCGAGACTCTTCGAGATGAGCTGACAACTGCGATAACTCTTGTTCAACCTGAACCTTGGATTCGCGTAGTGTTTTGTGCTCCTTTGATGCGGAATCTGCTTGCTCACGAGAGCTGACCAATTGCTGTTCAACTTCACGCTTGGCGTCGCGGAGTTGCTCGAGTTCATGAGCAGCCTGTGATGCTTGTTTCTGAGAAGCAGCAAGCTGCTGGTGAATCTCATCTTTGGAGCCGCGAAGCTGCTTGATCTCTGCCAACAACGTAGACACCTTCTCACGGAAAAGATTAAGCAACCTCTCCACTTCAACCTTCGATTGTTGCACTTGAGCAACATCATTGGACAGGGCAGTTGTCCTCTCCTCAGAGGTGGTCAAACGCTGCTCGATATCGATCTTGGTCTGGCGAAGCTGTTCATACTCCTCGCTAGATTGGAAGACTTCTTCTTGCAGAGATCGAACCTTCTGCTCGAGATCACGTTTTGCTTGTCGCAAATCCACAAGCTCCGACGATGCTGATGAACCTTCCTTGAGAGAGACGGCCAGTTGTTGTTCGACCTCTATCTTGGATTTGCGCAAAGATTCGAGCTCGTTGCTCGAAGCCGACGCTTGCTCCTGAGAAGACGCGAGTTGCTGTTCAATTTGATCTTTAGACTCGCGGAGACTTCCAAGCTCTTCCTTGGAAGAAGTGACTTGTTCCTTCAATAAAGTCAGTTGTGATTCGATTTCGTGCTTCGATTGGCGGTGTTGTTCCAGATCCTTGCTGAGCGATGAAGCATTATCCTGAGAAGCACTGAGTTGAAATTCAATCTCGGCAATACGTGCTCGGCTTTGCTTGTCGTCCTCTTCTCTTTGTTTGACATCTTTCAGCGATTTTGCAAGTTTTCCTGCGACCTCTGCTAGTCTCGTCTTGAGAGTGCTGTCAGATTCTGCTGCATTTTGGCGGACAGTAGCTAGATCTTGGAGAACGGCCTCGTGTTGTTGCTTGAGATCATCATGAATCTTCTGTGAAGAAGATTTGTGGTCATCAATTTGGCGTGTGTGATCGTCTTGAGCCTTTGAAAGCTCGGAGCGGATAGCTTCCAAGTCCTTGGTCTTGTTGGCAAGAGAGTCTTCGATAGCCTTCTGAGCCTCGGTATGCTGACTCAGGGCTTGCTCAAGCTCGTGTACAGCATCTTGTCTTTCTTTCTGGGTTGAAGAGAGCTGTGTCTTGACATCATCAAGCTCTGCGACGACGGTAGCCTTCTCCCCCTTGAGCGATTGCAACTCTTGTTCGGCTTTGCGCTTCTCTTCGTCGCGCTCAGAAGTTGCACATTCCAATGCTTGAGTGGCGGCTGCCAGTTGCTTTTCCAATTCGGTAGCCTTCTCCTTGAAAGTTGCAAGCTCGGCGTCAATGTTGGCCTTGGACGACTTCAAGCTGTTCAGAGCCTCGTCGGCCTCTTGCTGCCTGGCGTGGCTGTCCTGGATGGACTTTTGAAGACTTTCAGCAACCTGTGCGTTCGCTTGTTCGAGGGCGACGATTTCGTTTGTCTTGCCCTTTAGAGACTCGCGCAAAGTGGCTTGAAGTTCTTCTAATTTCTCGATCTGTGACTTTGCCTCTGCAGCGGTAGCCGAAGCATCGGCAATGTTGTGTTCCAGCTCTTGAATCTTGTTGTTAACGGCTTGGAGAGAAGTATGAAGACTCTCCTTGTCTTCCTCGGCAGCTTGGGAAGCCTCTTCGAGTTTGCGGAGCGATACAGTAGCCTCTTGGTGCAGCTTCTGGTACTTCTCGCTGTCGCTGCGCAGTTGTGACAAATGGCTCTGGCTCTCTTCCTTTTGCGAAGTCAAGGCCTTGTTTTTTGAGACAAGCTCCTGGAGAGACTGCTTGATTTGGTCTCGTTGTGTCTGGCTCTCTTCCAACTCTTTGACAACTTGCTTCAGCTGAGTAGCAACCTGCTCTTTCTCATCGATCAAGATGTCAATGCGATTCTCGGCATTTTCCAACCATTGCTCTCGTTCGCGCTTGACCCTTTCCAGCTCTTCTCGGACTTGTGATAGCTCTTGTAGGTGCTGGTCTTGTGCTCGCTCGAGGTCGGCGTCGGAGAGAGACTCATCTTCAGAGTCTGGACTTGGGTTGCGGGTGGATGGTCTCGACTTGCGTAGTCTCTTCTGGAGAGATTCGAGCTCGCTGAGGATGTGTTCTTGGGTGATGTTTGCGTGGAAGGACCTTCGGAAGATCTGGTGGCTGATGCCGGAGCCGGAGGACAGACGGACGAGCTCCTTGATACGTTCTACATCTCCCGAGAGAGCAGAAGGAGCTACCGGCGACCCATTGGCGGCATCCACGGGCGATGACATGGCCCTGGTGTGGGTAGAAGTGATGTGGTTAGATGCAATGCTCGGAACGGCCAAAAATCATAACGAAGGCTAGACGCAGAATGCAACAAATGCAGCAACTCAATGCAGAGAGGAATATATACAAAGAGGAAACAACACACCACTGGCGTGACACGGAAATTGAGGGAGGAACAAATTCAGGCCTTGGGCCGGATGCTCGATTCAGGGTCCGACGCTGCCCGATGCTTTGGCTGCTGTTCACCGCTCACAAAAAAGAAGACAACAAACAACCTCCATTTTTTTCTTTCTGCGCTGAAACAACCGAGCGAGCGCAAGCAAGTGTTTTGTTTCAAAATTTCATGCCCATGTTGCGAATGCGTGAACTCGTCGATCGCGCACCGGCCTCCTGCAGCCACACCGCCGCTCCTGCATCCATGTTGAAGCCTCAACCTGTTGACTATGAAGTCATGGCACTGCAACGTTGAGATGCGAAGACTTCTCTTCCTCCAAACACGACTGGAATCACTTCACATGCCGTCAAAATACACAATTTTTATTGTCTGGAAACGACTGCCCATTGGAAGCTTGAATTCGTGTCTACTGAGCGCAACATCCACCTCACCATTAGTTTTGATCTGTATCCTCCATTTAAACCAGACTGGATTCGGTCTTCTCCTNTTTCGACTTGCCAAACGACGTCAGGCGTTTGTAAGCTCCAGGGATGCCCATCCACTCCTCGTTGATCGGGCTCTCTCCTGTGAACATGAGAAGGTCGTACAAGAAGCCACCGAACGTGCAACCAAAGAATGGCGACACCATTGGAATCCAGAAATACCAATTACCAGCGCTCCACACTTCATTGCCGTACCCAAGGAAGTATGACATGAGACGGGGTCCAAAATCTCTGGCAAAGTTGATAGCGTAGCCGGTCTCCCAGCCCCAGCATGCGCCGATACCGAAAATGATGAAGAAGAGTCCGAGTGGTGTCAAGTTGCCCGAGCCAAGGTTTGAATCATCCTTAAGAGCAAAGATGAGGANCTGTTTGGTTTGTTAGTATGTTTGACACGAACATGAACCTTGTCGATACTTACACATAAGAAGAGCACTAGCGATAAATTCTGAGAAGAACATGCCCGTCCGCGTCATGAACTCGGCAGGATATGTGCAGAAGATACCGGCTGTCGAGTTGGGACCGCCCACTGTTCTGATACCAGCACCTCCCTCGAAGGTGTCGATGGCTGACTTGTAGTTTGCATAGACGACACCGGCTGCACAGAATGCTCCAAGGGTCTGAGCCAGCATGTAGATCGGGAACTTCTTCCAGGGGAACTTTCGGAACACACAACTGGAGAAGGTGACCGCAGGATTGAGATGAGCTCCGGACTTGCCACCGGCGTACACACCCAGCATGACTCCAATGCCCCATCCCCAGGAAATTGACTGGTAGTCACCCTTGGTACCCTTGGACAGGACGACTTGAGCCACGACACCGTCACCGAACATCAGGATGATGAACGTTCCGATGAACTCGGAGAAGGCATCTTGCAATGTCAATCGGATTCTGGGCCATAGGAACTTGGGATCGGTCTTGTCGAGTGCAGCAGCTGTTTGACTCCTGTTGAGGGGAACACCAGTCTCGACGAACTTGGGCTGGGATGCCACAGTATCATCTGAGCGTTCCGAGTCACTCCTGTTGTGTTCGANTATCTTTTGGACTCATAGTCAGCGACAAGAAATCATATCATACATGGGCATGGACTACTCACGTGTGATTTCCAGATCGGAGAGCTTGTCTGAAAAGACTTCAGGGTGTTTGACATCTGCCATTGTGGATGATTGAATGCAGAAGGTTGAATGAAGAAAAAAATGCCCGATGGGATGATCAAGAAATCAACATGGCCTGGGACTGGCCTTTATTAATGGTCTGAAGGTCTGAAAACGATTGCTTTTGATCCTACTGCATCCCGCCTCCTTGCCTTGGACCGGTCCTAAGCAATACCCTTGGTCGTTCGGCTGTCGGACTCGAGAGCACAAGTCACGCTATCATCACAGATCTTGATCAGTCCAACCACTCAGGCGCAAGCGTACCAGGTCCCGTTACGAGTACGCCGTTGCTTGGATGGCGGCGAGTACTGTACCTTTGCCGCGGCTTGACTCCTTCGAAGTAAGCCACCGCCTAGCTGCTCAGTGCTTCCCTGCAGCATTCCAGAGTGCCAATGCTGCCGACGGGTTCCAGGTGGTGCAAAAAGCATCCCAGGAACTCCTGTACCTTCCCAACAGTCGTTACCCCGCTGCTGGAATAGGTTACAGGGCACCATCAGTACCGCTGTTTTCCGGTGTCAAAGTCTTGTACGATTTCACTTGTGGTGAATCTCACTAGACATGCCTAGAAAGCAAGACCCGAATTGGATATCTTCCAACAAACATTGCTCGTAGGAGCCTCGCTTGCTGAAAGCTATGGCCCATCCCCATCTCCCCAGCTCTGCCCCCGGTCTCTCCGTGATGGGGCATATTGGAAACGGACATGGAGCCCAAGCGCAGCAGGCATCCCAGGATACGGCCGTCAACCAAGAGCCAACGCTTGGACTTGCACCCTTTAGGAATCTGGAAGCCGTACTCTTGCCTCCTTGCGACCCCACACTTGTCTGACATGAACACGTACGCGGGATCAAATGTAACAGGCGCCATATTATTTACAGGCATTGGTCAGAGCGGATTGCGTCCGCTGGATGCCTAGTCAAGATTGGGATAGATATAGGTACGTATAACTCCGTGGCGTCTGGCGCCACACAGCTCAATACTACGACGCGGCAACGCCGGTTGAGTTAGGTATGATCGCGCCTCTTGACCGTTTGAGGGCTTTTAGAACTCGCACGACTCGCGAGGACATGACGCCGGCGTGATTGTCGGCAGCCATTTCTAACTTTAACACCCTATATCCACTCTGCAAATTTGGTCGCTATTGCCTGTTCAACTGCGCGAATATAGTTTGTCGGCAACGAGTGAACGTGGGGATGCCGGAGCCGAGGGTCAGAAAGGAGACCTCTCTAATTTCTTATGCGAGTACGCGCTTGGACGTCATGCCTTGCGACATTTTGACGGGTTCTATCGCGATCACCAGAAGATCCAAGAACTTGGGTATAGCGCCTAGAGCTCTCGACCCTAGAGTAGGATTGATAGGAGCTGCGGTCTGTAGTTGGCCGAGCCAGAAGAAATGATCGGCAGGCGGGGAGGCTGCCGAGCGTGGGGTTTGTCTGGGGTCAGCACAGGACAGCATCAATAATCTCAATAATCTCAACAATCTGATCGGCAAGAACACCGTGACGGCGGAATCCTTCGATATCCGTGGCGCTAAAGACCGGGGGGCATGTGATTGTCGCGACAATGACCTGATCAAGCCAAACGACCCATAGCGCTAACTACAGCCGCATCAACAGTGAGCTAGCATCGTAGGATGGAAGTCTCGAAGTATTGGCATCGTTCGGCCTTGGGAAGATCAATGCGGGGCTCCTCAGTTGCGTGCCCATCCGTGCACGTCCAGCAAAGATTTTGAGAAGGATTCTGCTGAGACGCAAGCATCACGAGCAGTTGGTGTCTGGTGCGTGCGGGACACGTTGTAAGTATTCGCGGCAAGTAGCATTGCTTTCGAGGTCCAGTCCCCTTCCCTCGGACCTCGCGATAGGAGATGTGGAGGCTAAAGGGACGGCCTCGAGATTTTCCGTGTTGGCAAGCACGTGAAAGGTACACGCCGGTACTTAAGTATACTCGCTCCTGCCCAAGATCTCCAAAGCTGTCATTCAGAAGCCAGAGCCTATTCTTTTCCACGCGCGTTCGTCTTCTTTCCAAACAGCAGCACATCATGGCCGAGTTCATTGGTAGCATTGATCAGGGAACCACCAGCTCGAGGTTCTTGATCTTCAACAAAGCTGGAGAGCCAGTCGCATCTCATCAAGAAGTATGCATGCATTAGCTGTTTTCCCAGCTTGGTGACATGAGATTGACCGTCAACAGNGAATTCTCTCAAATCTACCCTCAGCCTGGATGGCATGAACACGACCCCGAGGAGATTGTCTCCTCCGTACACAACTGCATTGAGGGTGCTGTCGAGGCCTTCAAGAAAGATGGAAACTCAGTGGACAGCATCAAGGCCATTGGCATCACGAATCGTGAGGAACTTTCTTTCGTTATCCTGAAAGACTTCTGACTGACGTGTATGTANGAGCGCGAGACCACCGTTGTTTGGGATATCGAGTCAGGAGAGGCACTTTACAACGCCATTGTCTGGACAGATACTCGCTCCCAAGCTATTGTGAAGGAGCTGAAGTCTCGCAAGGGCGCTGACGAGTTGATGCAAAAGTGCGGTCTGCCGCTCTCCACATATCCCAGTGTCACCAAGCTTCTATGGCTGCTGAAGAACGAGCCCAAGGTGAAGGAGGCATACGAGAAAGGCACTCTTGCGTTCGGAACCATTGATGCATGGCTTGTGTACAAGCTCAACGGACATGAGAAGAGAGTCTTCGTCTCTGACCCAACCAATGCCTCTCGCACAATGTTCATGGACATCCACACACTCAAGTACAACCCTGAGCTGATTGCCTTCTTCGGCGATGACGAGTTTGATCTCTCCAGAATTCACATGCCCGACATTGTCAAGTCCTCGGACGCAAAGGCATATGGCAAGATTGGTTCGGGAGTTTTGTCCGGCTTTAGCCTCACCGGATGTTTGGGTGACCAGTCTGCTGCCCTGGTCGGTCAGAAAGGTTTTGATGCAGGCAGCGCAAAGAACACGTAAGTCGAGCTTATATGGTGTGTGTCACAGAGCAGCAAACTGACTAGCAGAAAGNNATACGGCACAGGTTCCTTTATCTTGTACAACACTGGCAACAAGCCCGTCATCTCCACCCACGGCCTGCTCACCACTGTGGCATACGACTTTGACGGAACACCAAGCTATGCTCTCGAGGGATCCATTGCAGTTGCTGGTTCGGGTGTCAAGTTCCTCATGAACAACTTGGGTTTCAGCTTTGACTCGTCAAAAATCACCGAGCTCGCAGGCACAGTGGAGAACAACGGCGGCCTCGTTTTCGTCACAGCATTCAGTGGTCTCTTTGCACCATACTGGATCACCGATACTCAGGGTACCATCTTCGGTATCACCCAACACACACAAAGAGGGCACATTGCTCGCGCTACACTCGAGGCTGTCTGCTACCAGACAAAGGCAGTACTAGACGCCATGGAGAAGGACAGCGGTCACCCTCTCCAAGAGCTCAAGGTCGATGGTGGCATGTCAAACAGCGAACTGTGCATGCAAATCCAAGCAGACATTTTAGCCGAAAACAAGATCCCCATCGTCAGACCCAAGATGCGCGAGACTACCGCATTGGGAGCCGCCATCGCCGCCGGCTTTGCCGCTGGCGTTTGGAAGAACTTTGATGAGCTGAAGGAGGTCAACACTGCTGGTCAGACGGTCTTCGAGGCCAAGATGGAGGCAAAGGATAGCGCCAAGGGAGTCAAGCGCTGGGAAAGAGCAGTCAACATGTGCCGAGGATGGCTTGTCGACGACGAGTAGAGACCCGTTGGTCATCTACTCTTGGACGAACGTCCTTTCACGGCCTTGCTCAATTTTCTTGTTTACCATCTTCCCGGAAAGCTGCTGCAGCTGCTTAGATACCATGAATAAACTTTTCAACTTTCAATCTCATGAACCTTTGTACACAACCAGTGATATCTGGAGAGAGCTGTGAGGCTGCCAAGGGCTGACTGCAGATGTTTCAGTCAACATGTTTCTTGTGTACATCACTCTGTTCACCTTTCCAGTTCTTCTGCCTCCAGTGTTTTCGAAAACTTTGACCAGCATCTGATGATAACGTGCTATACCACACGCTTCTCACGTGGCCACTGTTGACGCCATCTTCACCGTCCATCGTGCATGTATCAGCCACAGCTGAGAACCCCTCCTCGTTCCCTCTTCGAATCAACTGTCGCTCACCTGTTTCCTCGCCTGCCATACTCTCTCGGGACGGTATAAGCTCTATCCCCATGGTAAACTAAACAAGGCGAAGCAGAAATCCTGTTGCAGCGACAAGAAACAATATACTCCGAGGGCCCGAGCCAGACACAACCGACGGCTACAATATAAAGTAGACGTTCAGTTTCAGTTGCTCAAAGCCGAAGAATGCTCGTTTCAGCAATCAGACTTTGCCGAAAAATCAGGACAATAATGCAGCCCGAGTCTGTTTTTTGTGCAAAAGTTTCAGTCTTGGACTTTTTTCGACTGCCGCACAGCCACCCCTTTGTCTACAATAAACCGAAAGTTGACGGCTTTGGTGTGCGGCGTGTCCCCTCGGGAGAGAGTTTACTTTTGCCTTTAATGGCGTCTGGGGAAGTTTGGTGGAGAAGAGGGGGAGAAAAAGGTAAAGAGGCGTCTGGGGAATGAAAAGGCTAGAGAGAAAAGGTTTTCGATGCTCATGTGACATTGGAAAGGTACTTACACGGTATTGGTTCCGCAGTGTTGATATACTTTTTCTGGTTAAGATCTGACAGACACTTCACTTATATGAAAAAGCGTGCTGGTGGTTAGTCGTCATGTGTTATGGCAGGATATGTTTATCTCTGGCTTTTCTTGCTGCTTGTCAATGAGGAGACTGTGATTGACAGGACAGATTTTCTGTAACTTTACTGGATTTGAACAGTCTTGTACATGGAAACATATTGTACAAAAGAGACCAAGTCTGGAATCCTTGGCTCAAAAGGTGTGAATGGGTACGTGAAGAGAAGTGTACACGTACACAAGTATACATCTAGATGCTCATGTATCTGACAGAAGAAAGCCAACGAGTCAAGATTAGATCAATGAGACCTAGAACCTCGGAGGAATCGACCGGCGCACTTTGTTGGGCTGCTGCACGAAAAAAGAGAAATACCGTTCTAGTCATCGCAGATTGTCTCCGTGGCCAAGGTTCTGGTCTAGAAAGCATTGTGCATTTCTATAGCTGAACCGTGTCCGTCTTTGTCGCATGGAGCTAGAATGTTTTACCATGAAAGTAGAAAGGCGAGGATGGCTTTGAATTCAGATGATCGTATGACTTTCCCTGTCACCTCAGTATGTCAACACTTCTACCTCAAATCACGATACTTGGCCTCCTCCTTCATCCTCTCCTCAACCAACTTGATAACCTGTGCATCGTAGACCTCTTCAGGAGTCTTGTCACCCTTGAGCACCAACTTCTCATGCTGTGTAACCTCGTCCTTGGTCATGCAAACCAGATCTTTGACTGCAATGTTCGAGCTCTTTTGCCCGGCGATGCTGGTATCGATGAATTGGCCTTCAGGCTTACGCCAACGCACGAGTGCGAGTCGGCTGGCTAGACCGCTGACGACACTGCGGCCACGGTAGACTTCTTCCACCACGTAACCGACGTCTTCTTGTGTGATGGGGATGCGTAGGCCGAGTGGGTCGAGAGACATGTGGCGAGCTACACGCTCCTCTGAGCCTTGTAAACTAGCCAAAATGCCATCGTACATCTTATCTCTTGATTTAGAAGGCAGGTATTCGTGAGGGTAACCGCTTATGGCCAGCATGACATGGTTAGCCACGCAGAGACCAAAGATTGCGGGCATGGTTCCCAGCACGGGCAAGATTCTGACTCTGAATTCTGGGAGCACGCCGAGTTCGCCGACACTGCCTTTTGCGTGTTCTTCATCGGAGAGAGGCAGCAGTTGGGCTTTGCCAGGTGCAGTCTTTTCGCTGGAGAAGACGACGGGAATGCCGTCCTTGACGCCTTTGGCACGTAGTCTTCGTCGTGTGGATCGCGAGAGAGGATCGTCTGTGCTAGTGGAGATGTCGCCGAGGAAGACACGGGTAGGGTCTGATTTGCAGCCCGCGCCCATGGAGGAGATGACTTTAATGTCGTGCTTGTGGCAGTAGGCGAGGAGATCGACCTTGCTGTCAATGTTGTCGATGGCGTCGATGACAAAGTCGGGCTTGTGGCCATCTGTCCAAGGTGCTAGTTGAGCTTCTGCTGTCGAGCCGACAAAGAGTTCGTTTCTGCAGTCGAAGTGTGTCCAGGGTGTGATTTGCTCGAGGCGCTTGCGGAGACAGTGTACCTTTGGCGTTCCCACGTCTGCCAGGGTGGCCACCGCGTGTCTGTTCAAAGAGGAAAGAGTGACCTGATCAAAATCAATGATTCGTAGTTTTCCAGCTCCAGATCTGGCGAGGGCGGCAGCGGCATGAGAACCTACACCACCGACTCCAACGATGATGATGAATGCATTGCGCAGCTTCTTTAGGCCGTCATCAGTGAGAAAGACACGGTTGCGAGCCAGTTGTTCCAGGATCAATTCNNTACATACTTTTGTCAGAATGTTTGCTCTTGTGCCTTGCGAAACATACTCACCTTCATCGTAGTCGCCCAAGCGGGCCCTTGTAGCAAGAGCAGCACCTCTCTCATCCTCCTTCGATAGCTTTGAGCCATCTTGCACTGCACCACCAAAATTGTTTATNNCTACAACAGAAATTAGTACTTTTGATGTCAGACATTTTTCGAAGATACATACTTGGATAACATTCTCGTCTTTGTCAAGATCAGGAATCGAGCTCTTGAGATCAGAAACGCGATATTGTTGCTTCGCCTTCTGCAGCCCCAAAATCGCACTTCCAACCAACAATCCAGAAGCAACTGCTGTGGCCGCTAGTTGCAGGTTGTGTGACGACCTGACTTGATCAATCCAAGTCGACGACATTCTTGTAACACACCACCTGTTTCGCAATTCAATTCTAGAAATACCAATGTAGAAAAAAAGAGACAGAAGCACGTGAAGCAAGATTGACGTTCGATTTCCCTGATTGTGGCTGGAGTGCTGTGGCTGATGCAGTCACATGTGAGATAAGATCTTAACATCCAGTGCTTCGAGACTTCCTCGAGTTCTCACCTCTACAATGACGTGAAACCCAGACAAGAAATCGACAAAGCTAGCGGTAAGAATACTAAGACTCTTCTCACTTTACCAAGCCAAACACTAACATTACGACTGTTTCCAGTCGTGTTTTATCATCCCTCCAATGCCGAGAAACAATCACACACAAAAAACAGTCTCAAACGCGTGCCTGCAGCCATGCGCTCTCTCCCGGGAAACGTGTCGAGGCAGGTGCGCACACATGACTGAAAGAACGAACAGAGATCGTAGGGGGCAGGCACAACATGACTCTTTCTCTTTCCATCTCCAGGGTTTCCGTTTTTCTTTTCTCAACCTCCCCTCTCACATCACCACTTCCTTCTATTTGATCACTTTCTTTGTTCATCATCTCACTTTTTGCATGCTGGATCACTGAGAAAACTCACATTCGAAACTGTATGCGCATAACAGACAAATAGGCAAAAGGTCAGAAAAAAAAAGACGTGTTTAGCATCCCAAGGCGCTGCTTGACGATACCACAATTTCTTCGCTCGAGCCATAAAGACCCTTTTGGATCTGGCAATGAGAAAGGAAAAACAAAAGATAGTTTTCAATCGGATGGCGCTGGCTCCGTCTTTTTCTGCTTTTGTGTTTTACTCTGGCGCATACTTGCTTCGATGAGGTTCTCGCAGCGTGGTCTCAGAGGGCAGAGGAAAGAGATGTTTGCAACGTCAAAGGCGGTTGAAGGTTGGGACAAGGCAGAGAAGAGGAAGAGTGTTGGGAAGGAAGGATCTTTCTCTCGTCCTGTGATGAACATACAAAAGCCAAAGTTGACATGGCAGCCCGCTCGTGCTTAACAACATGAGATCTGTGGTTGTCGCTGTGAGAACATTGGAGAGACACAATTCTGAGGACACAAAGACACGACAAGCAAGACTGGGAGATGGCTCTTGCATGGACGAATGGTGATGAAGAAGAATATGTAGTAGGGGAGTAAATTGCAGTGCTTTTTTTTGGCTACTGTGTTTCCACAATCCAGCAAATGTCTGCTTTTCCGAAACGCTTTTTGTCGTCCCTCTCTCGGATGGTGATAACAAGATAAACACAATGGGAGTTTTCATCGCTCAAAATCTGTCTCGTCTTCTGTTTGCGCGCAAGACTGTGAATCCAACATAGGCTCCTGTCAAGACCAGGCCGAAAATGACAAACTTCAGGAAGAACCAGCCCCAGCCACCGCCCTCCTTCTTTGCGTACTGGTTTGGTCTGTATGCGCTCTTGCTGTAATCCTTGGGGGTGCCTGCTGCGCCGCTCGGGCTGTACAGGTTCTTGGTCTCGACCTTGATGATGTCGTGGTTGTCGGACAGCTCGCCGGTCTCGGCGGAGAAACCGAGGTAGGTGACACCGGGCAGCTTGATGCCGGGGACGTCGAAGCAGGGGGTCCATTCGTCTTCCTTCTTGTACATCAATTCGACCTTGAGTGACTTCTCCTGGAAGTAAGTGACGCGGGCTTTGGTGGGGATGTTTGCGTTACGGAGACCACGTGCNNCTAAAGATAGAGTGTCAGCGAAGAAGCAGAAAAGGAGATTTAGGGGCTGTAGAGGACGTACCGAGCAGCCGGCGAGTTCGTTGGCCTTGCCGTCGTGACCCTGGTCGTAGACAGTCTTTCCGTCGCCCAGCATAGCCATGACATAGGGAAAGACAACACCAGGCCTGTTGTTCTTGTACGTGTCGAAAAAGATGCCCAACCCCTCAAACATGTCCTTGTTGCCAAAGACGGGACCCTGCTGGGCTCTGTCGGTCGTCACCCACATGGCAAAACCGTCACCAAAGAGGTTGCCCTGGCCATTAATGTCAAACTCGACTTCGATCTCCCAGTTGGTCGCGGTCAGGGGCACTCTCGAGTAGATCCAGCCGGATTGCGAGGGACGGTCGGAGCTGAGACGGATGTGCTTGTCGGCGCGGATGATGGTGTCGCCGCCAAAGTCCCACCACCTGCTCTGGAGGTCCGAGTCGAGGTATGGCTGCACTAAAGAATGCGTGCGAAGCTGGGCGGGTGTTAGACATATGTTTATCCTAGGGGTCGCATGTCATACGGGGATGCTCTTCACGTCAGATGTGTCCTGAGCATTTGCACCAGCTAGCCACGCCGCCGCAGCGGCTCCGAACAGAGACAAGAACCGCATGGTGAATGGGAATATAGAAGAGAATGAGGATAGCGACCTGTTCTATTTACAGCACCAAGGGGAACCCGTGGCATCTAGAGCAAGCTCCGCATCCGCCAAGAAGCAGTTCAAACCACGAATGACGTGCATATCAACTTTTGTGCTCCCCGTCTTCATATTACACACACACACCCACAACAACTCAACATGTCTTTCCTCGGAGGTTCATCCGCCGCTTCAGGCGCCAGCCAAACTCAGGCCATCAAGCAACAAGTCGCCCAAGAAGCCGCCGTCGCCAACGCAAGACAACTCGTCGAGGTACTTAGCACCTAGCTTTTCCACACTTCGCCCACACACACGCTGACCCACCCGCGCATTAGNAAACTCAACGAACACTGCTTTGAGCGCTGCATCCCCAAGCCCGGTTCTTCGCTGTCGTCTGGCGAGTCGACTTGCTACTCGCAGTGCATGGAAAAGTACATGTCGGCCTGGAATGTCGTCTCCAAGCAATACATCAACCGCATACAACGCGAGGCCGGCGCAGGAGGCATCATGTAAATTTCTACATTTTTCACGACAAACGCACGATCAAAGGAGAAGAGCGAGGATAGGGAGGGTCCAATTGTACGATATGCATACAAAGATGCCCGGTCCAAAATAATTGTACATTTATCAAGACACTCAAAGATTCGCCTTGGGAGGTGGCGGAGGGTTGGCCAAAGTCTTTTGCCTTTGCGAGTAATCCTTGACAATGATGGAGCACTTGATCTCCTTGCACAGCGACTTTCTTTGCGCTGGAGGAAGCAGCGACGCAAACTCGAGTCCCGATGCTCNTGCGGTTCTTGTCAGCTCAGTTTCAGTCTGCTCGCTGTCAAAGCATATTGGATACCTCTCAACAGCCTCCAGGGGCACTTCAAAGTCTTGGAGGGGCTTGTCGTTTGCAATCTTAGCATTGGGCAAGACAAAGGCACCCAGACTGACGCTTCCGCCAATCTTGCCATCTTCGGCAAAGATGACCTTGTAGAAATGCGTGGGCACGGCAACGTTGGGAGGGTTGCCAATGACCTCGTAGCTGACCCTCCACTTGCCATCTGCCTCCTTCTTAGGGAGGTACAAAGGTCCAGTCACGATGCGGACCGAAGGGTAACGGCCGGTGAGACGACGGCAAAAGTCCTCGAAGTGAGCCCAGTAATCTCTGTTGAACCCCTCGCCGACCTGGGGGCACATGTTGCTCAATGCAAAGGTATCGTCCATGGCTTGCTGCGACCACTTGGCATCTGCAGCGGGCACCTGGTGACCTCTGTCGTAGCCACTGCGGAAGTAGTCCTTGAGCTTCGCGCGGAACTTTTCTGGAATACCCTCGTCCTCGACGAAGACAGAGTGCTTGCGGTCGGCGTTGCTGTTCTTGAGCGACTCGGGCGTAATGTGCTCGACGACCCAGGCAGGGTTTCGTGTTCTGCGGTCGTATGCAGAGGTCAAGGACGCGGCGGCTCTCAGGTCGGAGACGGGGCCAGGGAAGCCATACTGGTAGAGTCCATTGGGGTCGACGGGTCTAGCGGCAGCAGCAAGAGCTTCCTGGACGCCAGCAGGTCTGCCAACAGCCAACAGCGGGTTGACGGGAGTAGGAAAGGGCGCGGCAGGAGTGTTGACGCTGACCGGGCTCGCCGTCTTGCGAGGAAACAGGGCGGCCGTGGTTGCTGCTCCGAACGCGGCACCGCCTGCGGCAACGAGTGCGAGCGTGACTTTAGACATGATATCTCGCATTCACTCGAATGATACCGAGGGAGACGGCCGAGGGAACGAACAAACAAGACGTCTGTACGCGCGCGACAAAAAGTGCTCGTGATGCTCTAGCGCCAAACAAACCGCGCCAAGCCATCAATGTACAAAGTCTCCCAGCAACATGCATCATGCAGGAACGTCTTGATGATAGATTAGTTGCTCTAAATTATATCAGATGTAGGAGACTTTTACACCCATGCCTATCGTCCTCTGTACTTTATGCAACCCGCCCTGGAGGCTCCGTTTGACTCTGTCCCTGACGTCCCGCCGTGCGAATGCCAAAGTGAAAGCCATCAGGAAAAGTACAAACCGGAGCATAACCATTGGATTCTGGCTGACAGATTTCCCAGCATTCAGGACGGCGGCCTGCATAGTCGCAAATATCGAGCGATAGACGCGAGGTGAGGGAGGCGTGGCTTTCTTCTGGGAAGGTTTCGCTTTCGACGCAGGCGGGTTTCGGTTGGTCTGGCCTGCTCTAGAGTTGTTGTTGTTGCTAGAGGCAGAGGACGCTCTGTTTTGCGAACCAGTTGTACGAGGCCTCTCTTCAGCTTCTCGTCTTCTCCTCTCCTGTTCTGCTCTGGCTTCTTCCTTTCGACGTCTGTCGTCCTCGATACGCCTTTGTTGCACCTCTTCATCTTGACGGCGCTGGAGCTCCTTCTCCCGAATCCCGTCAAGTGCCTTCTCCTCTTTCAATGTATGAAGTGCTTGAAGGAAAGCATCCCTTCTTTCGTCGTCCAAAACCTCACTCATACTGATGAAATCACGGGCATAGTCCCACTCGTCGTTTTGGGGCAGAACGTGGAGAGTGTAAAGCTCGAGCAGCTTGAGACGAGTATTCAGATCGCGTGGGGTACTTGTTCCGTTGTGGTGAGATGAGTTGCGCGTGGATTGCTGGGAGGCTTCGAGATGGGCAGCAATGTCAAAACTGGGGTTTGACAGGGCGGACAGGTAAGTTTCGAGACGTTGTTGGTTCAGCTTTTGCGAGGGCATGTGTGCCAGGAGCAATGTCGNCACTATCACATGTCAGACGATGTATACCGGAATAGCTTGGGCAGCCTCTCACAGATTGACGACAACCTCAGCATCCACGGCACCCTCGTTCCCTTGATAACCCTGCTTGACGACGAGGTCCCAGATGGTGCCTTGACGAGCGTACGAGGCCAGTTCCCGCCATTTGGTGCTTCCAAAGACCAGCTTGCCTTCCTCAGGCCCCAGATCTATGATGGCGTTGAGCAAGGTCAGGTAGAAGCTCCACACCTTGACGCGACTGGTTTTGGACGCGAATGCGATAGGTGCAGCGTTGTGGTCGGTTTGGTCATCTTGTGGGAGCGGCGTGTCTAGAGCTTCGGGCGAGATGATGGGATCAATGGTGGACAAGGCTTCATACAGCCTGCGGGTCAGGAACAGTTGGGCAGCCTGGCGGTAGGTTCTGGCTATTTGCGACGACTGGGCGCGGGCCGACGAGAGCGACGAGATGGACGAGGCCAAGTATTGCGACGAGAGCGAGTCCTCGTACGACATGGTTGATGCCGTCGAGTCGGTGGGCATGACGCTCAATGCCCTGTTCTCGAACAACGAAAGTATACCCCCTTGGCCGGCTATCAGTCGTGTTGTTATCCTCACCTTTCCCCAGTCATTCCTTCCTCCACCGGCTTCTGATCGCGAATGAGCCGAGGTTGACCGACGCTCGGTCCTCCATCCTCACCGCCTTAAGCATCATCGTCTCCATGATGCATCCACCGCGTCCAGAGCACTCTCACAATTTCGCCTTCACATCTCTATCATCAACACGCTGCTTGGCCAGTGAACATAGCTAGAGACATAGCCCACGAGGTAATTGCTCTATGCTCAAGAGCTCATTGTGGCGAAACAATTAACTTAGCGCGGTAGGTATTCGTTTGCCTCTCAGTTGATTGTCTCTTCTATTCATCATCGCAAATAACAACCATCTGCTGCGATTTGCCTCTGCTTTTTACTTACAAGGCTCTGCACGACTTTTCTACCATCCCTCATCATTCTTCGACATGGACATAGATAAATCATCTTTTCCTTCTCGTCTTCTTGACGTGATCGAGGCTATTGCAGAAGCACATTTTGTGTCTTTTGATCTCGAGCTCTCGGGCGTACCCGTCAAAGGACAAGCAAAGGAGAAGCCTGGCAAGCCTTCGCTTCAAGAGCGCTACCTCGAAACCAAGAAGGCTGCTGAGCAATATCAGATCTTACAAATTGGCCTCACATGCGTTAAGGACGATGTGCTTCAGGGTGCCTATGTTTGCAAGCCTTTCAACTTCAACCTCAGTCCGATAGTCGAAGAGCGTCTGGACGTCGATCGTACCTTCTCTTTCCACAGTGGAGCCGCCGAGTTTTTGCTTGGAGTTGGCTTCAAGTTCGACCTTCCCTTCACATCTGGAGTCCCCTACTTATCTAGAGATGAGGCTCAACTTGCCGAGGAGAGGGCGGCCGCACGGAACGACAAGTCATCATTCACCGACATTGAGATCAAGCCCGAAGATGTTCAAGCTCTGGAATTCCTTAGAAGGGTACGATCAGAGGTCGATAACTGGCTCAAGACTGGGCAGCCAAACTCACACTCTGTTGTCATTGGGCCTCTGGACACACAACAAGATGCCAACCCTGAGCTCAATCGCTTCGAGAGACGACTTGTGCACCAGGTTGTGCGCGCAGAGTACCCCGATCTTGTCAGCATACCCAACAAAGGCCTGGTCCGTGTTTCTAGACTTGACCCCGAACGCGAAGAGTATATCAAGGCTCAACGTAAGCGGGAATTACACGACCGTATCGTCCGACAGACTGGGTTCAGATGGATTGTGGAAGCTCTATGTGGAAATCCTCCCGAAGCCATCGACGTTCGATCATTTGCCACAACTCCTGGAGGTATTCCTGGATTTGTAGATCTTGACAGGCTCAAGTCGCGCTTCAATCGTGCTAAGCACATGATCCGCAACAAGAAAACTGCTCTCTTTGGCCACAATCTCTTCCTCGACCTGATCTATTTCTACAGAACCTTCATTGGAGCATTACCCGACACCGTGGACGAGTTTGCCGCTCTGATTCATGGACTCTTTCCGATCATCGTTGACACGAAATACATGGCCACTTACGACTGTGGAGATATCAACCCTCAATCTTCTCTTGAACAGATAGCAGAGAAGCTTGCAGAACAAGAAAAGCCTAGCGTCACTACCCATGAACAATACAACAAATACACAGATACTACAGCATTCCACGAGGCTGGCTACGACAGTATGCTGACAGCTGAGGTTGGCGTGCGTCTTTCAGCGAAGCTCGAGCTTGCAGAGAATTATGATCACGAGGAGCCACAAAACACGGTTCCACCCACACCACCTGATGTTGATGGTGGTGGCGTTCAGCTCGACAACAACACACCTTCCGTGATCAATTCTGCTATCGAAGGCGTCAAAGGCCTTCTTCAAGCACCTTTCAAGGTCTTGGGAGGACAGACAAACACACTAGATCAGCCATCAAAGCAATTGACACTCGAAGACTCACTAGCCGAGCAAACCGCCGAACTAGAAATGACCGAAAACGAATCAGGCACAATGAGCACAAAGGCCAAGAAAAAGAAAAAGAAGAAGAACAAGAAGTCAAAAGCCTCCGCTCCTACCCCTTCAGCACAACAAGGCGGTCGCTTCGCTCACGCCACAGCCTTTGACCAACTCCAAGACACTCTCGATGGCTCTGAGGAAGAGGAAATCAAGACGCCAGAAGAAGTCCTTGAATTCGATGCCCTGCCCTCAGAAGACGCACATGCATCCGATCCCGTGATTGCAGATACAGATGGTGTTTCCGACCCTCGGGCTGGAGCATCATGGGACACTATCCCTGCGCTGGCTGACGAAAGCATGGTATGCGACGAGCGTGAAGTAGGAACTGTGATGCCGTCTTTCAAATCTGGCTTCTGGAAGGTGTATGGTAACAAACTGCGTGTCTTTGGCACACAGGAAGGAGTTGCCGTGCTGGACTGAAAGGGTAGTGACATGTGCCTTTACGGGACAAGAAGGAAATGGGACAGGGTCGCTGCACTCAAGGAGTCTAGCCCATCTCCTTCTGGACTCAGTCCGATGGAGAACTAACTTGCAGCATGGACTCGATTACCTGTTCTCATGTCAAGAGCTAAGAGGGGCAAGAACAGTTTTCGATTCATATGAGAGACCAGAGAACCATTCACACCTACTCCATCAGGAGAGCGTGTACCTTTGATTCAAGAAGACGGTTGTAGGTAGAACAAGCACTTCCTACATTAAGAAATTCAAAAAAAAAGAAACACACTCTTCAAAATGCCCACATGTGTGAATTGGCTCGATGTAGTCGTTGCTCGACCAAACCTCTACCCATAACAAGTTTACTGCCTTATACTCTTTGTCCGGTTTACTATGGTAGATATCGTGTTGACTACACAGCAAAAAGCAAATACTGCATTTCTATCAAGGCTCTTCTATACTATATCTTGTTTATCAAGGATCCTAATGGTATAGGAGGGGGCTTTGTTCGCTGGGTACTCCCTTCTTATGCTTACATGTCGAAACTTCTAACCATGTTTTTAGAGTGGGAGAAAGGTGCACTCGAACAAGTCTCTGTTAACCTTTGTAAGCCAGGATAGCAAGTAAAATCACTAATAGCAGTTGCGTGAATACAGTGCTTGCAACATTACAACTACAATGCATCAAAAGGAACAGAAACCAAGGGACCAGGATGATGCTTCAAGCTTTTGATTACCAAAGACCCGAAGATCTTGGATTGAAAGGAAAGAGCAACAAGAAATGATATTGATAGATCTTCGCAGCAGACAGTAGCAGTGAGAGTATGGTCGAGTGGTCAGATGTTTGTAATAGAAGTAAAACATGTAGTGTCGACAGGGTTACATGGTCTACTGCAGTATATCCAAAGAGACAACATGCCCGAAGAAGTAGATGCTGGATTGAGGCTCGAGGGTCAAGACAGTACTGAAGTAAAAAAGAGGCCGTGAGTCAATATTCGAGTATGCTGTGCTGCTACGACGAGGGGAAAGTATCATGGCAACAAAGAACTGGACTTTTTTATGATGATCGTACTTTTCGAAGAAAGGGGGTATGGGCAATCTACGAAAAGCTAGGAACCGGACGCCTTCATCCCCATCCATGACCACTGCAACTTCATGATGATGCAAGTGGTGATATCTTTAGACGACGCCGATGCGTGTTGTTGCTTGCGCTGTTGCGAACACGCACAACCGCAGCCTTTTCCACAACCCGGCAAGAAAAAAAGAAGACGACAGTTGGCAGACCACTACGAGGAGCGATGCGCTTATTTGTCCTTCTTGGCCTTGGCACCCTTGACCTTTGCGGTACCGGTGAGGGTCTTCATGCGGTTCTTGCGCTGCTTGCCTGTGATGAGGTGTGAGTGGTNNTGGATGCGGATAAGAGATGAACTGCTCGACANNTACGCTGCTGTCTCGAGGCCTTCTCGATCTTGTTGGCCATGCCAACACGGACAAGACGGTAGTGGGGCTCGAACTTCTTCATGGCCTCGTTGGAGTCGTAGATGAGGGCGAAGCCAGTGGACTTGCCACCACCGTACTGGGTGCGGAAACCGAAGACGGAGACCTGGTCCTTGTCGGCCTTGTAGAGCTCGGAGAGCTTCTGACGGAGCTCATCCTTGGAGACGTTGGGACGGTTGGGGTGGAGGACATCACTGCAAGCAAAGGAAAGAAGCCCTAGTCAGTCCTGGATCTCAATATAGAGGAGATCAATCGTGCCGGCTGCCTCTGCCGCCACTGCCGTTGACGTGGTGTCTGCGCCTTGCCCATGAGAAACGAGTGCCCGAGAAATGCGGAGTCGGTGGAAGAAAATTTCCTTCACTGATTCTTCCTTCACACATGGCGGCGCAATGTTGAATGTCGTCTAGTCCTCCTCTTGCTTCTCGTCTCCGTGGGCGCAGGCTGACATCCGGTCTTTGGCAGGGCGGCGTCGGTGCTCTAGCGGTGGGGAAGGGGGCGAGAGAGACTCACACGACCATCTGCTTGCGGGCAAGCAGGGGGTTGCGGATGAACTTGCGGGTGCGCAGAGTAACTTGAGCGTCGGCCATTTTTGCGGTATGGGGATGGGATCGATGGTCGTCGAAAAGTTCTTGTCGTCTCAAGCAGAAGTAAAAGCAGACAAAGGACGGCCGCGCAAATTCGACGGGCAGACTGGCGTTTGTGCGTGGTCTGTGCTGGATCTGCTTGGCATGTTGAGCCGCTTCTGCTGTTCACATTTTGTGCAGCTTTATGCGTCGCCGACCATCACTCGTGAATTTTGCATCCTTGCGGTTTGCACTCGTAGTACTCGACTGCACATAACATGATCCAGGACATGCCGTCGGGAGAAGCGCTGCATCAAATTCGTCTATTCCGCAGGCAATATTTGCAGCTGCTCGACACCCACAATCTGACCTGGCCTTCTCCAGAGACTCTCCGCTCGTCTCAAGCCCAAGAATGGATATATGAGAACCTCTTCCAAACGGACAATGTTGCACATTTCTTACCTCCCGAAAGATATCGTCTCCGTATCTTGAAGCTACTCATGTCCAAGACTGAGAACTCCATTGTAGATCCAGAAGAAGATGTAAGAGTGTTCTTGTCATTTTCCTCCTTTGGCCTGCTTTTCTGATGTTTCGGCCTTCGTTGTGATCAGGAAATATCGGATAACCTCATGTCTACACTAGCTGAGCTCATGTTCTCTCCCATGCCGGATGATGCAACTGCTGCCCAACAACGGAACTGGGTGACATATACACCACTCGGTCCGGATGCACCTATAGCGGGCAAAGAGCCTGAATTGAAGTTGCTCGAGAACCGTGCAGTTATCTCAGGTGCCGGTACTACTGGTTTGCGCACTTGGGAAGCCGCCCTCCACCTCTCTGCATATCTTCTTTCCTCGCCTGAATTGATGGCAAGTGTCAAAGGCAAGAAGGTGATCGAGCTTGGTGCTGGCACAGGACTGTTGTCCATCCTATGCGCCAGCCATCTAGGTGCTGCCCATGTTACAGCTACGGATGGCGACGAAGGCGTTGTCCAGGCTTTACAAGAAAACGCAGCCTTCAATGATGTCAAGGATGTCATGGATATTGGCGTGTTGTGGTGGGGTCGAGCTCTGAAGGGATCTTGGATGTTTGAGAAAGATTCTTCGTTCTCTTGCGACTTGGTCCTCGGTGCCGATGTCGTGAGTAACACATCATTCAGCTCTACTGAAAGACACTAACACTCGTCTGAGACATACGACAAAGCCGTCATCCCAGCACTAGTCTCTACCATGAGAGACATGTTCGAAGCTTGGCCTCATGTCCAAATCATCATTTCAGCAACCATTCGAAATGCTGACACATTCGCTGCTTTCGAATATGCTTGCAGTAGGTCATCAATACGACCACGTTAGTGTCATGTATACTAACATCGTCATCTAGCACACAACGAATTCAAAATGTACGAAGTGGATTATCCTTTGATTCCCATGGAACAGCAGGCTTCTCTCTTCCACTCGACTATGGTCCCCATCAAAATCTTCTCGATCACTGCGCCAGAGACGCAGAGAGACCCTTATGCAGTATAAAGGATTCCTGAACTAGTCTACCACGGCAGCTGAATCGAGGGCATGTTCAAGCAGAGTCAGCGATTCTTCGAATCTCTGCTCTCTCTTCGGCAGTGGTGGTGTTTCTCGGCGCCTGCTTGATGACCTTTGCTGGATTGCCTGCTACGACTGTGTAGGGGGCCACATCCTTGTTTCGGTATAAGCACAGNTGTACAGGATGGATGGATCTGAAGATGGTTGGNACTTACCTTTGTCACGACACTACCCGCACCCACGGTACTGCCCCGTCCAATTGTCACACCGGGACAGACGGTCACATTGCCACCAATCCAAACATCCTCCTCAATTGTGATGGGTTTACCAGACTCTGGGCCGTTGGTTCCGTCCCTCAAGTCAGGATCTAAAGGGTGGGTGCCAGAGTACAGGCTTACGTTTGGTGCCAACAGAGTCCTCGAGCCGATGGAAACGAGACAGGTATCAATGATGGTGCAATTGAAGTTGATGAAGACACCTTCTCCTAGACGTACGTTTGTGCCATAGTCTGCATGGAACGGGGCCTCGACCCACGCTTCGGAGGCTAGTAATTCTTCATCTTCATCTTCTGTGCTATCCTCTTTACGAGGTGGCAGTGGTCTGGTGTCTTGGATGATGCTGTTGCGTCCAAGTATCAACGTACAGGCAGACGAGGAAGCTTTTCTAGTATCAACTTACTCCTTCCACAGTTCGACCTGACGTCTTCTGGTCATTGATTCATCTTCTCCCGCTTTGTTGTACTTTGTGCAGGCGCGTGCGCATCGACGACGCTCTGCGACTAGCTCTGGAGTAAACGCATGGTAAAGTTCTCCTCTGAGGGACCTGGCCTTGTTCTCGGAAAGAGGCATGACGATAAGAACAATATCTGTGCAATACCTGTCTTTGTTTGGAACAGAAGGTGGTAAGACGGTGAGGCGAGCGCCAAGAGCCGCATCCAGGAGTGACGCGGGGAGACCCTGACATTGATATTGTTCACATGCATTCCAGAAGTTTGGGACCTTTGCGACGACCACCTGGGTGTTTATTCGAGGCGCTGCCGCCGACGAGTGTTGCCATCTTCCTTATACGTCGCAACTAAGATGGCACACCAAGGCGACCCGAACATTTCTGCGCCGTCTCCCACTTCGCCAACGACAAACAACGATGGAGTGAACACAGAATCTCGCACACCCCTGGTTGACCCAACCATCTATCCTGGCAACTCGCGCTCCATCTCCTCAATCGCCTTGCACGCTCTCTGCCTAGGTCTCACTCTCTCAGCCTGCAGTATCGGTACCGTCCTGCTCGCTCAATCCGGCTTCCGTCTCTGGCGACTCACAGAGTTCATCGCTACACTGTCCCTCTTCCACTTTCTTGAGTTCTGGACCACCGCCCGCTACAACACGTCTAATGCGAAAGTGTCCTCGTACCTCCTCACCTCCAATGGCGGTTCCTACCTTGCCGCCCACGTCGCCGCAATGATCGAAATCGTCGTCACTTCGCTCTTCTTCCCCGACCTGCAAGATCGCTACAGCAATATCTATACCATTGGCGCAGGACTGGCATTGGTGGTTATGGGACAGGTTGTCCGCAGTATTGCCATGGCGCAGGCGGGCGTCAGTTTCAACCATATCCCTGCGAAGAGCAAGAAGAATGACCATGTGCTGGTCACCGAGGGCCTGTACTCTTACTTCCGCCATCCCAGCTACTTTGGCTACTTTTTCTTTGCCGTGGGCACGCAGATTGTGGTGGGCAATAAGATTTGCTGTGTCTCCTATCTCATTATTTTGTGGTTCTTCTTCAAGGATAGGATTAATTGTAAGTCTCCTTTCGTCCCAATCTCTGTATGATTGCTAACTTTCATGATCTANGATGAGGAGCAAGATTTGGTCAAGTTCTTTGGTGACGACTACCGTACTTATCGCCAGAGAGTTGGCACTGGCATTCCGTTCATTCCATAGAATCTGTGTTCTATGTTGTTGCCATACAAGGATATATGAAAACCCAGTTTTGAAAGCAACACATCTAGTTCTTCTTCTAGTATGAGTTGCGTACGGGTTGCGTATACGTGGTTTCCAATCTCTTAATCGTGACCGCTGATATGACTACTTTTCTAATGTTTCTGCAGCAACTCTCGTAAGTGTCGCCCTCGACTAACCGTTATCTGGACTGCACTGTTTACTCCTCCACTCGAATCACACAATTTCCCTCTCGCTTTGACAGCCATCACACTTCCAGATCCTCTTCTCTTCTCAAGACACTGTCATGCCTAGACTCAGAGATCCTCCACTTTACATCGAAACCCCACGGACAAAGAGATATCGTGACGGCCGCGACACTCTAGCTATCTACAATCGATACAAACCGGCACTTGAGATCATCTGTAGCCAGCCAGGTGCCACATGGAGACATGTCGAACAGTTCATGTAGCTCAAGGAATACGAAAGATCCAGGCCTGTTCGGATCTTTGGCTACACAAGGGAGAAACTGAGGCATGGAACATCGGATTAAATATAAGTCGGTTTCCAGGAGGCTGAATATTCCCAGGAAAAGAATGAATCATGTCACGAATATCGAGAAGAAAAATCACCATGTCCAAATCACATCGAAACAAGATGAGATACGTTAGAAAAGAGATTCCTCTGTCTCATCACTTTTGTCTTGTATGTGCTGGCGGTCGTCCCGTGAATGCCAACGGTCTGGTATATCCTATTCATCCTGTTTTCTTTTCAAGCCGATCTTTCCTTGTTGCACAAACTGCATGCACAAGTCTGACCATATCTCAACCTCGTGATGTGTTTGATCTCTAGGTCTGCCTGACGAATCTAGATACATCGGATATACACCGATGTTGATCGGTCCTGACGTCTCGATTCATGGACATAGAGTCATTGGTCCTTCCACCACAGATACTGGAGAACCAAAAAGGCCAAGAGGCTGTCGGTCGGCATCTGTATGTGACCAATAGAACAATTATGCACTAGATGACCACTGGAATCAATAAGCCTCTTTAGCTCAGTTGGTAGAGCGCGGCACTAGTATCACTAGATCATGCCGAGGTCACCGGTTCGACTCCGTTAGGAGGCATGACAATGTGCATTCTTTTTGGTAAGGTCAATGTGGTTGAGAATAACTTTTTCTCGTTGGTATGGCGGTGTGGGAAGTGGTTGTGCAAGCGAAGCCTGCACAAGCAGGCACAAAGCTTTGTGCATGTGCGCTTCAATGCGGGGAAATCCTCGGTGTGACATCCACCGAACGCCGTTGTTTCTTGACCTCGCTCTTTCGAGGCGCTGAACAGAACCGTAACTTCCAAGCTGCTCACATCTTTTGCGCCACCTCCCAGGAGAAGGGTTGCGAAAACGACAGGTGTATAGGCACAGAGTAGATCACTGATTCTGTGTCAGTTGCCCTCCATTTTCTGCTCAGTGTTTTGAGGAGGCTGACCAAACCGGTATTGCAACGTCCATACAAGTACTTGTAGCGATCGCAGATAGAGTTGGAGTATAAACCCGGCCACCTCATATCCAGCCTCTGTGATACGCTACTGGATAGACACCACTCTGTAACAACCTCATATTTCTCTGTGCCGTGTAGTAATCCAAAATCTGTGGTAGTGTTGTTCTGTGACCAGTTCTCATTCTTATCAGACCACCGGTCAAGCGGTCGTGCTTGGAGAGGCNAGTTTGTGTACTTCTGCGGGACTCTTGCAAACACACAATGGTTTGCAGAGTCGGAGCACCAGACTCGCAGGTATCCAAGTACCTTGGACAGAGTTTCAATCGTGTGAAGCTTTGGCTGACAGGCGCAAGNNGGAGCACGGCAGGGTTCTGTACATTCAAGCAACAACCATCATCCATGTCGTCTATCCGGATGCGATAGAGCAAACGATGACAAGGACTCGGCCAGGTTTGTGCGTGATCGTCAGCATCTCCGCATGTTCTCGGAGTGGGGATAACCGTTGGCAGAGCGAGTCCGTGCTCCACTTGCTTGCATTGCATGTTCAGCACCAGCCTTCCCTCTCCGCCGGGATTTCACCTGAAAAGTTACAGCCACAACTTGGAAGACTTGGACATGTTTATGCGCGGCCGGTAGANTCCTGGCACCACGCNTCAGTGACGATTCGCTGGCATCGGGCGGACAGCAGCCGCTCGCGCAGCCTGTGCCGCTCTTGTTCTCAATCCAACCACCTCTTTTGAGACACGGTGGAGTCGAGTAGAGCAGACATCCAATCCGGCAAGCGGCAAGAAGTTTATCTAAAGCTAAACGGGCAGCCCAACGCTCATCACTCTGCATGCTTACTCGTCCTTAGAGTTCTTGCATGCATTTACCTACACGTACGCCCGCGGGTCTCGTCCTGCTTGACACGATGGGGAAGTTGCGAGGCATATCGCCCCTGCCATATATAGGCAATGCGAGTGTCCGCAATCTTTGCACTGTTTCACCTCGGGCAGGGCCTCTTGCTGTCTGACCCTCCGTCAATTGTCCCTCAAACTCGCATATTTCCCTCGAAGGTTTCTCAGAGTGCTGCGGACTAGTCCTTGTTACCCTGAACCAAAAGCATGATACTTGACTATAGTGATCACATTTATCCCCCGCCGTTTCCAAGACGAACGTGAAGCACCTGGCTCGTCATTGTGCTTATTGCATCCATCACCCCTCCTCTGCGAATGCCTCTCTGAAAAGTGAGCGAAGCGGCTGAGAAAGCGAAACACCAGCACGAACTGGCCCAGTAGAGTCTCACCGTGCTGGACTTCTCAGTCGCAACTGCTTCTGTCCTGCGACCATGACTTCCTTCAATTCCACCATCGGATTCAACACAACGGCACCTGCAGGTTTCAGTGCCCCGGACGGTCTCAATACCACAGCGGTATCGCCAGGTATGCTTGACTGAACTCAATCCAAGCCATGTTTGACCAATGCTAACCGCCCATCTCAGCCAATTCAACTCGCGATGGATTGCCTCTCCAACCACGTCTTACACCAGCATTCGGCGTGGCCGGTGCCTTGCTCATTCTGACTGGTTTCGCATACGCCTGCGCCAGTATCAAGATCNNACAAGGTTATTTACAGCATGGCCTCGCATATGTTTGCTCGCTAACCAATGATCACAGGCTCTACATGTCCCTCAGTTGTGTCTACCTCGTTAGCATTTGTGTTACCGTATGTGTGCTACCTCTTCCGTTCCACCATGATGCTGATCGCCGTACANNGGTCCTGATAATCTATGTAATGTCCGCGCCAGACGCAAACGTTAGCGATGGTGTTCAAGGCGCATACCTGGTCGGCATAGTCGTACCTGGAATTATACTTGGCGGAATCTGCGAGCGTTACGTCCAATGGCTCGCGAAACGTTCTGGATGCATTGTCGGAGGCTTCTGCATAGCCATGTGGATCGAAGTGCTGGTACCAGGAGGTCTCATTACATCATCCCCAATGCTCGCTGTCTTCATTGGAATCATGTGTCTCGCTTCTCTCGCACCCTCATTTCCCAAGAGAACGAAAGAGCCAGCGTACATTGTCTTTTCAGCATTTTCTGGCACTACAGCATTTGTTCTAGGGATTGACTGCTACAGTCGTGCTGGGTTGAAGGAGTTCTGGGTATACACATGGCGTACGTCAGAACTACATTATGGTGTTTCTTCCACTAACTCTTTACANGAATTTCACAGGGTCGAGCTCTTCGGCTTCGGAACCACAACCTACCCTTTGACAAGAGGTATCAAAGCCGAGATTGGCATGATCCCCGTCCTTTTCCTACTTGCGATGGTGTTCCAAGGTAAATTCTTCAAACCCATTCGACAGAAAAAGGAAAAAGAGGAAGAAGCAGTTGCTAGGCTCAGAGAAGAACATGACAGGCAAGAGCTTGACGCCGGACGTACAATTCAAAAGGCAGCCGATAGAGAGCGGATTTTCTGGGAACAGAGATACAAGGATCCCGAGAAGAAAATGCCTGATGTCGAGCAGAGACAAGTTGATCCACCATCTCCATCAACAACCGGAAAGAGGTTTCACGGGGCAGCGAACTTTGTCCTGGACAAATTCAAGCCTGATACTCGCACCTTGATCCCAACAGACAACCTCGAACGGCGCCGCGACGAAACCCCCACCACTCGCACATTGTTAACAACAAACGCCCAAGCACAGCACGATGACGAAATCACTCCTGTCGAGGCTCCTAGGGAAAGCATCAAAGCAACACTGGACACCTCACCAGAACCGCGTCTACCGTCCTCCCCGCAGTATCCTAGTCTGAGGCCAACCTCGTATCCACCTCCACCCATCCTCCCACAAACAGGTTATGAATGCGACACATCTTCGGACGGAGTAGACTATGTCAATATGGGTTCCATGGACCCCTCATTGCCATTCCTTACGGATAGAGTCAGCTCGCTAGGCTTGGCTTTAGATATGGAAGACAACGGAGTACCTGTAGGACCTGACCAAGACGGATTTGAGGTTGAGTCCGCGTCTTCGCTCGACAGAACACACGGAGACGAGAAATTCGCCCCTACACCGATCAGACTGTCACAGCAAGATCTATCCGGATGGGAGAAGCAGATTTCTCAAGAACCACTCGGTGAGGAGGCCGCGGACGAAGAGAATCTAGCTTCAATGGATCGCGACGACACGACCGAACTTCAACATGTCCACCTTGAACCAAAGAGCTCGGACTTGGGCGAGGTCCCTGACACTCATGATCATGTCGAGTCTTCTACACCCCTCGCCGAGTCTTCTGCAGCAAAATGGCAGCAGAGAGAAGAGATAATGAACCGGACGCATGAGTGGAGCAAAACATTGGTTCACGCGGAGCTAAAGTCGAGACCCTCAAGCATACGATCGTACGACGCAAAAGAGGAAACAAGCTTGTGGTCAGGCTTCGAGGGCACTCACACAACTGAAGATACTCTTGAGCCGCTAGAAGGGCAGGAAGTGGCAGCCTCACAGCGACCGCAACACAGTCTTTCGAGAGCAGGCCCCCTCAAGCAAAACAAGCGCAGGTCTAGGCGTGTCTCGGTCGCCGATGGCAAAACAGCTATTCTACCCTCACCAGTCAAGTCTGCAAGGGTTGATGAGCGTAACTCATCGCTCCCGATGCTGGACACTGGATCCACTCTCATCGGTGAACGTCTTGCAATCACAGAGCAGAAACAGAGGCAGATGTCTCTCACCAACAACTTCCTCAGCGATGAATCCCAAGGCATTGTCGCCAGAAGGAACTTCGGATCGCATGGTAAATTCGCCAACTCAAACGATGTCGAGTCGACGGACCTTGACGAGATAACACTTTCTCAAGCACGAACGACTCTACATGTAAGAAGTATGAGCAACAGTCAAGTCTCTACGATATCGTCTCCGACGTCTCACGCACGTCGCACATCCAGCAGCGTGGGATACCAGTCGCCTGCCCTCACAACAGCAAGAACGACTCCGATTACATCTTCACCGGTCCATACATGTCCTCCGTTTATGATGGTCGCTCATCCGCTACGGAAACCTTACCCAATGCCTCCATGCGAAACCTTCCAGTCTACATCCCCTCCATATCGGCATTCAGGCGGAGCTTTCACTCCAAGTGCAGCTTTCGCTCTTAGTGGCGTGAATGACCCAGCTACTGTCATGCAGAACAACGATCCATATATCCCACGCGCACCCAGACGATCTTCTGTCCCTGTCGGTTTTGCTGCAAAACCTACTCTGATGCACCGCATGGAATTTGACGAGAGTCTCAAGAAGCAGAATCAAGAAGCCTTGCTCAGAGATCAGAGAAGAGGCGCGGTTGAAGCAGCCCAGAACAAGAAGCAACTGGACAAACAACGCCGCAGGACGCTCGAAGCTGAGAATATGATGAGAAGAGGACACCTCGACGATGCACACAGAGAGGCCATGAGGAAGATTCAGAGGCAAGCCAACAAGAGCTTCCAACAAAGCTAGTCAAGCCAGAGAGAAAGAAGCATAAACCCTCCAATAAGAAAAAACAATCAAACAGAGCATCGAGGCCGGGAAACCCCTGACGAGAGGAAGGACCAGACGTTCATTCCACAACATTGCTGGAAGGTGCTATCGAGGCGCTTGTAGCCAATTGCTTTTCCTAATCTTCATTTTTTCCTTTTGTCTAACATGGGTAATAATATCTTATCAATTCAAGGAGGAGAGCTACGGAACTACGATGCATGAAGTATGAGATACGATACCCTCAAATCAAAACTACGCTCTTTAAAATGTCCATTGCACACCTCTCAAACAACTTGATGAATCATTATCCTCGCTTCCATACGAAGAATGTTGGCTATCCGTATTACTCCGTTCTCGTACTCCTTTGAGTGCAATTCAGGCTCGTCCACTGTTTATACTATCTCTTGCAGGTATCGGGCATCACGTTAGGTCTCCAGAATACATGTAATAAATCAAAGAGAATCATGTGGTCAACTTGCTCACGGCACGCACATCTCTCGTACCCTAACCACTAGTCACTACAATACAACGAAAATGCATACTCGCCTACTGAATCAGACAAGAAAACCAAAGGAATCAGCTCTGAAATGTCATCTTACCTTGAACATTGCTTTGTATCAAAAAAGCATCATTCACGCATTCATATAGTATACTATAAACTCGAGTCGGCACAAGAGGAAGAAAGAATGGAATCAATGCAACGATGCAACAACAATATAAAAGGAAAGCAAGATGGCAGGCAAACCATGTACTAAGGAAGGGATCAACAAAGTCACAACAAGAAAAGGATGCAACCATGAAATTGAGCAAAAAGGATAAGAAAGGAATGATAGAGTTATAGAGAAAGGGAGGAGTAGCAAAAGAGATGCGTTGGTAGACAGTGAGACACAGAAGTCCTCCTGCGTAAGTGGAAAATCTTTGGGCCCCCTAGAGGTATGTTAGTAAAAGTTCAGGACGAGTAAAGTGGAAGGAAGAGAGATGCTCGGTAAGGTAGAGAGGTAAAAGCAGCGCTAGACTTTCATCTTTGTGTTCTCAACATGATGTTTAGATGTAAGAAAGGTGAAAGTATAGATAAAGACATTATGAAATTCGTGAACAACGTCTCCAAAATCTTCGTTAAATACAAAAAAGCCCCATTACCACACTCAACAAAGAGGTGCATCTATCTGTGATACTGAATGTTGTTATCAGCAATCAACTTCATACCCTCAGCTCTCCAGGTATCGGGCTCGGCATGACTGGTAACATTGGCGTCAAACACCATATTCTGCGGGCTGGAAACACTATACACAGGCCAAGTCGGCAGACTCGAGTTCTTGCCCGCATAACCATTAGGATCCAAGTCGTGAACAAAAGTAACCCAACTCTTGCTCATAAAGTCGGAGAGCTCGGTAAAGGCAGAAGACTTGTTGGCAAAAGGATCAATCGCATAACCAAGACCGTTGAGGTTGTTGAAGACGAAAGCGACTTCTTGGAAGTGGGCGACGTAGGTGGAGCCGGTGGGGATGGCGTTGAAGCGGTAGGAGTAGGCGGATATGTTGTTGGCGGCCCAGGTCTCGCAGGTTCTGCGGCGGTTGGCGATGAAGACTTCGTCGCCAAAGTAGGCGGCAGAGGCGCGGTAGGAAGGAGCCGAAGCGAGGGCCGAGGGAGGTTACGTTTTGGCCTAGCTCTTCAGTCGAGGGGATCAGGTAGTCGGGTTGGCCGGAAGTGTAGACGGCGAGGAGGTCCTCGACAAGATCGGGTGTCAATGCGAACTGGGTGGAAGAAGTGGTGTTCAAGTACTTCTCGAGGCCGGCGGTGGAGTTGATGGGAGCGGGACTGAAAGAAACACCTTCGTCGCTGTTTGCGCCGTTGATAATGGGAACGTGAACAAAGGCTCCGTCAGCCAGCTGTTCACTGCCGTAACGAGCGATGAAGTCGCCATCGAGAGCAGGATTCCAGCCACCGCTGAAATCGGTAGTGTTCAGGATGTTGTTGAGGACAGTGAACGGCAGAGCACGCAGGCAGTCCAGAGTGTTGGTCGAGTTTCCACATCCAGCTGCCTTGGTGAGAGCAGAGTATTTGGGTTGGTAGGAGCTGGTGCAAGTCAGTCATGAGCTACAAAGTACCTCCCCATGTGGGATTGACAGTCAGTCACAGTAGGGTTGTCAAAATGCACAGTAGTTTTCATAAAGAGCGATGTCCACGGAGAGAACTTTACGTTCAGCTATCTCCATGGTGACACCTCTTTCTAGGAATAAACTGTGCATCTTTATAACTGTCTTTTGCGACCGGGAATGTAGGGAAATTTGAACTTACTCTGAGCCGTTCAGGGCATTGTAAGAAATGGCGTTGCCGGACTCCATGATAGCACCACGGAACAGCTTGTCGTCACGGCCGTTGTATGCGACCAAGTGGAAACCGACCGAGGCGGCTCCTGCTGACTCACCCATGATGGTGACCTTGCTTGTGTCGGCACCGAAGGCAGCACCGTTCTCTTGAAGCCAATGCAGAGCCTTGCGTTGGTCCTTGAGTCCAATGTTGGTCTGACCAGCACCAGCAATCTCGTCACCATTAAGGAAACCAAAGGGTCCAAGTCTGTAAGCAACACTGGCAGCCATGATGGGCTTGCCAATCTTGACGGAGTTCTCGACGAGGAAGGTCAAGTTGTATCTGCGGTCAACTGCACCACCCTATCAAACTCGTCAGAATAGTCACAACTGGAAGATTGAGGAGACATACCATGTAGAAGCCACCACCGTGGATCCAGACAACCATTGGCAGACTGGCGTTCTCGTAGCCGGAAGGTCTGACGACGTTCAGGTAGAGACAGTCCTCGCTCTGTTGGTAGCCCACCTGATCACCTCCGTAGCCTACGCACTCAAATGCATAGTTTGTTGCTGGCAGAGCTCCAGTCCAGGATGCGTTCAAGGTCTCGGGGTTGGCAAAACGAAGCTCATCGATAGGAGGCTGTGCAAATGGGACACCAAGGAAGAAATCCTGGTTGTATTGGCTGTTGTGTACACCATAGTATGAACCGTTCTTCAAGTTGACGACAGGTGCGCCAGTGGGTGCTCTGCGTAGCAATGAAGGAGCAGCAGAGGCGGCAGAGACCGCCAGTGATAGCAATGACCAAGAAGAATGCATGTTTGGCTCGATTGACAGTGCTTGCTGGGAAGGTACCTACTCTGGGCAGAGCCACGTCTTTATACAAGCACCATAACCTTGCCACCTACCGAGACATTGTACCGAAGGTCACATTGACAACGACGGTGCATCTCCACAACACACCGTGCAGCATGGATGTGACATGGGAAGTCCGTGGTTGAAGAAAATCAGGACGTGCAAGCGGGGCATGATGGGGAAATGTGGAGTTCAGCGGGGCCCGTGGTTTGCAACCTTTCCCGAAGAGGCAGGGTGTACCTGGGGAACATTGTCACTACTAGACCAAAAACATGGCAAGATTGACAAGCCACCTTAGCCGACAACAACCCGCAACCCGCCATCTTCTGGAGACGAGATGGAAACTCCAGCATCCGGCTGTCATGACGTCGGGCATCTTGAGTCAGGAAGAGACATTATTTAGTTGAGAAAGTTTTGTGAAGACGGAGTGGTTCGGCTGAGTCCTGAACTGCCGATTGTTGTCTGGACTTCATGCCTTCACTGCCTTTCCTGGATCATGCTGAACATACCAAGCAACGCATAGACTAGCAAAGCCATGTCGGAGGCTATGCTCCATCTCAAGACGGCACCATAGCCGACGGCCATCGGGCCCGACCACCTATGCGTTTTTCTCATAAGAGACGAGCTGAGATCATTTTTGATATGCACGCATATCAGAGAACAATCAAAACTCTGTCCGATCGCCTTCCCCAGGTGGTAGTTCGATGTGCTCAGAGTGGAGTGCATACAAGTGGTTGGAGGCGTATACTATGTAGGTAGGTGGCATTGCAGTGCTGCTCGAGTTGAGCCCCAACACGGCCCAATGCACCATGCAGAAGCTTCATCACATCCGTGTATTCGCTTCTGAAAGCGTACTCGCTAGCAAATGACACCCTCAGGGACTCTGCTGGTGGACACTTGAAATGAATATGATGTCTCATGGCAGTTCTGCCTTCATTGATAATGTACAAGGTTTATACAAACGTCTTTTTCTCGTCTTCAGTTCATCTGCCTGTGAGCATGTTGGCGATAGAGCTCCAGTACTTGGGAGTGACGGTCTGCTGAATCTCTTCGCTCGACAGCCACTTGAACTCCTGGTCGCCATATGTGTTGGCCTTGAGGTTGGCCTGACCAGCCATGATGCGAGCCTTCATGAAGAAAGTACGCTCGCCGACCTCCTCGACCTTCTTCTCCGTGTTGGTGATGGTCTTCTTGAAGTTGCCAGAGTAGTGGCCAATGGGTGCGTTTCCAACAATCCATGTGTTCATGTTGATACCGCCCGCTTGTACGATGATACGCTCGGCAGCNNCTAGAAATGTCAGTGATATTGTTTGGGAGAATACCGCACCTTGCCGACTTGGGAGGCGGAAGGTGTAAAATGTCTGACTGACCTGGTCCAGACCCTCGGGTCCCTTGATCTCGTCTTCGGGGAATCTCCAGACGCCATTCTTGTTCTTGACCAGCAAGTACAAGGTTCTATCAAGCAGTCTGTTCAAGCTGGTGTGGTCGCCCTTCTGATCTTGCTCTGTGACTCTGGGCAATGGCCGTTGCACGACAATGTCCTGGCTGGTCTCTCTCTTGGCTCCTGCTTCGCCATCGGTTCCCTCGGCGTCTCTGATCAAGGCCTCAACTTGCGACTCGGGCTCGCTCGTCTTGTCGTTGACCAAAACCTCGTCGTTCCAACCCGACTCACTGTACGCATTGTAGACACCAACGTCACGGGCAGGAGTCTTTCTTAACAGCATCTTGCGCTTCCATTCGCGGTCTCCAGGGGTTCCTGTTTTGTAGTAGAAGTAGCGTGTGAAGGGCAGTGCCAGACGTTCGTTCAATCGTTTTTGGTAGAGGAAGAAGGCTTTTTCGAAAGGATGGAGAGCGCGTGTCAGGACGGGAGGTCGTGATAGTACTACGCCAGTGCGTAGCTGGTATGCTGATCGGGTGGCTGGCGAGGCAGATGCATCCTGTGTGATTTGAGGCGAGGTCGGTGCCTCAGGGGCAACCGCGGCAGCAGTGGATGCTGAGCGGTATTGAGATAACCGGGCGAGGCAAGAGTTGCAGACGGATTNCTGGTGTCGAGCGGGCTGATAATAGGTCAGAGTGGCCAACTGTTTGGTATCAACAGACTTACTCGATGATGCGACCAGCCGCCTGGCAGTTCTTTGACCCGAGTTCATGGCGATGTGTACTGTCTTCCGGTCTGTATCGCCAATGCGAATGCGCCGTCGCTGCTGCAACTTTTCGAGACTTGTGCTTGGCACTGGCAGGCAGCCTGCACGGGCCTGTCGGCCGCTCCTTTTCCTTAAAAGCCTGCCTCCTCTCGCTCCTCTTCTTTCTTCTCTCACGCGTTTCTTATCATCAATTGCCTCGATTCTCAACCGCATATTGACCATTTTTAAAGCGCGTAGATTGAAATCGCAAGACTTTTTCGCTAGCCGTGGCTTTCAAAAATAAACCGAGCCCCAGCTAGATAGTTTTTGCAAAATCTATATTCGCATGTGTAATGTTTCTGTGAGACTTCATGACCCTGCTGGCTTGACCTATGAGAAAGGCTCGCGGTCTCTTGGGACAAGCGTGTACTCTCCTGCTTCTCTCTACTCCTATCTCTCAAGGAGAAGGCATCGATGTTTTGCGGTCTCTGAGATTCTTGACAGACATGCTGGTGGGATGACCCTGACTCATTCACCGCATGCTAGAGGATGGTTCCATGTCCGATGCATAGCGGTGTGCCACATTCCATCGGACGCTGGTCTGGATGTTGCACTGTTTAGGAGCCTGGTAAGTGGTATGTTTTTGGTACCAGAGCACAAACATGAACAAGTTGTCTGGTAGTCGAGATTAGTTGCTGGGCACTCCATAGCAACCGACCAACCTACTCAGTTCCCTTCCCGCTCTGCCTAGATTAAAAACCCAAACCTTTAGATCCAGTACTGATCATGAACAATCTACATAGTCAAAATGCAGTGTGATAGTTTGTGTTACCGCATGGAAAGGACGCTTTGAGGCAGATGGTCTCTCTGCGTAGGAGGCTTCAAGTCAAAGGTCCGGACCGTTGACACGGCGCGTCAATGCAGCTTTGGGGCTTGATAGGCGAGCCTGGGACTGGCGACTGCGCGGGTCATCGTCATGTGTGATTTCCTGGGCCCTGGACATGCAATTGGAGCTGCCATGCGCTCCTTCTTCTTCTGAAAGGCCACAACAGAGGTTCCTTCTTCGTCTAGGGTCTTTATCCTTAGCTTTCTTCCCATGGACTACGAGTAACGCACTGCATGCATGACATCTCCTTTGTCGCATCCACCACCACTACCATTGTTGTAATCCTCCCACCGCGCATACCAACACCAGCAGCATGGCCGAGTGAGCACCTCATCATTCTCTCGCAAACCAACGCCCTCTAACTGTATCATCTAGATACGGCTTCCTCGTGGCTGGCGGGCTGGCCACGCCTACTTCGAGTCACGTCCGCTCTGTGACGCCCTCTCCCAACATGACCAGGTCAGACTCGCCTACTCTGATCAAGGCCAAATCCGCTTCACATCTGTCCACTATGAAGACCTTCTCCACCCCCCCTCGTGGCCGCTCCAACTTCGACAACGACGACGACTACCTTAATACCATTCCCGATCCACGAACACCCAGTCCAAATCCGCCGCGTACAAGTGCGCCAGAAGACGAGCAGGACCAGCATCCCGACCTTAGTAACGAAGTTGCTATGCTTAGCACAAAGCTCATAAACGCCATCAACTACCAAACCAATCTGGACGACTCGCTACAGCACGCCCGCCATGAGCTTGACGCTGCGAAGCAACGCATAGCACAGCTGGAACAAGAGACCCAAAAACACAACCTTCTGGTCTCAAGCGGCGCTCTCGTCACCAAGCAACAAGTGGACACACTCAGGCAAGAATTGACAGAGTCGCAAAAGCAAAGAGATGTTGCCGAGAAGGGCAGGAAGGAGATGGAGGTCGAGCTTGAGAACCTCACCAGCGCCTTGTTCGAGGAGGCCAACACTGTAAGCGACCGACACCAGCATCTCCTAAGAAGAACATGCTGACACGCATCANNGATGGTAGCCGCTGCGCGCAAAGACGCCGAAGCTGTCGAACGCAAGAATGCGCAGCTAAGGGCACAGCTCAACGACACTGAACTTCTTCTAGCCTCACAGCAGGAACAGTTGCAAGATTTGAAGAGCGTCATGGAGAAGATGACCGAAGACCGGGACCGCGACGAGACCGACACCATACCTCGTTCTTCGACCGCTCCATCAACACCAGGCGTAGACTCGACCAAGATGAGCACAATGTTCGACTCGCTTCCCTTCTCTCCCAACGCGACAAACTTCAGCGACGTTCCCCCGGATCAACCTCTGCGATTCTCGCATCTCATCGTCCCCGTCATGCGTAACGATGTCGTTGCTTATGTCGACTTTGCCGATCTGCTCAAATCCGCTCGAGCAGCTGCCCCCGCTCATTCTCGCAATTCTTCAGGCATCAGCTCAAGCATGTTTGTCGCTTCTGCCTCTTCATCCTCGCCGAATATCCCAGGATCCTTCAGCTCAGGCGCTGCTGCATCGCCTCGCGATACCTCATTCCAATCGTCCGTACCGCCGCTCAAAGATAGCAAATTCTACAAGAGATGTCTAGTTGAGGATGTAGAACCCACATTACGTCTTGACCTCGCTCCGGGTCTTTCGTGGCTTGCCCGACGTACAGTCATCGCTGCTGTGACTGGTGGCAATCTGGTCGTGGAACCCTTCATACCGCAATCGCGCTTCTATGGGAACGCTTATGCATGTGCGCTCTGCGGAGAATCTCGCCGAACAGAGGCACATGCTCGACGACATAGATTCCGGACCAGTGAGGACGAGAACGCCCAACGATACCCTTTGTGTGAATTCTGCTTGGGCCGTGTGCGAGCAACAGGCGATTTCCTGGGCTTCTTGAGAATGGTTCGTGACGGCCTCTGGAGAGCATCAACCGAGGAGGACATCAAAGCCGCTTGGGAAGAGAGTGTACGCCTGAGAGAGAAGATGTTCTGGGCCAGACTTGGAGGTGGTGTGGTTCCTGCAATTGCCAGAGAGCCGAGCCCTACAGGAACTCAGCGCCGCGCAGACGCAAGGTCGTTGCGTAGAAACAGCACCGAATCGAGCATTCCGAGGTTCTCGAGAGACTCGATCGAAAGCATTCACTCCAAGACTTTGGAAGTCCCAAAATTAGGCGAACCCCGACCGCCGAGTCGCAACAACAGTACGTCAGCTGCCAACATCAGCGATGGCAGTACGACCTCTCTACACACCTCCGAGAGTTCGGACACGAGAGACTTTGCAGATGCACAGACCGAGATGGAGCACTCGGTCAACACACCAACGACGGTCAGCCACGAGGAATCAACAAGCCATACAGATTATACGGACTCGCAAACACCACGACTAGTGCAAGAAGATGGGCCAAAGGACAATGTCGACCCAGTCACTGAGACTCACCCACCTAAAGACCAGCATACATCCATCATAGAATCAGGGAAGGAAACCCAAACTCTCGCGCTGGACGGCCAAAATGGCAAGNNGGAGAATGAGGCAGCAGTCGAGCAGTCACTGCAGCCGGATATGCCTGGGTCCTTTGATTGAGCCTTGCATCAGCCGTCCCTTCCCTTTCTATCACTTTTGTATACCTATACGGGCACAAGAACAGACGCTTGCAAAGAACAAGGCCAAAGCGGTACAATACAGTATATATATGTATAAACACCAATCCTCGACGGCCTTGTAGACCGTTTATTCCTCGATACACCAGCCTCTATTTCGTCGTCATTGTTCCCCCAGTATACCTAGTCCTCGTTTGCTCTCGTACAATGGACTTGTACGGTCTACGAAACACTCCAACCATACAGATCCCCCCGAGGTTCAAAGATCCAAGATGCAACCTTTCCGTGTGCAAAAAACAGTCACAGCCCACAATCGGCCCCCCTTTTTGTATGTTGTGAAGAAACCCCCATCTTCGGTGCTCCACCCCTTTTTCTTTCTCGTTTGCGTTTTTGTCGTCCTTCCCCCATGTGCGATGGACAGTCATAGTTGTAGTTTTGTAAGAAAACGTACATTTGATTTTCAAATATCCACGGAAAAAAACGTTCCTTTCAGGCCATATCCCTCCGGGGGTGACGTTTGTATCTAGATGATGAATATTTGCGTTTCTACAGTTTATGATTACATGATGATGTTAGTGAGGCAAGAAGGGAGTCCGATCATAGTGTTGTGACTGTTCTATTGCACTCGGGGAGGGTGTTTCATTGGAGTGTTGGCGATATTGCAAAACAAAAAATGCAAGAGACGGCGAAGGGAAAAAAAAAACTTTGTGCATAATGTTGGCCCCTCATCTACATCATACTCCTCCCATCTAGTATATCCCCTGTGTACGATATTGAAACGTGTCATAAAGTCTGGTATAGTAGGATCCTGCACTTTNTGCCACCAACTCATCCACATAGGCGGCAGCTTCAGGCACGCTTTTCTCCAACACAAAGCGTTGACGCAGTGAAGCGATGACATTCACCACGCCGCCAGAATAACACGGCATTTTGGAGTCGCGGCCCATGAGTTCGACGAGCATCACAATGCGCTCGGCGTCGCGGCGAAGTGCCTGGAAAGCAGTTTTCATGTGCTGTTTGAACTTTCCAAAAGGCGCAGAGTCTACACCGCCGAGGACATCGATGTATTCTTGGGTTAGTTTGAAGGGGGCGGCTTCGAAGCCCATGCTGCCTGGTGTGTTGGAGAGCATGAAGCCAAAGTCGATGTGCACAATGTGGCCGACGTTGTCGATGAGGATGTTGCCGTTGTGACGGTCTTTGAGCTGCAGGATATAGGATATGACAGAGTAGGCAGCGAGACTCTTTGCAAAGTTGTCGACGGCGGAGAGGTAGGTGCTCGAGTCTGGTTTGCCGAATGTGGTGACAAAGTGATCGTGCAGCGTGGCGATGCGTTTGCGTGGGTTGGCGCCAGAGGCGATGGAAGATAGTGTCAGGGAGCGCTTGAGAGAGTGCAGAGATACGCCGTTGGTGATTGTTTCGATCAAGCCTGAAGACTCGCCCGTGACTAGGATACGCATGTTCTTGACCCAGACGTCGCAGTCGGCTTCAGCCCAGATCTTGGAGCACACGGCGATGAGTTGACATGCAAACGCCTCTTGCCGCAGATCAGCCCCAGTCTTGACAATCATGGAGATCAAGTCCCAGTTCTTCATCCAACCGTAAGGTGAAGAGCGGCGTATACGCTCCTTTTTCATCTCCCAGGCTTCGCCAAAGGTTGCCGCCGAAGGGTCGTCTCGGTCGCCTTTGCGCTGCACTCCTCCCGTCTTGATGTCGTTTTCCATGCGTGCGGCACCTGCGTTGGAACTCAAGTTGGGGTCTGCGTCGGCAGCCTCCAATGCAGGGTCCTCGATATCTGCCGGCTCTGCATGCGAGCCAATGTTGTTCGCATTGGCCATGATGGCGTCGAAATTGGTGGCGTGTGCAGCGTCGTCGGTATAGAAGCTCTGTTCCTCCAGACTCTGCATGCTGGCAATGATTCTGGCCTTTATGGCGGCGACCTCGGCCTTTGGTCGTTTCGAACTGCTCAGGTCGAGCTGTGAAAGCATGGACGAAGCAGCTCGCATATGGGTTGCCAAGGCAGAAAAGTCGGGTTGATCTGGTGCTTGCGAGCGGCCAGCCGCTGAAGCAAATGGAGAGGGACTCACAGATCTACTCATCGGAAGATCAGAGGTTCGAGGGGTAGTTAGGCTTATTGATGACAAAGTGCTCACACCGCTAGACAGTCGAGGGAGTTCCCTCAGCATAGCCGCGTTGGAAGGGGTGTGTGATCTAGAGATGTTGCNGGGAGTGTCGCGTCCATCCAGTTCCTGCAATAAGGCAGGGCTAGCCAAATCGCCGGCTGCAGGCTCAAGAACGCTGTCATTCTCGACTGTCGTTTCACTCTGATAGCGAGCAGATTCTCGTGATGCATCTGTGATGTCGAACAGCCGACGCTTGGGCTTCCCNNCCTTCTCGAGTACCAGTTTGGTGAGAAGTTGAGTGTTTTGGTCAGACTCTGGATCGAAATCAAAATCCTCGCGCAAGACCTCGACCATCAACAGGTAAGGCACTCTCTCAGCACTGTTCAGACTAGTAGCCTCGGCGGGGTTAAGTCTGACAATACGATGATGTTGGCTACGGCTTGCACTACCGTCCGGAAGGGTTGCGGGACAGAGCAAAGGCACGTCGACCTCTGCAGGCAGGTCTTGAGCGATCAGAGCGAGCTCAGCACGAAGAGCACTCAATCTGGCAGGCTTAGGCACAGCTACCAAACGATTCGAGATGTCCTCGAGGGCGCTGAGGAATTGCGTTTGACTGCGGAAATAGTTTGAACGAAGCATGCGGACTTTTTGTGAGCGTGACATGTTGGCAAGGTTGATTGCTTTTGTGCTGGCAGAATGACGACGGACGGAGTGCTCTGTGTGCTGGCGAGACAAACGCGGTGGTTCGGGAGCAGGCTGTGAGGGAAGCTCTGGAAGAGACGATGTGCTTGCAAAGGCCTGGTTGTTTTGTGTTGCGCGCAAGGCTTCAGCCATGGCGCTTTTGCTAGTCGGCTCTTTCGTAGGGGTCGTAGTATCCTTGGCTATCATTGACATGGGTCGCGAGGCTCTCCTGGGTGTCGAGGTTCCTGGTGGAGTCTGCGCATCCTTGGTCGCTTGCGGCGGAGGACGGGGTCTTCTGCTCCGCCCAGGGGCGCCCGAGACAGTATGGCTCCTAGATATACGCTGTGGCTGTATGTTGTCCGAGATGGTCTCCTCCACAGGACGCGGTCTCCTGGCTTGCGCAATGGCCAGCGGACCAGCATGACGAGGAAGAAAGGGCGCGGCTATGGCACCGAGCACAAGACTGGACAGTAGAGTGACGGGTAAGACATTGTCAGTGATCTTCTCCCGGCGGACGGGCTCAGATGAGCCAAAGACGATGCGTTGGACTCGGTTGTAGACGCGGCGGCACGTTTTGAAGGCATTCGAGGTGGGCGTTTGGGCGAGGTCGCGGAGGTACGTTTGTAGGAGCCAGAAGGNTCTGCACAGGGGCCGTGTTAGGAAGTTGCAAGTGTTAAGAAAGGATGTAACAAAATAAAGGAAGGAGCATAGGCATGTTAGGAAGGTGCGCCGTACCAGAAGAGCGCCATTCACCGACTCCTCGCATAGATCTAGGATAAAGTCCTCGAGCGCCATGCTTTCGTTGTCCAGCGACATGACCAGGTGGCATAGCTGCGGTAGGAAGAACTCAATGTCCTCGTAGCTGAACTGGCGCAGCTTGGAGCAGAGGACGTATTGGATGCCAACATGGTCGGCATATCGAGCCAGATAGGCCACAGTCAACGACGGGTCCCTGTTGAAGTGTTCCGACTCGATGAAGCGCTCGAGCAAGTTCCAACTCATCGAGTCCAGGCACTGCGCATGTTATGGAGAGTGGAATGTAACAAGCGAATGTCGCACGACTCGAGTTTCGTACTTGTATACCACAAGAAGACACCGAGGCTGTCCGAGTTGCGTGTGCTTCTCAAACAAGGGTCCAGCCATCATCCCAGATCCACCTTCTCCTGAACTCCATTTGCCCATGCACCAACAACATCAACATCAACATCAATCAACAACGGTTGCACAATACGAATGCCCCTAACATTCTGCCCCATCACCAACCCCTTTCTCGTCCACGACATCTGAACAGTCGACTTCGAATTGACAGATACAAGTCTCGGAGAAGACCGATACGAGTACGAGCAGTTGCACCATGACTGCTACCCCTCTTCCCAGTTCTTCATTCATGTCCATGCCGTGATTGTCCTGCAACGAGGCATTGTAAATCTACCCGCTCTACTACATGTCTACCGCTTCCTGCCATTACTTCCTCAATCCACGCCTGCATACAAGTCGACCACGATATTGATGACGGCCACCATGATCTCGGCTGCAATCAGCACAATCACAATCCACTCCAAGTATTCACCNNTGCGTCATATGTCAGCCTAGGTCTATCATGTCTGCCCTGTCCGCTTACCGTGTGAATGTGTCAACTGATCCTTCAGCACTGCCAGGAGATCTGCAATGACATCCAGTCGTTCCGTCAAGAGACTCACTCTCTGATCCATCTCCAAGTAGCTCCTCACGGCCTGGTAAACCGGATCGAGTTGGGGTTCTGCCCACATGAGTTCCGGCGCGTCCAGCACTGATCCTTGAAGATGGATGTTGATTCGTAGGATGAACAGCTCTCCAATCTGCATGTTGATTTCCTTGCGTGACATGTTGACTTTACCTGTCAGTGCGATTTGTGCTGGAATCTCCTTGTTAACGTCGATGGTGTTGTCTACCAAGTCCTCATACAATGATGTCTGCAACACGAGTTAGTTCCGCATATCCGCTTGCTGTTGGTAGATGTACAAACCTTNTGTACTCTGTGCCAAAGCATGACTGATGGCCAGCTTGGTCATGTAGTTCTTCTTTTCTCTCAAACTGATAAAGTCGTTGTAAATTCGAGCCTGGTATTCCTTTGTGTAGTAGAAATTGAAGTTTTCTTGTTGTATGTCGTCTTTTGAAAGCTTCTCGGTCTCAAATTTGGCCAGCTCCTTCAAGAACTTCTGCTCGTGCTGGACAGACATGCCCCATATCACAACAACTCCATACTCGAAGCAGAAGACTTCGGGAACGTGAACTGTCGTGTCGAAGTCGGGAGTGTCGTTTTGCGGCATGATGAGGGCTTCATTTGACGTCGATGCTTCGTGGTTCTCTAGTATGGCCGACTCTCCATTCTCTTCCTGCAAGTCAAGCAAATCCTCCCTCCTCCTCTCAGCATTACCTTCGACCTCAATAGCACTATCGGAGAATCTACGTTGAGCGGTGGAGTGCACGACCTNTGCGTCTTCGATGGGCGGCTCTGACTTGGCGTTGTATTGGTATGGGGTGTATATGCACTCGTCGAATTGCTTTGGTGCAGCCTTCTTAAGTTTGCGACCCTTGAGGAAGCGCAACAGATCTTCCATGCGGTATGAGCTGGCAGTACAGTATGCTGTGACACGAGGCAGCTTGTTTCTGTCGTCCTTGCCTAACCTTGCGGCATCACGGCGGGCAGTCGGATCCTTTATCCTGGTGAATTGCGAGTAAACGTCGCGACCACTCTCTTCGTCAGGACCGTCGTCACCATGTTCAGGATTGGGCAAGAGTTTTAGTTTTTGTGCCGTTCTTGTTGTGCGCTGGGGACCGATCTTTGCAGCGGGAACAGCTGAACCTATCGACAATGGAGCGCCTTGACTATTTCTTCTGCGGAGTTTGCTGTTTAGAGCCGAGAGCATGGGCTGGCTGCCATCTCGCGGCGGAGTGTTTATGGTTGCGACCGAGCCTGTTGAATGTGCGGAAGCCGAAGGAAACATGGGTCTACGGGTCGGTGGGCTGCTTGTTGCAATGGTCGGATTGAAGGTGACGCTGCGAGCAGGACGATCGGGCTTCTTGCCCAGGAGGGGAGTCGACTCGGCCGTCGTCGCCATGATGGAGATGGTGTGTCTGAGTGTGTTGTGGAAGGGTCGACGAGAGGCTCGAGTATCGACGCACGCCTGTCTTATCCGGGTATGAATGGTCGAAAGTGACAATGATTCTGGCAGTCCCAGACGTCTCACACCAAGCACGCCGTTCCGTCGAGGGCTGGGCGTCGCAACTTCCTCTTCTTTTCTTGAAGTCAACGTCATCGGCAGCGTCCGAGCGCTGTATATTAACCCACGTTTATTCCATATTCTCACTACTCGATACATTCCACTGCATCGAGACAAGTTTCTATCGTTCTTATAATGCAACTTCTACCCAAGCCTAGATGTCTCTATACCCCTCTAACTACTGCCTCCAAGCCTCGGCATTATCCCAAGACGGAAGTACATAAGGAATACTGTCAGGAGCGTGTTCTGGCAATTTCTCTGTGATCAACTTCATCAACTCTTTGTAGATTATCTCATATCCCTCAGGATTCAAGTGAAGCCCATCGTGCAACATTTGCGCAAGAGTTTGGTTCTGTTCGATCTCGCTAGATCCAGGCAATGGCTCACCCTCCTTCCAGCCAGCTTCCTTCATGAAAGCGGCCCAAACGTCGAGGACAGGGAGACCGAATTCTTGACCGAGTTGGCGAACCGCTTCGGCGTATTTGGCCGTGTTTGAAGCAGTACGTCTCATGACATTGATGCCATTTGTTTTGTCGTGCGCAAGCGCCTTTCTCTCNNCCTCAATCGGCGGTGGAGTGAGCAAGATGAGCTGAGGCTTGTGTGCTTGCAGCATAGGGTGGTTGATGATGTCGGTCAGATTCTTCTTGTACTGTTCGAGATCGACAGTCTGCGAGAATCCTGGGGTGTTGGGTAACCGAGCATCGTTGGCACCTAGAAAGATGGTNNCTGCGGATTCCAATGAGTAACATTTTCTCGTTGTACCACATATCAGACTAACCATCAAGCGGATACGGCCCTGCTCAGGAGTTGGAAGGATGCGAGGAAGGACACTCAAAGCCTGAGTGGTGTTGTAGCCACTGATGGTAACTTGTCAGATGGAGGCTATCATTCAACGCTTCACAAAGGCCTACCTGAATCCTCTGTTGACCACATCAAGACGACGAATGTATGCTATCAGGACTCAGCCAGGTATCGAGACATGACGCTAGAGTAGTATACCATCCTGCAGTGCTGGAGTCCATGCGAAACCCTTGGCCTGACTGGCAGACTGTTGTGTAATGCTGTCACCAAACAGAATGAATTGTTCCATGATGAGGCTGTGGAAGGTTGTTTGATGATGAAACAGACAAGGAGAGGCACAAAGCACTAGCGTGATGACATGGCAGTTGTGGAGAGGGAGTGGAGTATACTAGACGACGGGATTTGGCGGCTCATCGGATAAACAGGCGGAGGAATTGTCCATCACTTATCTCGGTCCTTATCACCGACCTTGAGCTGTTTCATGTCATGGTATCGATTGTAGTGGTCTACGTCTAGCGACGGGCAAGGAGCAGTTCGAATTCAACGACAAGGACGAAGGAATGGGAAAAGGAGAAGTACAGTGTACAGAAAACGACGTGTAGGACGAGATATGGAGGTGATGTCCCGCTGCTGTCCAGTCACACCGCTCTGATGGTCCTTGGCACAGCAAGCGCAGGGTCTCCAAAGCTTAAACGGCAGGGTCATCTGCACTTTTTGGATGCGGGATGTAGCATTTCTTGCTATGGCTGTTGGCAATTGGCAGCATGAACGGTAAGCCAGGAGAGCCCCTTGAGACGTCTTTCATGTCATAAGCACCCCAGATCGACTAGCATGATCATGTGCCAAGGGCTCCACCGGTCCATCGCGTCAGAAGGCACTTGATAGTCAGGTAGCGACTCGAGGCATTGCTGCTAGCCAGCGGTCAAGGGGGGCACTGATACTCTCTCATCTCCGAGCGTGCTTGTGAAGGACTACATCTTGTCCAACACCCTCGAGTCTGTATCTTGGTTGCAGATAACATGCACATGCAATCTGTGGTGCTTCCTAGTACATATATGCACTAACCCCTAATGCCGAAACCTGTAGCCTCGTATGCGTACGACGCGGACGCTTTCGACCAGGACAGCACGCCACCTACTCCCAGGAGCAGCAGAGGCAGTACTGTAAGAAGGCATGGTCGACGTCTCGCCTCTGACTGGGATCTGAAGAGCCGGCTGCCCTCACGCCTGATTCTCGATGACCACGCTTCCCTTCTCGACAACCCTGATGGCCGCCCATCATATCGTGCCATTGCTTCAGCGCCGCAGTCTCCAAAGAAGACTTTCCGAAGAAGGAACAGCGCTCCAAGCGCTGACAGGCGCCCAGGACCCTTCAGCAGAACGCTCAGCTCCCGGGTCGCAAAAGCCTTTGGCGCTGAAGCGAATCACGAAGAAGGTAGTCTTTCTGCTCTTTACGCAATGCCGCAGTACTAACACTCNAAGTCAGACGACGAGAATGACGACCAACAAAAGCTATCCGAATCCATCTATTACGACGACCGCGTCTGGTACGATCAATACACGAGTACCGATTGGGTCCAAGACAGCATAAGCGATGCCTTCCGCTTGAAAGAGTTGCGTAGCCGGAAAGGCTTCAGGGGGAGAACAGAAGCTCTTTTTGATTCTGCTCAAGGTTGGATACTGGTCGCTGTCATCGGGTGCGTCACTGCAGGCATCGCATACATTGTCGACGTGTCCGAGTCTTTCATATTCGACTTGAAGACAGGCTATTGCTCCACTACATGGTACTATGGNAAAAGAAGTTGCTGTGGAGGCGCCAGTACCTGCGACCAATGGTCTCGATGGTCGCTGCATCTGACTCCTGGCCCTGACGAGAACGGCTGGTTCGACTATGCCGCTTTTGTCTTCTGGGTGATAGCTCTGTCTCTGGCAGCGTGTCTGGTCACTCTACAGACAAAAACCGTCGTCAGCTCGGCCGTCAGTCTATCCACACTTGACGAGAACCTTGCTGCGCCTGCGCACGCCCCGACCACCGCCGAAGCTAGAAAGGACAGCTCAGGAAGTCCCACACGACGCTTCGCCCAAGCTGCTCAACGTCCTCCTATGATATACTACCCCGCTGCCGGAAGTGGTGTCGCAGAGGTCAAGGTCATTCTGAGTGGGTTCATCATCCGAGGATACCTCGGTCTTCGGACTCTTATGTTCAAGACCTTGGGTTTGATCCTCAGTGTTGCTTCTGGACTCTCGCTCGGNAAAGGTAATCGTTCTCTTTCCTTCGCATTTCTGCTCTGCTAACACCAATCGCAGGAGGGGCCATTTGTCCACATTGCAACCTGCGTTGGCAACGTTGCATGCCGTATGTTCGAAAAGTATCATGTCAATGACGCCAAAAGACGAGAGATTCTCAGTGCGAGCGCTGCAAGTGGTGTGGCAGTGGCATTTGGCTCTCCAATTGGAGGTGTTCTTTTCAGCCTGGAGGAAGTTAGCTACTACTTCCCGCCAAAGACTCTGTTCCGAACCTTCTTCTGCTGCATTGTAAGTCTGCTGTAATTCCTCAAGTGTGTTGAAAGCTAATCAGGTCCATCGCAGGCTGCAGCATTGTCTTTGAAATTTCTCAATCCTTATGGAACCAACAAGATTGTGCTCTTTGAGGTTCGTTACTTGACAGATTGGCAATTCTTTGAGATGATCATATTCATACTTTTGGGTGTCCTGGGTGGTATTCTGGGAGCACTCTTCATCAAGGCATCGCGTCTCTGGGCAACAACTTTCCGACGCATTCCGAGCATCAAAAAGTACCCGGTCCTCGAGGTCTTCTTAGTGGCTTTGATAACTGGACTCGTCAGCTTCTGGAACAGATATACCAGGATTCCTGTCTCAGAGCTGTTGTTCGAACTGGCCAGCCCTTGCAACTCTTTCAGTTCGTCTGGTTACGGTCTTTGTCCTACTGAAGAGAACATCCCCAACGTTATCGGATATCTGTGTATTGCGTTTGTGGTCAAGTCTGCGCTCACGGTGGTGACGTTCGGTATCAAACTGCCTGCAGGCATCTATGTGCCTTCGATGGTGGTCGGTGGTCTCCTTGGACGCATTGTTGGCCATACGGTGCAGTTCATCACATTGAAGTACCCACAGCTGGAGATATTCGGAAACTGTCCGGTCAATGGGAATCCAGAGTCGTGTGTCGTACCAGGTGTATATGCGCTTGTGGCAGCCGGAGCCACCATGACGGGTGTAACGAGACTGTCGGTCACTCTTGCTGTCATCTTGTTCGAACTCACTGGCTCTCTGGAGCATGTTCTCCCATTCTCAATTGGCGTCTTGGTGTCGAAATGGACGGCCGATGCTCTAGAGCCACTTAGCATTTACGTAAGTCACCTGTTCTACTCCAACAACACCCACCAAACGACTCAAACTAACACGCTGGACTACAGNGACCTGCTCACCGACATGAACTCATACCCTTACCTCGACGCAAAATCTCACCCACCCTTCCTCGGCGACCTCGGCGACATCACCCACGCCCCAAACCCCAAACGCCTCATCGACATTTCCTCGTCGCCGTTCGTGCCCGCACACCAACTACGCAGTAAACTCGAGTACATGCACATGGCCGGCGAACTCGACGGCGGCCTCCCTCTCCTCCGCCACGGCATCCTCGTCGGCATAATCCCCGGCCCAGACCTCGAATTCGCTCTCGATCATCTCGACACCGATGGCCCGGAGCAGCAAGATTTACTGTGTTATCTGGGTCGCCCTGCTTGTTGCTCTGCCTCTGCGTCGGAGGAATCGCTGCATCTTCTCGAGTCTTCTGCTGCAGATATCGGTAGAGGGTTTCATGACAACGAGGTTGATCTTTCCTCTTGTGTGGATCCTTCCCCTATGGCGTTGGATATCAGGTCTCCGCTTGAATTGGTCTTTGAGTTGTTTTCGAAGCTGGGATTGAGGTATTTGTGTGTTTTGGACGGGGGCAAGTTTGCGGGCTTGGTGCATAAAAAGGCATTTGTGCGCTATGTCAAGGAATTGGAACATCAAGAGAGGAAAGGAGGGCATTAATTTATTTCTGGTTTTTCCGAGAAAAGGCATGTGATGGATGGGCATGGAAGGGGAAGTGGACGGACTTGATGTGGGAGTTTTTGCAATTTGCATTTGCAGAGAAAACATGATTATGAAGGGACAATTTGGCATTAGTATACGAAATGAGCATTATGAAGTTTTTGGGGGTTTTCTACCAAATTCCTGGAATGCTGTTGTCAAGCAAGATGTGTGTTATGCAAAGTGCTCGCAACAAAGCCACCAAAAAAAAAAAAGAAAAAGAGACAATCAGAGCCATCACCATCACCATCAGCTTCTTTTTCACTCCCTCATCTCTCTCTCAAAACACCCTGCTCCTTGCGCCACTTACCCTCCCACCCAGGAAACCAAGGATACTCGTTCAAAGTACTTACTTCCCACTCCTTATCAACCAATCCTGTTTGCCGTTGCCGCTTATCCATTTCCTCCAACGCAGGCAACACAACTCCCTTTACACTGTCCACACCTTTATATTCCATTAATTCTCTCTTGCCCTCTTTGAGTACTCTAGCAAGCAAGCCAGGGATACAAGGTTCAGAGGCTAGAGAAGTGACGGGTGTAAACAGGGCTTTGTAGTTGAAGACGATGGCGCCGGAGAGAGGGAGACGACGCAGGGTTTGCCAATCCACTCGCAGATTTATACGCGAAAGAGGTGGAGGGGAAGAAGGCAAAGGGCGAGAAAGGACGGGAGCGAATAGCGGTTTATCGGTCTCGAGACTCCAGGAACCGCGTTGGATGGGTTTCTCTGTGGGCAATTTGGCAAAGAATCNTGCTTGAGAGGTGTTTTGTCAGCATTAGAGCAGAGAGAAGGGTGAAGAAAAGAGCAAGAGAAATGAAAAAGAAGGAGAAGAAAAGGAGGTAAAAGAAAAGGAAAAATCTTACCTGTCCATCGAGAGTTCCATCTTTTCCTTGTAGTCTGGAATCTCTGCGTGGATATCCTTGAGGTCTTTGCCAATTTTTGTGCCGAGACTCCAGCCCAAGGCACTACAAATCACACCCGCTCTAAAGCTATAGTCGCCAGTCTCTGGATCCCTGAGTACGATTGCAAAGTCCTCTGGCACGTTATTCAACAGCACCTCCAAGGGATCAACTTCACGCAGATTGGTCTCGGTGCCGAGGATCTTGTTGGTAAATGTCAAGGTGCGAGAATTGAGGGTAAAGTGGAGAGGGTAGCGCGAGCACAGGAATTGGAGCACCATTTCCATGGCTTCTTTTGTGGCGAGCTCGGAGCCGGGGAGGGATTGCAGGATGGAGGTGCCGTGGCTGGCGAAGAGATCTTGTCGTTGCTTTATACGTGTGGCATAGTCTTTGTCGAGTTCGAGCCAGTAGTCCGGTTCCAGTTNTTTGTATGACATTGTTTGATGGTATTGCCAGCGAAAAGGACGATAGGGTCTAGCCATTGCAGTCTTGATGTCAAAGTCTGCACGAGCTGCGGGCAGAGGCACACCGCTCAGCGCAGCATAATCCGGGAAATTGCCCAGAGCTTTGATCTCCTCGACCGTAAAGCCAGTGGGCGTGGAGTGTTTCTTGTACTGTGAAGCCAGCACGTTGACATTATCTGGAAGACTCTTGTCGGTGTTGTGAGGCAGCTCGCTCAAGCCCTTGCCAGACTTTCCGCCCACGCTGAAGCGAGTGTCGGTGAGTCCGGCCAGGGCGGAGCGTCTGCAAGNGGGAAAAGTGTCTTTGTACTGTTGACCGATGGGAAGAGTGGGTTTCTCGGAAGGATGTGTTGCTGGGGATGGGGTTCTTTGGGGTGCCCATGGCAGTCTGTGTTGCCTGTCAAGGCCAAACCTGCTCAAAAGCAGAGCTCGTTGCTTGTCGTCTAGAGCAAAGTAGAAGACAGTGACGATTGCGAACGCGATGCCGAGCATGGCAAGGTATAAGCCCGCCATGTCACTGACTGTTGAGGATGAAGAGAAGAGATGGGGTAGAGGAAGCTGAATGTGAGAGATCTAGATCACGGAGCAGCCACGACAACAAGTACAACAAGGCGGTTCCTACAATCAAACTGACAGCGCTGACGAGGGTACAGAGCTCTTTATACGCAATCTGATAAGAAGAGGAACCAAAAGAGATAGGAACCCTCGAACGGAAAGACCAGGAAAGACGGAGCAGCAAGCCCCTCAGCGTAGCGACTTACCTTGCCTGATTTAGGGCCATGTACATAGTAAGCCATCGCGATTAGAGACGATTGGGAGCCAGTAGGCCCAAGTCACACGATAGAGGGACAGCCAATATCAAGCGCAGGACAGCATTTCTGGAAGAAGCAATCGAAAGACCAAAGCTTGGCGTCAAGCGTTTGGCGGGGTCGTTGCAGCCAGCGGGCAGAGCAGGGGCAGCGAGTGGGTTTCACATCAGCCATCAAAAGCTCTCGGGACTTTTCGTTTCGACAAAGATAACAAAAACACTTGTTGCGGAAAAGAAACATCATGGGTGACGCAGATCTCGAACAAGTAAGCCGACAAGCTCTGCTCCCGACATGGGGCTCGTCTGACATGGAATTACTAGATCAGGCGTGCGCGCCTGCAAGAAATGCAGCAGCAGCAAGGCCAGTCGGGCGGTCAAGGAGGCCAAGGAGGCGAGCAAGAGCAAAAGCAGCAACGTGAAGGTCAGAAATAAGATTGGTTGCTCGTTCACGTTCCCTCCAACTAACACAACTGTAACACACAGCCGAAGCACGCGCAAGCATCCTCTCCCAAATCCTCGAACCCGATGCCGCAGACCGCCTCGGCCGCATCCGCCTGGTCAAGGTCTCGCGCGCCGAAGACGTCGAAAACAGACTCATCATGCTGGCACGCAGCGGCCAGCTGCGCCAAAAGATTTCCGAAGCCCAACTCAAAGATATCCTGGGCGCCATGAGCGAGCAGCAAGAAAAGAAAGAGACGGTCAAGGTGTCGAGGAGAAAAGGAGGCTGGGACGACGACGACCTCGAAGATCTCTTGAACGACGATTGAAAAGAGACTGGAAGTACTCGCTCGATGCGAAAAAACAACAACAACAACAACAACAACAAAAGCTTTATATCCCGGCGGCCTCGTCCACTCATCCGCCCCAAAAGCCAACCTCACACAACCCGAACACGCGACCACGAACTAAACCCCCTGTCGATTCACAAACGATCGCATACCCATAAACACTGTCGCATAGAGCCGCTTCAAGAAGAGTTGCCGCTCCTCGGTGCCATCAAGAATGGCCACATCAACACTATAATACATATATTTCGATCCCCAAACCCTTTTCCCGACCTCCTAGCTCTTCTTTACTATATCACTTCTTGAGACGGTGACACGGAGCAGTAAAACGACTATTCCACAGCCAGCCTCATCAAGCATCATCCCAATACCGAGCATCCTATTCATCCCGACCACATCCAACCCCCCCACGTCTGATATTCGTGACTTCCCGCTTCCTTTGCTCTACTCTCTCTCGTTGACCTTGAATACTTCTTTCCAATCGTGCTTTCGTGACACCCCTTACATCAAAGGAACCATTTGTTTTTGGAATTTTTTTGAGGGCGGGAAAGGGGGCACTCTAGGTTGACATGCAACACGGTCTTTGTGCCTTTTTTTTGCAGTTAGAGTGGATATTACAAAGGAATTCAAACCTCGTTTACATGGGGTTAAGCAGGTCAGGTGTCGAACATAATACGCTCAAAGAATCAAAAAGAGGTTGCAAAGTACTTCAAGAAAAAAAGAGGATGATAATGATAAATAGATAATAAAAACACACAAATAAGAGTAAGTGAGAAAAAAAAAATGAAATGAAAGAAGTCCCCCTCCCTAAGATGAGTGCCAGAAAGGATGAGAAGCTATTGTTCCTGGCTTGTTCTTCCTCGGACCTCTTGTCAAAAGATTTCCTCCCCTTATAACCATTCCCACCGTGTTCGGAATCCTGGGCCCTACTTTTTCCAGATACTGTTCGTGAACACGCCCCATTTTCCTGTCTCGTTTCACAGGGTCATTTGTATGAGTATGCGTTTGCTTCGTGTCATTGTTTCTTTCCGAAAGCGTAATCTAGGACGCGTGATGTCTAGAAGTCGGGGAAGAGGCGGCCGTGACTAGAAAGTTGAATGTCAGTTCGTGTGAAATCGTCAATTGCGAGAATGGGGATTTGCTTACGGGTCGTCACCCATGCTTCCATATGCTTCAGTCTCTTCTGGGTACTTGTCGAAAAGACTGGCATCACCCTGACCGCCCTTGACTGGAGGCACGTAAGGAGCATCTATATCCTTCTTTGCCAGTCTCTCCCAGGTGACCTCGGCGAACCAAGGGTGCTGCATGACATCCTTGCTGCCACCGTGCAAGTTGCCGAGACGCTTGGTCAGGTCGTGAGTGATGAGTTTGCTCAAAAGATCTTGAGCATCGGGGTGGACGTAGGGAGGGTACTTGACTCTTCCGCGAAGAATGTTTTCGTAAATCTTCAGAGGACTGCCAGAGTCCCAGAAAGGCGTGAAACCGCAAAGCATTTCGAAGATGAGAATACCGAGCGACCACCTACATTGTCATTGTTAGCAGGCTTCAATTCGGGTCAAAACAAGAAGAACTCACCAATCAACCGACTTGTTGTAACCCTTGGACGAGACAACCTCGGGAGCGAGATAATCTGGAGTACCGCACAAAGTCCAAGTGATGTCGGGAACTTCTTTGGCGAAGCCGAAATCGGTAATCTTGAGATGGCCGTGTCTGTCGAGGAGCAAGTTCTCAGGCTTCAGATCGCGGTAGATGATGTCCATCGAGTGCAGGTAGTCGAGGGCAAGCGTGACCTCGGCAGCGTAGAACTTGGCGACGGGGTTGGGGAATCTCTGTGCATCGAGTCAGTCGGAGTGCCATGGTTCAGGCAAGAGGGAGAATGTTACCTGAGACTTGCGCAGCAAGCTAAAGAGCTCACCGCCCTCGATAAAGTCCATGACCATGTACAGATTCTTGGAGTCCTGGAAGGTGCCCCAGAGAGTGATCAGGAAGGGATGCTTGACCTTTTGCAGCATGCGGCGCTCATCGTTGGTGTGCTCGACCTGCTTCATCTTGACAACCTGTTGCTTTTTGAGGACCTTGACGGCATAGAAGCGCTGGTTGTGCTTGGACTGGACCAGATGGACACGTCCGAAACTGCCGGTACCCAAGGTGCGGTTGATGGTAAAGTCCTGCAGCGTGTACTTGCCCTTTGTCTCGCGCACGGGGTTGGAGAGTTGCTTGGGCTTCTCCATGGCACCATTGGCCATGTATGCAGAGTCGTGGGCGTTTTTGGGCTGTGCGGTTGGTTGGTTGATGAGATTGTGGATGCTGGCAGCATTCTGCTGCGGCTGTTGCTGGGCGGGCTGTTGCGACTGCTGGTAGGGTTGCGACTGCTGCTGGTAGGACTGCTGGCTTTGTGGTTGGGCCTGCTGTTGCTGGATTGGGAAGGATTGCTGGTGCTGCATGGGCTCGGCTGACTTTGGTTGCTCGACGTTGATTTCAGGAAGCGACGACTGGGCGGACGACTGGGGCTGGGAGGTGGATGTGGAGGTGGATTGGGACTGGGACTGAGATTGCGCAGGGGCTTGCGATGCAGCAGCTGAAGCAGCGGTCGTCGCCCTGGACAAAGCGGGGGTCGGCTCCTTGGAGGTGGTATGGCTGAGCTTGGTCGGCGACGTGGGCGAAGCAAAGGTGGCCTTGGTGGGCGACGAGACGGGCGAGCTCAGATCGTCCTTGGTCTTCTTCTTCTTGAGGAAGCCGAGCGATGGCATTGTGTGTCGGATGTCGTGCAAGAGCAACTGACTCCGCGCCCCGCAGCTGTGCTAGAACAAAGCGTCTGAGACTCCGTGTCCTAATCTACCACAATGACGTCGAGCGAGAGGAGCTGTGACGGGTGATGGTGGTTCGATGGCGACGACAACAGGGAGCTGAAGCTGGAGCTGGAGCTGAGCTTTGCGAGAAGGAGAGGAGGAGATCTTGCACCGAGTTAACTCTCCAGCAACCGGCGAAAGAGCTAGTGGAGCCTGAGAACAACGTCCGTTATGCGCGCATCCAGACTCGCTGGAAAGGCAATGAGATCGTTGGAATGCGGGTACCACCGTCGGGCTTGTGCTCGTAGCGCTTCTTGACCAGAAGCTGCCGCCCTTGACTCGACAGCTTGCCATTCTATCTACTCCGAGTACTCATACAGTCAAGACCTTTTCTTGACCCTGTCCGACTGCATCCCTGTCTGTCCCTGTGTCTACCCGTTCAAATGACGACGTGGCCCGACTTGCTTGTTGTTGCTTCCTTTTCCCTCGTCGCACCCCGCAGCAAATCGGCCGTTCGCGGCAAAGCCCCCGATCCGTCATCCTGAAAGAGCGAACCTCGCAAGCGCGTCGACCAGGAAACACTTCTGTCTCATGAACCCGCCCTGTCCGTTTCACGCCTCTCCGACCGAGTCCTGTAACTGTCGATGCAACACACTTGCAATTCCCATGCCCTTATCATGACCATCCAGAAAACCATTGGGGTTGTGTGCATGGCAAGAAACCCGATCTGTAGCGGCCCCGAGCTTGCCCTTATACTGCCAATAGAACCATTCGTTAATCGGCGTCGCGCGTCGTTGCTTATTGGGGGTGTGGGCAGCTTTTTGCAACCGTTCAAGCTATTGGACTTGTCCTGTTCATCCCATCATCCTGCAACGCATCTGTATCTGTGTTGAATCCCCTTTCTCCTGCCATCTTTGTGCTCGCTTATGTGTTTGTCGATCTTTTGGAAGCAAAGTTGTGCCTTGCCAGTGCGCATATCTTCTCTTTTCGTGGGTGATCCGCTCGTCTTCACTTCTGCACTTAGGCTAGTATATACGTCATATCCATTTGGACTTTTGACAAGGCTGGAAGTAATTCAAGGCGGCCAATGTCTCATGATTCTGTGTGCTACATAGCTTTGTCGAGGCTGTTGTTTGAAAAGAACACCCAAGCCTGTTCACAAGGACAAAAATGGGCCGTGTCGCTGCCAGAGCATTGCTTAATCACTCACTACAATCTTGTCAGTAATCACTCAACCCGGTACAAGCACTCATGCTGTTCAGGGTGCTCATTCCTTCGAGGAGTGAAATTAAGCGTGCTGAACATTGAGAGGGAAGAACACATACATGACTGAGCTTGAGAAACACCTTCCTGGAATGATCAAAAGAGATGAAATTTCCTTTCTATAGGGGCTAACCATCAGCCAAAATGCATAACACGACAAACGCCAGAGATTGTGCAAAAACTTACCTGTGACAAGCAAATGCTCAACCGCATCACCCTATCAATCCTCACCTTGTTCGTGCTGGGCAGCTCCAGAAGCCGGCTTTCCTCGTCGTGCTTCTCGTCAAACCAACCAGACACAAAATAGCCTCTGCACCACACCAAGCCGCGAAGAAGATAGTCTTCAGGCAATGGCTTGGGGGCGCCTCTGAGAAAGCTGCCTCGCCGACCTTCGTCCGCGACTCGATTCTCAATCGGCTCGGTCCTGATAAAACTGTTGAGGAAATCGACAATCTTCCCCCAAGGGATGGAACTTAGTACTTTTGTAATCACGGCGGCCGGTCCGATCGCCAGATTGTAGACGCTCCAAAGAAAAGCCAGAATTGTATGTACATGAGGGAGGACGTTGAAATCATTCTCTCGAGATAGAACCAGCGCGAGTGTGTTGGAAAGAAGATGCAGGGAATCGTCCAAGATGGAGTCGACTCCTTGGGTACCGGANNATCCTAGCGAGTTCCGGTTTAGCGTGGTAATCTACAGATTTTGGAGGAGATCATGCATTACCTTTATCCCTTTCCTGTAAGCTTTTGATAGACAATTGTCAAAGTAGCCGTACCCGAAGCAAGCTGAAATGTTAGTGACGGCAATGAAGACACCATGATCCTTCCACTTGAGCGCCTGACGACGAATTTGCGCATCAAGCCATAGATGATACGTAGAAATGGAAACACGAAGTTGAGTCCCGTGATTGCGAGATCTGGAAGCCAACAGCTTTGCATGCAGGCAAAGAAACATGGAGTCTGTTCCGTCCACATATGGCATCACTGCTCGCTCTGGCTCAACCTTTGTCAAGGGCAAGAGCAACGAAGACAGGGATTCCATGGCAGACTCGAAAGGCTGAACACAGGTCAACGCTCGACAATAGTAGTATGCTTGTTGTATCGCATTTGGGCGTGCCAGTATGCCCAAGTGATGGTATAGTCTCCCCACATCTGGGTTTCTGTTTGATGTCTTTGAATACCAATCACGGGCCACTCCACCCCAAACCTCGCGATCTCTCATGTCTACCTCTTCAACGGCCATTCTATAACGTGCCAAGTCTCCAAGGCATTCGATCCAGGTGTCTTTGAAGGATGGAACCGTCTCGTAGAGTAGCGTGACTGTTTGGTATGCCAAGTATATGAACTGCAGCATGTAGTCCAGCGAATCCGGCAGACGTCGTCGCAGTACCTCCAGAAACGAATGGATACCGTGCTTCCACATTCGAGCTGGCATAGAGTACTTGATGGCCAGCTTGCGCAACGAAGAGCTGGTCGAGGGATGCTGTGATGCAGACAAGAAGTCATGATGTTCGTACAGCAAGGTTCGATGTACTGCAAAAAGTGCCTGCCATTGATCAAAAGAAAGATTCCCACTCGCACTCATATGTGCAGCATCCAGCTTGATACACTTTGCTTCAACCATGACCAATGCGGCATAAATACCCTTGATCTCTGCTGTGAACTCATCTTGAGACATGTAATCTGTTTGTCGTAAAGATCTCGATGCGTTCAGCCCAGGTATTGATTGTGCAATGTCAAGATACAAGGTTTCCATCGGACGACGACGACGCTTCAAGCCTTCTGAGAATTCTTCCGGAGTTCGTGGATCGTATGGGTCTGGAAACAAGGTGCGTCCCTCAGTTGCACTGACCGATGGCTCACTTGTCAGTGGAGGACACGCTGTTATATTCTCCTCTGCAGTGGGTCGTTTGATGTACTTTGGAGCCAGGCATGAGGTCCTTATAGCAATTGCTTTGTCGTAGTCTTTGGCCGATGCTGTGGCGTCTGCAGTGCAAACCTCTGAGCTTGCTGGTCGTTTCTTCGAGAGGGGACTCACTCTGAGGTCAACCTCCCCAGCATGTTCTAGGGATAATTGTCCAAGTCTTGCCGCCGCTGTCAAATCAGACGGCGATATTCGAAGTGGACTTTCCTGGCCCTTCATGTTCCTTGTTTCGGTCAGAAGAGTTCTCGGTATCTGACTGGCTCTTGCACTCTTCTGTGGTGACTTGGGGCTGGGATCCTGAGCCCTAGAGCAAGTCAATCGAATTGTTTCGGCAATCGGTCAAAGGAAGTGACCTAGGGGTGTCTGATCTAGTCAAGCTCTGGGTTGGATGGGGCTTGACACATACGGATTGACTGGTAAGGCATTGCTGTAGAGATTTGAAGTCATCCATTCTCCATCTTTGTCGCGCATTTTCCCCAAGCCATCGTGTGACTCCGCGTGTGCTTGCAGCGGACGATAGTCATCATAAAATCCGGATCCATCGTCAATCTCAATGCAGCAGGAATCAAAAGATGGCTTGAGTGGTTCGTGGATTCGGCAGTGTAAGGCTTCATGTGGGTCCGCCATTACAATTAAATGATGGAAGTCGTGATTGCGGCGTGGTAGGCAAGCTTCTTAGCAGACTCATTCGTGTACTCTGCCTCGGATGTGTGAGAGCGATTTTCAAGAAAACAGAGGCCTGTCTCATGGAGATGCAAACGTTAGTGCGCGGTGGGACAGGTGGCATCGACAAAGTTTCCGCGTCACACCAAGTTGCTTGACACACGGGCACTCACCACGAACGGCCGAGAGGAAAAACTGGCAGTAAAAGACTATGAGCAACCCGGCGGGTACATGATGGCAGAGATGGGGAAATGTTTATATGTGTACACCGACAGTTGACTGGTCAACTCTTGATTTTCAAGGCAGACACACTAAGACGTAGTCCTTGTGGCTTGCTAAGGCAGGCAGACATGGATTTCCCGAAGGATCTTCGAGTGAGTTTACGCCAAGAAATACCCAGATGGGCGGGGTCTATCATGTTCTAATTGGAGTCTTGAGAAGACTCTCTTCTTGTTCCTGAGGAGACCTGAGATGGAAGCTGACACATCTGCCTGTGCGACGTGAGATTTGTTTCTTCAGCTAATCCATTCGACCGTCCTCGAGAGGAATTCAACACGACGAAAGATCATGCGCGTATTGTGCTGCCTCGCGTCAATAGGTCATGCAGCTTGTCACTGGTCACGCCATGGTCTACTTAGTCAACTTTCATGAGCGGCTACGAGCAAGTCGGTGATCCGAATGGACTCTGATAGTAATGAGGTGATCACAATGCATACATCTTTGGCGAAGCACGGTCTCACCGCACCTCCTTGGTGACGAGGCAGCGTGACCATCCCAATCCTGGCTCAAAGCCAGTCAAGTTTTGATTTCCGGTCAAGCCTGTAGCATGTTACAAAATCAGCCTTGATGGACGATGGCCTAGCGATAGGTAAGCTGCAAGATTGTGAACAGTCTGCTGTGCGGCCGGGATCTCATTTGCGCACAAGCATCTTTGGATGACCGGGGTTTGTGCATGTCACTGCCAATGTAGTGCAGTTTTCAGGTGACTTGCGACTGCAGCGTGAATCGGTTGCACATGAGGTGTCGCGGTCCGCCATGCACCTCCTCCTTTCTGGACACGTCTCCAACGAGTCACAGAATCTTGTCGCATTCCTCTTCGGCATGCGCTGGAACCAACAAAACCTGAGTGATCTCTGTCAAGTAACCTCTAAACAAAGCCAAAATCTCTTGACGGACAAGTACTGATTACCAACGATCTGAGGCGGATTACCATGCTCATCAACGTGACGACTCGCTTCTCTGAGTGGTTGATCTACTCATGTGAATGCAACCTCTTCGAAAACAATCGCACGAGTCCTCATCACTGCAGCGAGCTCTACAACGAAATGTTGCAGAATGACTATGTTCGTCACGACATGGCTCAGAGTGGCGTCTTTGCTTTCCTTGTCACCGTCGCCCTCTGTTCGAGTATGAGCAACAGAATCTGATACATATTCGAAGATCGTGTTGCTGGCCGAAGCTTCAGTAGAAATGAAGTGGATCTTGCCTCTCAATGTCTGGGCTTCGTTTTGCTTGGACTCGGTCTGAATTGAAAGATTCTCGGCTGGTAGAGTTTCCTCTGTGGGTGATTCTGGTGGTGGTGGCCTGAAGATCGAGTTCGGTTGCTGGCGTTGGGACGCTTGCGGAAGAGAGCTAGATCTTGGTGGCACGCTCGATAACGAGCTATCTCTTAACCTCACAGGTGTTGATGACCTAGAGCCATTGGATTCGCGTGAGGTTGATCTTTGTCTTGATCCTGCTTGGAGGCGCTGTATCTGTCGGTTCTCAGTCGGACGCGCAGATTCAGTAGACTGTCTAGTGGAAGCAGCGGAACTTCTGGGCTGAGTTAGCAAGTCTTCGTGACCAGCTCCACCGAGGATTGCGACCCGCTTCTCGATCAGATGATCGATTATGGAAATGTCGGAGCGCATACTGTCAACCTGGCGATTCAAAACACGCAAGACCGCAAGCAATAGTGGATCCTGGGAGTCCTCTCGGCGCTCCTGAGAATACACGGATTGCAGCTGACGGAGACTTCCAATTTCGTCCTCGTCTAGACTGGTGCTGTCAAAAGTTGGTTCGAATGTTGGTGGCTGATAGTCCATCCTAGGCACAGCAAGCCAGCCATCGAGGCCAACGCCAGCACATGACGCCAGGCATATTGTCGCCTCGGTCAAGGCAAGATTGACATCGACGCTGTTGGTGAAGAAGGAGCCGAAAAGCGCAGCGATTGACTGAATATAAGGATCATGGGACAAGATTTTCAAGACAGAAGAATCTTTGGGAGCTTTGTTCGCGACCTGAACTTCCAAGGAGACTGTAATATCCTGGCAAGCTGTGGCATACGCCTCGTCGACGTCAATCTCACCACCAAGACCTGTGGCGATCTGAATCAGGCCGTTTGTCTCGACGCACAGTGCCTGGATGGTCCTCCTCTCTTCAGGTAACAAGGTTGACTTGGATTGCAGTAGGGTAGAGGTGGTATATGTGCGATGCCTTGTCAGCATGACTGACGAAAGTTTTAGAGCCGCGACGACTGTCTGGGAATTTTGCGATCGGATGCCATTGAGCATGAGATCGACCAGACTGAATAGCGTGGGTTCAAATTTGTCGTCGTCGTTGCCAGATTGTGTAAGCAACATGAGGGTACTCTGCCTCCTCTGGACAGTAGGTGAGACGGGTTCTGATTGTTTGGCTTCGGGAATAGCCAAGAGATACTGAAGCACCATGCGAGTTAGGTCCGGATGGTCTAGGGATTCGAAAATGCTGGAAAGATAAGTAAGGACGGCGACAGAAGAACCGCCATCGGTGTCAGAAGACTGGAGCAGTGAGGGATAGAGAAGCTGTTGTAAAAAGAGGACTCGGAAATGGTCCAACAGGGTGGTCTTGACACTTTCAGACTTGCAGTGTTCCAAGACGTCCTGCCAGAAGGCAAGATGGGAGAGAAAGGTAGCCATATGGGTAGCGTGTGTTGGCGAGAAGATGCTTTCGGTGGAGGATAGTTGTTGAGCATCGATGTAATCAGAGAGAGCAAGTATCATGGGCAGACGGTCGTGGTCGTGGAGAATGGACAGCTCGCGGCTCAGCTGGCTGTACAAAGCGCCAAGCCCAGAGGCCATCAAGGTCGGCAGGTCACTTTCAATGATCCAATCCTCGAGACGTGTAGAGTTTGAGATTGCCTCGAAGATGTACAGCAAGCCAGTTCGGGCAAAGTCACCTATACGGCCGTCATGATGAATACGGTCAATCAGGAGATAGCACAATGGAAAGTCGTCCTTTTGGGTTTGGCCAGCAAACAGATTCGGGTCCTTGATCGAGTCGTCCTTGTTGGCGTGCGAGGAGAACCAGACGGAGAGGATGTCGGGCTGTATACGGATCTTTGCGACAACGGCAAACAATAGCTCGACGACATGGGTCTCGATGTCTTCGCCATAGCCACCTTGGTTGGAGTCTATGACACGCAGGGCAAAGCGCATGAAAGATTTGGCAAAGGTGGGCGAAGCGACAAAGTCTTCATCCTCGCTCTCGAGCAGCAGGCTGAACAAGATGACAGTCTGGCGTACTAAGCGTGGATCGCGGGAGGTCGAGGCAGCGCGGGCGACTACGCTGTAGATTTGCGAGGATTGGGTAAAGTTGAGACAGAGGTGGGGAGCAGGGGAGCGGCTCTCTTCAGCGAGTAATGTGGTGATGGTCTGCAGCGAGGAATAGAGTTGGTCGAGGGCAGGGCCGTGGGATGCCAGGGTCTGTGGACGGCCGCATAGTTGTAGGATGGGATTGTAGGCTCGGCGGAAGCGCTGCAGACGTTGCTGCGGACTGGACGCTGCTGCCGTGGCAGACTTGTTGTTGCTCACGCCGTTGATGAGTTTGGTCCACTGCGCGACACGGGTCAGTCACCTGGAGAAGACGGATGCAGGGCTACTCACAAAGTCCATCGAGGCGCTGGTGCAGGTCGTCAAAGCATTGTGGTCCTTGTCTGGCTTCGGCCTGTTTGCATGTGCAAGTGAATCTGAAACGCGCCCCTTGATTTCTGAACTCTCCCCCACATTTCACGCATCACGCAGAGCACCTTCCTCTCTGACGTATCCCCACTCGCTCGTCGAAGCGGAAGGTACGCCCGAGATCGGTCAGTTGCTATTGCATACCATCCATTCTTTTCGCCTCGCCTAGTCGTTCCCGCTGTCTTCTTCTTCTTCTTCTTTCTCGCCTCCCACCAGCACCTTCCTTGTTTCTTCCTCTATCAAACTCCTCACATCAACCTGGCCGCACTATGGGCACTTTGACGGCCGACCTGCCTCGTTTGCCCGAGTACTGTGACCATAAACTGCCCACCTCGTGCCGCCTATCTTCGATCCCAAATTGCTGTGCTTGTGCCGATGAGCGAGCACACCAGTCAAGTTATTCGACCTATGTAGACGGTGTAGGTTTCGTCGCTAGAGGTGCTCGTTGGGACCGCTACTGTTGGCCTTGCTCTCGTACGCCCCATGTGCCCATTCTCAGCCTCTCCGTACTAACGCCNTGCTCAGAGTTCTGGAAAAACCGAGTCGCCCAGACAAACCTGCTACCTACCCAAACCCGCATCCCACAAATACCCGATCAGTCCGAGTTCCTACAACGATGGTATCAATTTTACGACGGCTACCGGACCGTGAATCGTCCTGATGGGGTCCAAGAAAGAGTCGCCGTCTTGGGCGAACGCTTCAGAGATGTTTCTCCCGGCCGTCTACCTAGAACCTTGGACGAGCTCAGAGCTGGCCAGGAACGAAGCGACGCAGATCAACGTCAGCACGTTGAAATCACAACAAATGATGCTCCAGAAGGTCCTTCCTTAGAGGACGCTCTCGACCAAATGTTCGAGGAAGCCGACGAGGAGGAGCAAAATGTTACACGAACCACTCAACAAGACCAACCTCCTGCACTCATACACGCCCCCTACACCTTCAATTCCAACGACAGCCGTACAGATGCTCGTGTCGCAGGCCAGGTCATGAGAGCTGCCCCGTCAAGAAACCCCGAATACCAAGCCCGCAGGATCTCCGCTCTTAGACGCGAACTGCTCAGGATGCGTAATGGCATCGAACGAGTCATCTCTGGCCTCAGAGATCTTGGAGAGCCCATACCCGATCACACAGAAACTACCAATCGACTCTCCGAACTCGGAAGATCACTTGATGCCATGTCTGTCCCGCTGTCAGCATCGTCTCATTCCGATTCTACCAATCGTGAGACACGCGCTCCTGTCGTTGGCTCCGTCTATCGCAATCCTGAATTTACCAACGTTCAACAGCGCTTCGATGAAGCCCAACGACAACTAGAGCAAGCCCAGAGATTCCGCGACCAAGCAGCAGTGGAGTTCCAACTGGTTCAGGCCAGCCATACTGAAACTTCCGAGATACTTGAAGGTGCCGAGCTTGATCTGACTGAACACAGAGAACAGGTCTCTCAACTTCGGCGCGAACAGCGTACCGCCGAGAACTATGCTCGCCTGTTCGGTTCACGAGAAGATATGGAAACCCAGGGTGCTGATTACGAAAGCCCGATTGGTGGCATGTTTACTCGTGCTTACGAAAGATTCAGAGTTGCCGAAGAAGTCAGACAAGACGAGAGAACTCTGCGACAAGTCCTGGAACACGAACAAATGGCCACTGGGCCACTCTTCTCTAACGACAATGAAGAAGCTCACCCGGCTGCTGACACGGTCTACGAAAATGGTCTGAATGAATACTACTCCATGCTCAGACAACAAGACTGGGTGCAAAACATTCGAGGATCCGCATCGAACAACGACGCTATTCTTGACTCTAACCCTTCGAACTTCGGAACTTCGAGTCCATCGGTACATACACAGGCAGAAGTGATTGCGTCTGAACAAGCTCCAGCATCAGCTGCATCGCAGCAGATGTCCACGTTGGAAAGGCTCCTGCGTAATACCCCTGAGCCTCAGAGAAGCTCCATCATCGCTCGGATGGAACAGAATGGAACGGCGGCTGCGATTAGAGAATCCGAGAGCGGCAACTACATCGACGTCTGGCGGCGCCTCCGCGATGCGTATGCCCCCTTCAGAGGTAACTGGGAAGAGGAAAGTGAATCATCAGAGGATGAAGATCGTGCCAGAGGCGGTCTCGATGCTGAAGATTCTGGACGCCCCGAACCCAAGGAAGATGCCGATATGACATTCAAGCTGGACTGCAAGATCTGTTACACACAAACTGCCGATACTGCTTGTCTTCCTTGTGGACATTTGGTGATGTGTCAATGGTGCAGTGCACAGCATTCGCCTGTCATGCAGCATGACAGAACGAGGCCACGTAAACCAGCTAATTGCCCGGTTTGTCGTAAGAAGATCAAGCAGAAGGTGCGTATCTACCGAGCATGATCTTCTCATGAATCATAAAGAACACATGTACAACATACACTACAGGTTGATAGTACGCTACTATGGCCACAGTTGGATAGTGGTCAATCGGCCCCACACCTATGCAACGTACTATCTCGAGACAGTCTCTTCCCGTTGTCTATCGAAGTAGATGGCAAGTGCGCTCCTCGTGTGCAAAAGACGGCCACAGCCACGTAACAGACTTCTGTCCACCCTGACTTGTATCGCGATTATATGTCATAAAAATGCACAGTCGCTTTCCCAACAGCGACGTGGCCATACTCGTAGAGATACTCAAGGATAACCATTTCTCCGTGGATCTTGCTCTTTTCAGAAGTACCCTAATTCTATAGCTACACTGCGACAGTCTATCGCACACGGGGAGAATATAGGTCTATCACGCGCGGTCGCGTGCGAGGACAACTATTCACAAATACTCCAACCTTCTCGGAGCTTGAGAGCATGGTTTCAGGGCCACTCGGCAATGTTTCCTTCCGGAGCTGTCAGAAGCTGTCTAGAACAGAGTGTGGCGCACTCTTCCTGATCTGCGTATCCCCGTCACGGAAGGTAAAGCGAGTTTAGCCGTGGTAAGACGTAGTCGGGTCTGCCCGATCAGGTAATGTGCCGCTAAATGGGATAGTCAGACTCGAGACACTTAAAAAGAGATGCCCAGGCAGATAATAACAACACATTGATCAATTCGATCTCGACGACAAAGAGTGGGAAGATATGGCAAGCCAAAAGACATTGCTTTCCGAGCTTCGTGCTCGCAGTGCTGTTGATTGTGACACCCTGGATGTGGAAGGTATGCTTTATATCGATACATACACACGACTTATAGTGCTTTGATGCTTACTTCTTCGTNNAGTTGCTCAGGCCTTGGGACCTTTTGTTGATTGCACATCGAACCAGGTTAGCTTCGAGTCACTTGCTGTCATTGATCATAATCGGGATGCTGACAAGCTTCTCGTNCAGGCCATTGTCAACATTGAACTGCAAAAACCAAAGAATGAACCTCTTATCATCGAGTCCATCCAACAAGCCAAGCAGTTGTACACTCAATATGCCTCTGAAGCCACCTTTGAACAGTTCGCCACTGAAGTCATGGTAAGCTTATCCTCTCCAGCGACATCAAACCCACTTGATCAGAAACTCTAACACCTGCCCCCTTCCAAAAACACANNGGCAGTCAAACTCTCGGCAAGAATGATCCCTTACCTCACCGGCCGCGCTCTCATCCAGACAAATCCCTACAACGCCTACTCGACCTCCGCCACCATCGCCAATGCTAAACGCATCATTGCCATTTACAAACAAGTCCTGCCCGAACACCCGAGCAATCGTGTCTGCATCAAAATCCCGAGTACCTGGGAAGGCATCGCTGCTTGCAAGGAGCTTGAACAGCAAGGTATTGTCACTCTAGCCACTACTTTGTTTTCTCTGGAGCAGGCTGCTGCTGCACACGCGGCTGGCTGCAGTTACATCGCGCCGTATGTGAATGAATTGGCCGTACATTTTGTTGCTNNGGGTGAGTGCTTTCTGTCCGGCGCCGTGAGAGAAGAAGAAATCATATACTGATGCAAGAGGCACAGCCACATCGACAACGACAAAGGCTTTGCCCTCACCCGCTCTTGCCAAAACTTTTACGCAAGGATTGGGTCAAAGACTTTGGTCATGCCTGCCTCGCTGACTTCTGTGGAAGAGTGCTTGCGAGTCGCCGGCGCACACCACATTACCATTTCACCTCCTCTGCTTGCTGCTCTTGCCGCTACTCCTTCTTCTTCTTCTGCTGCTCCCTCCATCTTTGACGAGTCCGACACTGCAGCAGAGGCTGTCAATGATGCACAGCTCTTGGAAACGGTCAAGGATGAAGCTAGCTACAGGATCAGGTATACGCGTCTGAAGAATGGTGTCCAAGAGAAGAAAATCGTGGATGCAATCAACATTTTTGCGGATTGTCAAGATCAAACTGAGGAGTTGGTGGTGAGGTACAGCAAGTGACTGAATTACTGCAGGTTGTATGGGAAGCAGCCTTTGAGTTTGCTCGCTTTGTAGCTAATTTTGCCCCTTATTTGCTTACCCCTTCTTAAGTTTGTTTTTGGCATGAGTAAGGGAAGCATTCTGTATTTGGCATGTATATTTCTGGGTGTCATGAATTGGGGAAGTACGCCTTCATGAGTAGAAGTTGGAACTAAACTTCGAAATTTCTATCCTCATTCCCCTTTACGTCGATGAACAGTTACTACCATCAAGCAAGTGATTGTGTATTTCTACAGACACACTGGGACTGGCTTGAACACAGACACGAGATGGATTGTATGAAAAGGAGAGAGTACATGCAAACCAGCAGTACAAGATGACCATACAAAATAAGAAAAAGACAAGGAGCACAAAAAGACAAGACAAAACATCCAATCCACCAAACATCCCCAAGAATAAAGAGCAATATCCTTCCCGATCAGGCATCGGAACTACCTAACCCTCAACCCACCCAACCCCCTCCCTCCTCTCACAAACCACCCAGCCGCCACAACAGCAACAACAGACACCACCCCCACAGCCCCCAGAACCCCATTACTGGCAACAATCGTCTCCTCCTTGACCCTCCCAACCCTCGTCTTTTGCCTCTTGCCCAACCCCTCTTCCCCTGTTCCCTCAATCTCATAATCACTCCATTGCACTTCGGCAATCATGTTCTGATAGTCTACAACATTTTTGCTCCAGTTGTTGGTGATGAGGCCTTCGCTGGTCTTGTACCAGGAATTGCAGTTTGGGTCTGCAAAGGCCGAGGCGGAGAGATCGGATTGAAGTTGTTTGTTGAATGCTTCCATGCGCCGGTCATTGGGGCGGATGGATAGATTTTTGCCTTGTTTGCGGGCGTAGAGGACGGGAGCGATCAAGGCGTTGATGTAGCGTGATTGGGCTTCGATCATGAGGATGATACTGTTGTGGCCAAGGTTGGTGTTCGGCCCGTAAAGCATCGAAAAGTTGGGCATGGAAGAAACGGTGACGCCGTAGAGGGCTTTGGCGCCGTGAGACCAGACTTTACTGAGAGGGGTGCCATTGTGTCCGCGCATCTCGATTGGGTGCATAAAGTCCAGAGTCTCGAAGCCTGTGGCCAAGACAATGAGATCGTAGTCATCGGCTTCTTTACCTTCGGTCTCGATGCCAGTTGCAGTGATGGAAGAGATCTTGTCTGTGATGAGAGAGACGTGAGGCAGTGCGAGGGTAGGATAGTAGTCATCACTGATGATAATACGCTTGCAACCTGGATTGTAGTTTGGCAGTAGCTTTTTCTGCATCTCGGGATCGTCAGGAAATGCGGCATTTAGCATGTCTTTGTTGTATTTGCGGATCTCGTCTGCGCCGCTGGATGTTGTATCCCCAACAATCTGATAGAAGGACTCGCGAAAGTCCATTTGAAGGGCTCGCTTTCGCCACATTAGTGGAGGGACATATTTGAACAGACTTCTTGTCCAGGATGGGATGGGAGCATCCTGGCGAGGTATCANCCAGTTGGGCGTTCGTTGATATACGCCAACTTTACTGGCTACCTTTGCAATCTCGGGGATGATTTGGACGGCCGTTGCACNCTGAGGTCTGTGTTAGAACATTATATTCGTCAAGAACTTGATACAGACACAAAACTCACCATTTCCAATGACGGCAATCTTTTTATCCTTGAGATCATAACTCCAATCCCAACGAGCAGAATGAATGAGTTTACCCTTGAACTCCTTGATGCCAGGAATATCTGGCCACTTGGGTACGTTCAGTTGTCCCACCGCACTAACCAAGAAATCGGCATTGATATCGTATTCGGGATTGAACTCTGCGTCTTTGCTTCCCTTTGCCGTGCTGACATGGATACGCCATTTCTTCGCTTCGTCATCCCAAGTTGCGTTTTCTACTGTCGTGTTGAAGCGTACATGTTGGTAGAGATTGTATTGCTGTGCTACGCCCATCAGGTAGGAGAGGATCTCTTCCTGGCCGGGGTATTCGCGTGTCCAGTCACTGTTTTGTGCAAAGGAGTAGGAGTACAATTGAGACCAGACGTCACAGCAAGCGCCGGGGTACTTGTTGTCGTGCCATGTTCCGCCAACGCCACTGCTCTTTTCCAAGATGATGAAGTTTTTGCAGTTGTTCTGTTTGATGAGATCGATGGCCGTGCACATGCCTGACGGAGTATATGTCAACAGTGAGAATGTCTAGTAGATGCGTTACAACTTACCTGATATACCGGCACCTACAATCACCACTGCTGCATTGGCATGGTCCTTGTTTCCAATTGGCACTTCTGGCCAAGGTTTATCTCCAACCATGATGTACGACTATATATCAGAATGACTTCAGATGTTTGCTGTTTATGCTTGATGCTCAGCAGGAGTTAGACTGCAAAAACTTTCAAGAGCATGCATGGCTGATTATGTATCTTGTTTCTCTTCGGAAGACAAACAGCCGGTCAATTGATCTCCGCACATCAGTCCTCATACTTGCAGCAACCAGATGTGTACGAAAACCTTGATTCCCAGTGATGGTGTCAAAGAAGGTGGGGGTAAGGGTCTAAGGAAGAGGGGTTGCTTGAAGCCCCTCAGTGAAGCCTCGGTCTTCCCAAAACGGTAATTTTCGATTTTCGGAACCAGGTGACGCGACACCAGTGTGCAAGCAAATGATATACATGTGACTGTTGATTATGTGATGTCATTCGCTCGAGTCATGCTCGACTGACATGGTCTTGTTGATGTAGCAGGTCGTAAACGGCTGCCAAGAGTAGATACATACGCAACATGAGCTGTTCAAGCCTTGGACCTAAACTTCTCTATGAAGTTCTCCGGAGCAGGTCCATCAATCATAAGAGGAAAGTCGGAATCCTCTCCCTTCTCGCGATAACTCTTGTATCCAGGTCTCTCGACAGCTCGTTTGAGGTACGGCAAAATGTTCTTGTATGGGCTCAGATCAAGACTGTAGAATGTACGCATCGTGGTGAGGGTAAAGACAGTCATGATATCGGCGGCGGTAAACTCTTTGCCTGCCAACCAGTCGTTGCCACGTCCTAGATGGCCATCGATGTGTCGCAAGTATTGGTCCAGTCTTGCTATGTAGCGTTTGAAAGTATCGTTGCTGGGATCGATTCCGGCAGATTTGAGCGACATGTTGCGGCTCACGCCTGGCTGTAGAGAGCCGTTGGCATAGTGGAACCAGTACAGATAGTTGGCATAGTCTGGATGTGATGGTGGTAAAGCAAGACGACCATTTCCGTGCTTGTGGATGATATACTCGACGCAAGCAGCTGACTCTGACATGGTCAAGTCACCATCCTGGATGACAGGAGCAGTGCCGATCTCGGTGAGGTCCTTGAGTGCTTGAGGCGAGAAGAATGGGTCTCGACGGTATAGCTTGAGGTCGTAGTCAATGCCCAGCTCTTCGCAGAGCCAGACGATGCGCTCTGATTGAGAGACGCGCATGTGGTGTACGATAAGCATGATGAGAGATGTGATGGGTTGTATACAGAAGCTGTTGGGTGATTAGAGAACTTAAATAACACGTCAAGAACAGCAGAAGGGTTTGGATTATATGGAGCGATGGACACCCTGACGTCGTACGAGGTTCGACAGAAAGTTTATACGGAAGATGAGGATGATCTTGGTTGAGGGTGTTGATTTGGAAGAAGACGCCAAGGTCGGGGTTCAGCACAGCGCATGCCAGCGCATGACAGGGAGGAAGGAACGAGGGAAGCTTGTCGCGTTATCACCTTCACATCTTCTAATCCTCCTGCACATCACCACACAAACAATGGCTCCTCCAGGTACGTACACCAGGCCCATCAACACACATAACAAACCACTGATATCACCCCAACAGAAGCAACCCAAAACACGCCGCTCGCACCCTCGGTAGAAAAGGCTTACTACCGCAAGTGCATCGAGCTCAAGCGCCGCCTGAACGACGTCGAAGAAGCCAACGATGCCGCCCGCCAACGCAAAGCCCGTCTCAACAGAGCAATCATGAAGATGCGCCTCGAACGCGCTTTCCTGCTCGAACAACTCGCAACCCGTCTGCAGAACACAACCGACGGCCCTGATAAGACGACGAGCGAGAACAACAATGCCACCACGACCACCACACACAGCGACTAGGAGTCGCAAGAGACGCCGCTACCTTACGACCAAGACTTTCTCGATTATTGTGTTTATTACGGCGAAGAGAGTGCTACGAAGGATGACGCTGAACCTGCCTCTACCAACATGGATACCGCGAACCAACCTGCTACCACCAATACGATTACCACAAACCAGCCTGGGGGTTGGTCTTATCGTGCCGTTCGTAACCCAAGAGGTACGACTGGACCGACCGACCAGAGACAGAACGGGCCCTCCCCGAAACCGATAGTCTCTGGCCATCTACAACACGTCAGAGCCGCGCGCAGCCGAGGACTGTACTTGGGACATCGCTTCTCTGTTCGATTCGCAAATTCATCACGTCCCCCTTCTTCTATCGATCCATTTACACGGTCTGTTATCGTTATCGACTATTCCGGGCCACGGCCGTCTTGATGCGTCGGAACTCCAGACCAGACACATCTTCGTATCAGCGCAAGACTTGCAACCTGCAACATGGCACGACTTTCCGGATGTTGTACTAGCCGAAGCTGGCTGGATGCTGGGGCTCGTCAAGCTGCGTGCGGGCCCCGCTCCGTCGCAGAAGCTATCTCGTATGCTTAGACTTGTGGTGAACAAGACTGCTGGGTACTGTTTTTGTTCCAAAGGAGAGAGGACATCCTACCTCTCTAATGTCTGTCATGAGATTACTCAGATCACTCTGCTGCTGCTTATTCCTCCTCCTCTTTTTCCTTAAGACCCTCACCTCGTGTGCCTTTGTGGTATCTCAAGAAGCCCAGATGAGGAATACCGTCTGGTAGTTCTGCAGAACTGTAAATGTCAATACCAGCCGCATCTGCTATCATCTCCGCACTGTCTTTCAATTGTTGTAGAACCTCGTCGCCCTCCACTGCTTCGAGTACTTCGGCGTGCAGACTCCAAGGTCGCGCCAGGTGGAGGTACTCGGCATTGGTCGTGCTAATGCCCTTTGCTTCTGCAATCTTGAGGCATCCTGTTAGCACCTGGGTCAACATGACTTGTGCTTTGTCAGGGCTGTATAGAGGATTGTCGATGCGGTCTTCATCTGTGCTGTGGCCGTATGGGTCTAAAGGTTTCGAAAGTGTTCCTTCGGGATAGATGAATTTTTGCAGGTATAGTTCGGCCAGCGTGATGTCTGCTGGCAAGTAATAGTTTTTGCTAGCTGTCAACAGCCATTGGTGAGCGAGTTTGATGCGCAGTTCGGGGGTGCTTGCAAATGCATCGTGGTGCGCTATGTTTGCTTTTGGATTCAGATTGACGTTCTGCTTGTAGAGGAAGGCGCTAAAGCCGGAGAGCTTTTCGAGAAAGGATTGTTGTGGTATCGAGGGGTTAGTGGCCGAGTTTGCGTAGTATTCGCCTAGTTCGTGGGCGGCTTTGTAGTAGCCGCTGGCGGCGGCTTTTGTGATGTTGTAGAGCCAGTCGTGAGTGTGCTGGTTGTGGGCCATGAAAAGATCGAGACGGGCGAGGTTGAAGTAGGCCATTGGATCATCTTTCTCTGTGCCTGCTTGGTAGGCTTTCAAGGCTTCGATATTCTTGCCCTGGGTATGGTAGAGATAGGCCAGCTCGATCCACGGAGATGAGAGCTCGTCTTTGATCTTGCTGTACTTGTCGTCTGGCTGTACGTCGTCGTTTGTCGCCATCAGGTCGAGAGCTTTTTGGTATAGAGTGGCTGCTCGATTGACTTGACGGGCATGGCGGGCTACATTGGCCTCCATGACTAGGGCGCGCACATTGCCAGTGCTCGCAACCTCGCGTAGACGGTCCAGTGCCTTGAGGGCTGTGCGAGATGCCATTATACCAGGTTTTGTCGCATCCTGGCGCAAAGCAGAGCCGACGACTTGAATGGTGGCCTCGGCATGACCGAGCTCAGCACATAGGCTGACCAGCTGTCGGCCAGTCTTTGCACATTCCACACTGCCCTTGTTGCGCAGGATAAAGGTGAGATCGTAGATATCGTCGAGCGTCACGGCGGTATCGAGCAATCCAAGACAAGCTTTGGTACTTTCCAAGGGAGACATGCCGTCATTCATGTATGAGCGCCAGAAAGCTAGGAAGTTGAATTGCTCGCGGGTCATGTCTTCAGCGGCTTGTGTGGTGGTGCGGCATTCAATAGCTCTTTGCAGGGGTGTCAAGTCTGGCAACGGCTTGACTCGTTGTGCGATGTCGACCTTCTTGGTCTGTCTTCTTGCTGTTTCAGCCTCTTTTTCGGGGACCACCGCGACTGGTAGCTTGGCCCTTGCTTTCCAGCGCTGTGAGGGGGCCATCTTCCTTGTAGATGCCGTCCGTCGTTGACTGCAAAGACCGCATAGTTCGGTGGCCAGTATGCGCCGCGGCCCTCGCGTGCTGGCCGCGAGTAGTGACATGGGTGCGATGCGAATAGAGTGGTCCACGACAGTGATGCTGGTCGTGATCAGGAGGAGTGTCGGACTGAGGAGAGCAAGTCCACCTGGGTAGGCAGGTGGGCAGATACTAGGTACCTTGGTGGACTGATTCGAGAAAGAGCGTCCATGCTTCACAAAACTTTATGCAAACCATGGACCGAGCGCAGCATAGTCAAAACGTCTATCACCAAAGTATTTATGCACAATCTAAATAGACGGATACATACAGGACCTAACAGATTTTTTTTCCCATCATGTTCTCAGACGGTAACCTGCTATCTCTGAACGGCTGCAGTGATCGTTCTGTTGGTGACTATTGTCATCATGGATCAAAATCAAGAGCAGCCAGGCCGTCCTACTTGTACTCAAGACTATAGTATGCATCCGCGTGTTCAGCTTCCACAATTCCACCAGCAGATGCAAGTAGCGATACCTCAACATAACACACACCAAAGACAGGACAGCGGATACTCTCAGATTTTATCTTCTCAAACTTATGGCCCTCAAGACCCTCAAGGCCCTCAAACTCACTATGCCAACCAAGCTGCATCGCCTGTCAATCCATCTCGAACTCCTACTGGCTCCATATCACAAAGACTCAGTGCAGCTCTACCTCATAGCTCGACAGTCCATTGCCAAGGCTCAGACACGCAGTTCGCCGAACATGGCATCAACCACATCCTGGCAAATCTCGAACGACGATCTATGGTTTACGGAAGCAAAGTCGAAGCAATGCAATCTCAACTGACACAGCTCGAAAAGACTGTTGTTTCCTTCTGGCGAGACACTAGCTCCAAGCTCGAGACTGCAGGTTCATCCACCGATCATGGTACGACCAAAGCTGGAGATTTCGGGGACTCATCCAAGAGCAATCCCGTATATGCTTGCGAGTACGGTCATACAGCCACTATCCAGGGCAAGGTATACACATCTGCGAGCAATCTGGAGTGCCAAAATCTCGTCCAGAAAGACCAACAACCTGAAGTGCCTGCCATGGAGCAAGAATCAAATCCAGATGTCTTCCATGGATCCTTGAGACAACGACTTGATTGTTTGGCCAAGCTGGTGACTGCCGAGCAGGCCGGAAACACAGCAACCCTTGATTGTTTCAACAAGGTCTTCGAATTGCTCCAGTCAATCTTAGACCAGTTTGCGAATGTCGCTACGAAACAAGGCCTTGACGCTGTGCGCGTTGGAACAAGACACGACGTGGACCTTTTCCATATTGCATTGCAGGAGGATCTCGAGAACAACCGAACAAAGACTGTGCAAGATCTCAAGACTGTATCTGAAGAATGGAGGCAAAATTTCATGCGCTGTCAAGATGAGAAGACTTCAGGTGAAACCCACGATCAACATGACAGAACAAGGCAGGATATCCTATCCTTGCGAAGAGAGATGAAACAAGGCCTCAAGCTATTCAGAGAGGAAGCGAAGCAGCATTTTTGTATTTCCCGAGAGCAGACGACCCGTCATCTCAAAGCTTTTGGTCAAGAACACAATCAACATGTGTCCAACACCGTACACCGGCTCAACGAATGTCTAACCAACCAGAAAAGCTCACTTGTGGCGTTCTTGGAATCCGAAAAACTGTTCAGGCAAAAGTTGCTAAGTGTTCCGGATGCACTGAAGGAGCTGGAAGAAGTCATTACCACAAGATTGCCAGGGAGGGAAGACCAGCCTCAGGAGGAGATGCCACAAGCTTTCTCGTTTGCCGAAATTATCAAAACCCATCATAAGCCCTTAGAGGGAGACGTGACTGGTAGCGAAGTTTGCGTTCAGATGCACGACCAAAGCACACAAACCACTGAGCTCGGCGTGATGTCTCATCAAGGCACTCAGACCAACGAACTTGATGAGGCTCCCTCAAACGACCAAGGCATGTCGTTCTCTCCTGACGTTGTACTCGAGGAGACTTCGGATGCCAGATTGGGATATGGAGATGTGATAAGTGAAGGCACACAGACTCTTGCGTTGGAGGAACAGTCGTTGGAAAGGTCGGTTCCAACTCCTACTGCCTCTGTCGATACCAACAAGGCGTACCTGGAGATGATACCTCTCATTCTGACTGGAATACGCGACATGGACCAGAAGGTTTCGGTTCTCATTCGAAGGGTCGAGCAGCAAGAAAATCGTGCATCCCCTCGAGAAGTGGCAGCTTCGACAACGCACCTCACCGCGAGAGTTGGTGCTGGCATAGACCTTGAAATCACGTCTTCGAGTCGAGAACGTGTCAATAAGAAACCCAAGGCCTCTGGCGAGTTGGCAGAAATGAGGAGCAATGGAAGATATCTGGAATCACTCGCCAGTCTCCTTCAACCTTACATGAGCTCCACAAGTCCCAGCCTGGGAAGCAGTCGAGTACCTTCCGTATCGGCCTCAGCGCGCAGGGTCATCTCAGAAGAAAAGTCGGCTCAATCAATCACAGGCAGAGACCAAAGTCAAGACACCCTGAAGGAAACAAGGTCAAGCCTTGAGAGAGAGAAGAAAAACAAGAAGCAGAAAACTAAACATCAGGTCGACATTAAAGGAGTGTTTGGCCACAAACAGCAGTTCCCCAGAGCGTCGGTCTCGAACAGTAGCAGTGGTGAATCTGCACAAGGCCAGAACGTTCAGAAACGAAAGTGGGAGGCGCCAGAGGTTCCACGGTCTCGAGCGGACTTGCTGCAGCAACAACAGCAAGCGTACCGCAAGAACAAAAGACGAAGTGAACAATCTCACTTCAAAGTAGCTGGGGCGCAACGGGGTTGCATGTCGTCTGTAGCCGATAATAGGTCCGTACCGGTCTTCCAATAAACGTCTAAACACACCGCGGTTTGGTTAGATCTTCGATTGTACATGAAGGGATACCGAGTCCTTCGGCGGCTAATCGAGGACATTGGCAGTGAAGTGGTGAGCCTTGTTCTTGTTTGACTCGCATGTGAGGATCGTGACGAGGGTCGAGGCGAGACCATCAAGTTACAGGGATCCCGAGCAGGTATTCTTTGTACTCCTTGCCCCGCTCAGCAGAGTAATCTCGAGATACATGGTAGTTTTTAACGGCGTTGGGTCTTTACGCTGGAGGATACAAAATAAACAATGAATTGAGGCTGGTTTTCGACTGAGCGTGAGACATGTTCGAGGCCAGGGACACGACCAGAATGGTATGCAATCATAAAAGTGCAGATGATGGAGCAAACGGCTGGGCTTTGAACATGTTTAGCTTGAGGCTCTGCCGCGCGATTCAGTTCGGATTGGGCCGGATGGCTGTGACGTTTGCTAGCTCCTCCCCACATGCAAACTAGTTCTCCGCACGCGCGGGACGAAGAGGAAAGTCGTGAGCAACGGCGGTTTCGAGGTCGAGGTTTGGCTAACCCAAGGTGGTGGTGTGTTGTGGGTGCGCATGTGCGATGGCTCGAAGTCCTTGGATTGGCGTGTAACGGTCAGGGGCCGAGGAAGTACACAGAGCAGCAGCGCTGGGCGATGGGAAGGTGATGGTTGAGTATGTATGCATCACGCCGTGGCCCAACCAATTCCATGTCTCCAAGAAGCTCCAACTATCTCCACTCCGCATTCCTGGTTTTCAGGTTTCTTGTCGCAGTGTGAACGCAACTCTCGACTGTTTCGCAACCTTTCTGCTTTCTTGTTTCCTTTTGTGCTGTTCGGCGTCTATTGATCTTGTCCTTCGAGTCTTCGTCACAATACGTACCCCAGCCCAATCCTCCTATACCTGTCAGGATCTCAATAATAAGACGACGTCACCGTGATTCGCGAGCTTGGTCACCAGGGCTCACGCCATCTCACACATACTAGACGAGGAAGGCGACGCATTCGACCAGGCCCACCTGCCTCGCATAGAGTCAATCGAATCCGAGACTTGGTACGTATTTCTGGTGCCTTCGACAGCCCCCTCATCCTCGACGGATTATAACATTCTGTCCAATCCTCTTTCAAGTTGATTGTTGAACCTATCAAAAATCCTACTCTATATCATTCTTCAAGCAACAAACTGACACCATGGCTTCGACAGCAAGCACTGCGTCGAACAAACCATCCACGAACAACCTCCAGGCTCCGGTATTCGTCGACAAACCAGGACGACTGTCACCTCGTCCCAGCTTCACTTCGAGCAGACCTTCTTGGATCGGACCACAAGACACAGCACGCTCAACCGCACCAGCATCCTCCACAATGGCAGAGAAGCAACAAATCCTTTATAGCCACCCTGGCCTGCAGCCTCCCGTCTTCATTGCCGGTTCTATGTGCGAGCCGCAATGGGAGCCTATAGAGATGAAGCAGAAAGAGAAGGAAGACGGCGAACTCGAATTTGAGCATGAGTTCGAAGCAGACCCAGGAGAGTACCAATACAAGTTCCGTCTCGGTCCCGGTGACTGGTGGGTGCTCGACGAGACCAAGCCGACGGGTAGGCACAAGCGATTTCACAATTGAATGAAAGCATTACTGACACATGCACCCCANGTCGATGATGGAACTGGAATTCGCAACAACCTACTCGTCGTGGAACCTAAGCCTGTGCAAACAAAAGCCACCGAGGTCTCTGAACCACAAGCTGCGCAAACAGCTGAGGAGAAGGATATGCCCGTGTCAATACAAGTTACAGACGCTCACGACAAGCACGACGAGTTGGTTGGTGACCTGAATGACGATGATGATATCCCTGAGAGCGAGAAGAACCTCTTCAGGCACGAGACTGTTCAGATCCCCAACGGTACGGGCGAGAGTGACAAAGAGGATGAAGAAGAAGACATCGAGGATGATGACGATGAAGTCGAAGAGCCGCCGCTTCTCGAGCATGAAAGATCATTCCAGCGTGTGGACAGCCAGCACGGTACACCATTCAAGACCGCTAACTTCGACCTCAATGATACCACCGAATCACCAATTGAGTTCGACGATTTCGCTGTCGACGAATACGATGCTCCCCCTCTGTTCAGACATGAGACTGGTGTCGCAAGCGACTTAGACCCCGATGAGGCTCCGCTCTTTGCCCATGAGAGCATGTCTCCAGTCATTTCCGCAACCTCGTTCTCGCCCTCAGCTCGTAAGCAACGCAAGCCTGATCTTGAAGACGTCAACGACCCCTCTCTCGAGCCCTTCCCTGTCGACGAGGCTGGCATCCAGGCTCGCCTCCAGCGTGTGGCAACACGTCGTCGCGAGGACGAAGTTGTGTTTGAGGGAACTCCTCCTTCGCCATCCCTGGCCCAGACGAAGTCTTTCTCGCCCCAAGCTCGTCCTGATCTCATACACAACGAGTCTAGCGATCTGAGTCATCTTGACGCTATTGACGAAACAGAGGAGGCAGATGAAGCAGACGACACACCCGCTGTAAAGCCCGCTGAAAAGAAGGATTCGGTCGTACAACCTGTTCCCATTAACATCAAGGTTCAGGACGTCTCTGAGATCGACAGCAACCCTTCGTTCGTAGATGTCCCAGATGTTTCGAATCGTGGACCACCTACACCACCAATGACTCCTACAGAACATGCCAGAGCCAAGGCTGCTCCTCATGACGGAGCGGCCGACTCGAAGGAAATGCCTGCTCCTGTCGGAAGCCCTCGCTCTCGCAAGGACAATGTCACAGACCACATTGCCAACCGCCCATTGCCTTCAGAGGCTCCAAAGACCGCCAAACCCTCCAAACAGGCGGATACAGAACAGAGCCTCGCATCGAAGGCTTGTATCTGGTTCATTGGTCTTTGTGGTGGCAAAACTCGCGCAGCGTGGGTCTACGAGCACTCTGGACTCGCAACATTGCTAACTCGTTGCACAGTNGGTGTTGCAATCGCTATGGGCGTCGCCGCAGTCGCGTTCGCCATCAACACACGCTCCGCTTGAGTGATTCCGGTTTGTCGAATCCTCGACCGCGGACTGTTTCGTTGATAAATTTCTTATCTCATTTTCCTTTGTTCTCTCATATGTCTATCATACCTCAGAGTCGATTCCATCTCACACAGCGGGCGCAGGGCATGGGTCGGTCATGGTTTGTCACGAAGCATATGGTTACGGCTGACTCTCATGACATTCTACAATGCAATGAATGCAGAGATTGCTGCCGAAGCACGCGCAGACGGGCGAGCATCAAGGATTGACCATCGAAGCCAGAGTGGTTTCTCGCTTAATTTATTTCCTAGCCTCAGTCTCAATTCATATCCGATATGAGCGCTTTCCGCTCTACTGCTTGTACTCTACTAGAATTTTTGTTGATAGCCTCAGTATTGTATGCATCAGCCTCGGCTTTGATCTGTTTTCGCGGAGCTCACCCACGGTCGGAGGTCGCCGAGGAAATGCAACAAACTTACACAAAAGCTTCGACAAAGGCTTGGTTTCTCTATCGCCGCAAATACTAGGCGCCCAATTCCCAAGCCTTGATCCTTTTGGTGTCGATAGATGACTGACACTGACTGTGATCGAGATATTACAGCGAGGCTGATTGCCTAGAGAAGAATTGGGTTGGTTGCTGCCCTAAGTGAGCGGCCATTTTATCAACGGTAGAAGCTCCGGCATGCCCGAGCTTCACCCCACTGCAGTAGCTTGATCTTGGTAGCAATGCCCACTGTTCTGCAAGTATCTGGATCGAAAGGCCATTCCGCGAGATGGCGTTCTCTGTCGCATGAGGAGAATGAGATAGTGCATGGTTGTTAGTCGAATGCGATGTGCAAGATGTGCTTAGTGCAAGGCATACTTCAGAGAATGATGCCTCCAAAAACCAGCTGGGGGCCCGCCTGCAGCCTGGCGTCCGTACTAGCTTGTATAGCTCCAATGAAGATACGGTTGGGAACTGGCTATCAATCGCTGTCAGTGCGGGCGGCCAAAGAGCTTCACGGACCAACTTTTTCCCAGAAGATGCTGGCTGGGGTTGCCCGCATCTCTGACTTGCCGGTTATCAATCCTTAGGCCCATAAAAAGGTAAGAGCCGCCTTCTTTCTTGATTTCGAGTCTTGCTGTCCAACACCTCTCGTTCCAACCGTATACCGTCAAAATGTTGTCCAATTCTCTCGTTGCCCTGTCCCTTCTCTCGTCGGCGGTGTCGGCCGAGACTGTGCTGGGAGTTTATATGTTTCACAGACACGGAGATCGCACACCAAAGGCTCTTGCTCCTGCCAACCTGACCGACCTTGGTTACGCGCAGGTCTACAACTCTGGTGACTACTACCGTAGCCGCTACATCGACTCGGAGGCCGACCACAGAATCCTGGGCATCAACTCCGATATCGTCAAGCAATCGCAGATTGCTGCTTCCGCTCCTTCTGATACCGGTACGTTACATATCTCCGGGGAGAAAGATAGCGAGCAGTTTCTCTGATACATTCGNACAGTTCTCCAAAACTCCGCCACTGGTTTCTTGCAGGGTCTTTACCCTCCTGTTGGCAATGCTTTGGGTACTCAGACTCTCAGAAACGGATCCAATGTGACCAGCCCGCTCAATGGCTACCAACTCATCCCCTTGGCCTTGACCACCAGCGGTTCTGGTAGTGAGGACAATGGCTGGCTTCAATCTGCTTCTGGCTGTGCCAATGCTGTCAGCAGCTCCAACGAGTACTTCTCCAGCTCTCAGTACACCAGTCTCCTTGCCAGCACCCAGGATTTCTACAACAACCTTACTCCTGTGATCAACGGCACTTTCAGCTCAAGCCAGATCAGCTTCAAGAACGCCTACACCAGTAAGTTGGGAATTACTCTACATTTTTATGTTCATCGCTAAATATGATGTTCAGTCTACGATCTGGTCCATGTCGCCGAGATCCACAACGCAACCATCAACTCGTCCGATGTTCTTACTTCTGACGTCCTTTACCAGCTCCAGTCTTTGGCCGATGTACACGAGTGGGGTCTCGCTTACAACTCTTCCAACGACATGCGTGCCATTGCCGGCAAGGTGCTCGCCGCCGAAATCGTGTCTTTCCTGAACGGCACCATCGCCGGTCAAGGCAAGAGCAAGTTCGGCGTCCAGTTCGGCGCATACGCAACCTTTTCTTCCTTCTTCGGTCTTGCCGACTTGCCTGTAACCAACCCTGATTTCTACGGCATGACTGATTACGCCTCGTCGATGACTTTCGAGCTCGTCACCAACGCTTCCACTTCGCCATTCCCTGCTGCCAGTGATATTTCCGTCCGCTTCTTGTTCCACAATGGCACTACCAACTCCAGCAGCCCACCTGTCGCTTACCCTCTCTTTGGCACTGGCAACGAACTCACCCCTTGGAACGACTTTGTCACTTCCATGGACAAGTTCAGCATTGGCAACACTCAAGCCTGGTGCACTGCTTGCGGCAACAGCACTGGTACCTGTGCTGCCTACGCACCTGCCTCTTCCTCTGGCAGCAACAGCTCCAGCATCCAGAACAAGGCCAAGAGTGGCAATGGCTTGAGCCCTGCCGTCAATGGTGTTATTGGTGCCATGGTTACTCTTGCTGTTGTCCTCGGTCTCGAGGCTTTGGTGCTGTTGGTTGGTGGTCTTAAGGTCGTTAGCAAGAAGAGTCTTGCTGCTGGCGCTGTTACCGCCGAGACTGTCAGCGGTGGCAAGGCTGCTTAAAAGTGTTGTTCTTGATGTTTCTCATGATAGGTTTGTTTAATGTGCGGTGTGTGGAGAGAAGGGCCTTATGATTGCCTTTTCTCGACTGATACTAGTCGATAAAGGATTGACGAAATGTATATGATGAGCTCTTTTTTCTTTGCATGAAAATTGATTGACACTTTTGCTTCTTTCTGTCGTTGCGACTGGTTGATTGATCTCCCTTTCTGAAATCTTCCTCTAGACTACATCGTTCTTTCCCCCTTGTGGTTTACATGCATTGATTGCTCCTTCCTCCTTTTTGTGACTTATGACTCACTTCCCTCTCTGGTTCTATTTCGTCGTTGCTTCCATTTGTGGTTCGGCCCCATCGCTCTCTCTTCCAGTCTTCTGTTTCCACTTTTGCGTCTTCACACAGTCTGGGGTGGTTGTCATCTTAATATGCAAGTTGCTCTTTTACCGAGCATTCGTATGAACTTTGTCGTGCTGCAAAGTCATTTCGCGGCTTATGATCAGCTCGGGATTCTTATCTCTTGTGCACTTGAAATCCTCCCATCAAAGCATCTCTCGGGTTTTCCTTTGTGCTGCGCCGTCATTCGCGGCTAGGAGTTAGTCAGAGGTTCTCGTCTTCTCTATCTTGAACCTTTATTCCGTGAAACATTTGTATCTACTCTCCTTACGCTGCGAAGGCACTCGTGGTTCACGAAACCAGTCAGAGGTCTTTTGTCCCTTGTTAATTCCACCTCTGTCCTATTGCTGACCAGAAAGCACTATGGTATACGATAGATATGCACAGTACTACACAGATACCCTTATGCTCCAGAGAGACGCCGGTATAGTGATGTGTTTCTGTGGTCACGCTTGTGTTTAGCCAAACATTTTGCATCTTTAGGGTATACTATGGTGCTGATTTGTTGTCCTGGAGAGGGCGATAGAGAGATGGTGATCACTCTTCTATGCTAGTAGATAGTGGTGTTATACGCGGTAACCTTCTATACCAGCAGATATTAATATCACAGACCCTTAGAAAGGCAGTATAGTTGTTTAGGGGTAGATGAAGTCCACAGAGAGTAGTGCGTTGCATTTGCTCTCTATGGAGTTTTATCCGTCACGTCAATACAATCTGTGCATTTTAATAGTCAACCATATCACTTCCCGACTTTATACAGAAAAGACCATTAATATTATATGCCGTTCGTGGTGTTCCTTCCATGGCAAACATGCTTGTTCTTTGCTCTTCTAGAAGCAAAAGAAAAAGTATTGATTGTTGTAGTGGTTCACGCCGTTCTGATCAGTGGTTTGTCTAGAGGCCGTTATAGAGCAAACGGGTTTCAGCACACCTCCAACTCCTTCTTCGCTAGCTTCTATATCGTTTGATCGCTCAGATCTTCTGAGACATCCTTGTTGGTTTGGCCGTGGCTTTTGACGGGTTAACGCAAACTACTTTCCCAGGACCATGCCCTTTTGAGTCAGGAACAAACGTCCCAAGCGCTTGACGTCTCTTCCAAGCAAAACTATCTTTTCTTTTGCTTGGAAGTTGCGGTATCCAGGGCGGAAGTAAAGATTGCGTGGCCTTGATAGAGGATCCAGAGGGGAATCCACACCCAGAGCGTGTTGAAGAAGAAAAGGTATACCCATCTGTGCAATATGTCATCAGTCTCTGTATCTCCGTGATATGTATAGCCTTTTCCTAGTTTCGCTGTGGGGAAGTAAAGGGGGGAGCAGAAGTATACCACGTAGTAAAAGTGGCTCGTGAGCAAGTCACAGGCAGCCCATTTTCTCCAAGTGGTGGCTTGGGTCATGCGCGGAAAACATAAGGTTATGCGATTCTGGGAATCAAGTCTTCCTCGCGTACATTTTTGGGTAGAAGTGAGGGGTAAGAAGACCGCGAATGAGGAGTTTAATCGACAGAGGAAACATGCGAAACTTACTTGTACATCCAATTCGAAGTGACCAGGTTTGGCGAGCCGCTGAGCCACTCAGGTACAAAAGTCATGAACCNCTAGAACAAGACCACATCAGTACGACAAAAACAATCGACCCAGTCTCCTCGAGCGACCCTGGTCCGAAAAACAGGGAATAAAGACAGATACTCACCACCATACAGCTCCCCAGTAGCAAGCACACACATCCAAAACCACGCACTGCCCCACCTCTCCCTAACCAACTGCAAACAAATCCAACAAGCCAATGGCCCACCCACAAACACCGTCAACACCTCCAAACTCACAACCGTGAGATCAGTGCCCGCCCATCTCCTATCCGCCTTTGCATACTCGCGCCAGAGCGCACTGTGCCACTGGTCCCCATACGCAGCGCCGTAGTTTCTGCCCACGCGACCCAGAAAGTGTACGTTGGCCGGCAGCAGGGGTTCGGTGAGTAGAGTGGGCCCAAAGGAGAAGAAACAGTTGTATAGGAAGCTGCCTTCAAGGGTGAAGTGGATCAGTGCGTCAAAGGCGTGCCAAATGAAGAGGAAGCGGGTTTTTGAGCTCGCAGTGCTGGGGAGGGTGTAAACAGATGTTATGTAGGCTGCGGCCAAGATGGCCAATGTTGATAGCAGCGATAGTATGGTCGTCTGGTCGATGATCAGTCCTGTTGAAACTGGCAATGAAGTCATGGTGTTGTTGATTTGTGACAGCTCTTGCTTGACTACACAGTGCAATGTTGGAAAAGGAGGAAAGAGGAAGCAATGTCATGTCGTGCACAAGCCAGATCATTCCACGTGCACCAGTCGTACAACTGACCTCCACCAAGACAACCACACACAGTGCACATAGAGGGACAGATCAGATGATAGAGTAATAGAAATATTGATTTCTGCTGTTGCCTTCAGTCCGTGCTTCGTTCATCTCCTGAGCATGCTGCGTAACCATCACTTGGAAGAAACACGTCCTCCGCCCATCAGAATCCAGCGTGAACATGATACCATGCGTCCTCTCGTGATAGGAACCTCCCATAATCCCACGCCAGCCATCAAAAAAGCTACCTTCCCTATTGCCATGATTCCGAATTAACTAACAACCAGAGTTGAGAGTCGATGCAAGCGCCCATATGATGTTCTGTACATGCATGCACAGCAACCTGCCTCCCAGTTTCCGTCAATGAGTGAGAAAGGAAAAGTAAGCAAATACAGAGAGAAAGGAAATAGAAGAGAAGAAAGGAAAATGTAAAATAGCAAGGGTAGAAAAGAAAAGAACGAGAACGACTTTTCAGAAAAGGTATCGCGCTCGAAAAACAGGGCCCAGGGTTGACGATGATCGAAACAGAAATGTTTGCGATCGTTGTTCCGAGGGCCATCTATACACCATGAGCCGTTTCATGGAGAATCCGGAACGCCTTGCGAGATGAAACGATCAATGCCGGAACGCTTTGATAGACCAAGGAAAAATTGAGAAAAGAAAAGAAAAGAAGACGAAGAGCCTGATCTGACAAGGGAATTTCCCATGTTCGAATGAGGTTAATCGTAATTGTTGCATTGCAGCATCTGAGGAGACAGGTGCTGGCTCCGGTAGTGTTGTGAGAATGCATATCATATACTGATTTTAGCATTCAACCACGGATGGCGGTCGGGGTGTGTGACTCCGAAAGATATCCATCCCTTGCGTAAGGATAGCTGTAAGCTCGCGCAACATAGTTGTTGCTGTTGCTAATCGACGCAGGTGAGCCCGATCGGGAGATCAACTTGCTGATTTCGTTGCAGCTAGTGAATCCGTCGTTGGCGCCGTCGAGGAAAGGCGACAGGCTTTGAGGTGGGGTAGGAGTGACAGAACCAGATTGAGGGCTGTACTCGTTTGGCGATGCGCCGTCCCCAGAACCGTCGGTGCTGCTAGGCTTTGATCCGGAACTTGTTTGAGGCGAAGGCGATGACTTGCCCGAAGATCCAGGAGTGAACTGATTTGATAATTAGCACCATGGGGATTAGGCCTTGGTGGAAGTCTTGTTGGAACCTACGTAGCAGAACTTGTTCACGAGGTCTTTATATTGCTGGGATCCGATGGCGGGTCTGTCGGTGGTGATAGCGTCGGGTCGCTCCGGGACCACAGGCTTGATCTCACTGGTAGTCCTGGGTGAGAAGTAGTGGGCCTGGGTTTCGGCGGAAGTTTGGGGGTGAGGCAGTAGTCCGCTTTGCTTTCCGAGCTTATCCTGGGCGTTCGACAAGGCGGCACTGAGCGATGCTCCGAAGTCGTATCTTCCACCGAGACCGTTTGCAGGTGCAGAGCCGATGCGAGTAAGATCCACTCTCTTGGAGCGGGGCTTCAGCTTGACCTGGGGCTGGGCAGCAGGGTCTCCAGTGAGCTTTTCCGGGGAGCCGAAGTGGTAGGTCGAGCTCTTGGAGCGCAAGTCCTCGTCGGCAAAGAGATCGCGTGCCTGACGGGGTACGGGAGGAGAGTGTCTGCTACGAGGAATGGTGTTGCGAGAAGGCCTTGATGAGGATGAGGAAAGAGACGACAGCGAGCTGGTCGAGGCCGACTTGGTCATCTTCTTGACGAAATCGATCTGGTAGTTCATGCCGTTGTTGCTGTCCCAGTGTTCTTGACCTCCAGAGTTGTAGCGGACGCATAGCAGCAATGTCTTGTTCTCCAGGTTGGCTTGATCAGACAGGCGGATGTTGAAGGTGAAGCGGTCATAACCGTCATGGGGGTTTTGCTTGCGGACATCATTGTCAAACTCAGCCATGACCTCGGAAGTGGTCTTCCAGTAGTCAAGAGTAAAGCGAGCAGCGACGTGCTTTTGGAACGAGATGTTTGCCACAGCGACGGTACCGATGAGGGTTTTTGTGTCGGTCGAGAGATAGACCTTCTCGACGCGGACGGGCTGGTGGCTTCGCTCGTGTGTGTCCTCGGGAAAGTTTGCGAGCCTGAGGTGCCACTCAAGCTTGTTCGAGTTGTCCTTGCCTTCGAAGGGGTACTCGGTCTCCTCATCGTACGTGTCAACAGGCGAAGAGCCGGCACTGATAGCAGACGGCTTCTCGACCTGCAGGAAGTGTCTGGTTTGGTTGCCATTGTCGTTGAAGTGGACCG